GCATCACGGATTTGGAGATAGATCAACAAACCGATCGCTGTAGATAGGAACAAGGTTTTAGACAGTTAGGTCTCAGTACATAAAATTACCAATGCCTTAACCATTAACATAGTTAGTGTTAGGGATATATGGCTTACCTGCAATCCTTGAAAAATCCCCATGAATACAACATGAGAGTACCATTCTGTGTTCCACAGATAACTTTACGGCCATTCTAAAAGAGACAATAATAATACATACATAAGATAATTAGCAACAATGTAGAGAAAAAGCTTGATATGACACATTCTGGCTATAAATACTTTTTTTGTTTGATCGATGAATTAATGAACATATAATGGAGTCACCTTCATTATAACAACAGAAAGTAGTTCGTCTTCAGAAAACTCCGACTGAGATTGGACCTTGCTCGTTCTTACGTTACAGACAGACAGAGTCCCATCTCCACTAAACAAAGTCAGAGAAACCAAAATAAAAGAAATGAGTAAAGAAAAAAAATCAAAAGGCACTAGCTTCATTGAATCAGATGGCTACAAAAATCCAAACCTTGTTGCCACTAGCTTCATCGAATCAGATGCGAAGGTCATGTCAGAAATGTAATCTTCGTGTACACTAAACTCGTGCGAGCAAGAGCGCTGTCTCGTATCCCAAATCTGAGCAGATGAACGTACATTAAATAAAAAAACAAGCACATAAGCTAAGTCCAACATTTTAATGCCTCCGACAGGAAATTGGGCAAGAAAAAGTTTAGACAGGAAATTCCAAGTTCTTAAGGCCGAAGATACACAAACACACACATATCTGGAGATACTAAGGAACACGGATCCTAATTCTTCACACACAAAAATTGTAGAAATCTCATCAGAGTGAGTTGTATTATAGTTGCTTCAAAATTCCTTAATGATTAAAGAGGAAAGAGAAAAACTTTGTACAGACCTTAACGCAGCCTTTATCATCCCCTGAAGCGATTGTTGTCTCAGTAACAGTTATCAAAGTGTTAACAGCATCCCTAGAAGACCAACGCGAAATATTCTCAATCACTAAAAAGATAAACAATTAACTAGAACGTGTCTATAAATGGGAATTAAATTACTCGTGAGCATTCTCAAGACGTGCAACACTAGCACCAGTCTCTACATCGGTAGCTAGAATGGAGCAATCTGCTGAAGCTGTGACGATTCCTAAAACACACATAAAAAAGGCGCATATGTAATGTAAAACACAACTACAATTGTTGGAACATGAGCTCAAATGTGTTTTAAAAGTTAAAGAACCAAACTTTGTCCATCATCAATAAAACGAAGAGCTCTGCAAGACTCATTATGGGCACGAACTTTACGCTCCCTAGCACAAAATTCAGCGATCTCTTAGACGACCCACAACAAAAGAGAGAAACTTTGGAGATGAAAGAGCGTCTAATACCTGACAAGTGAAGAATCTTTGTCGTATCGGTATCTGCAAAAAAGAGGTCACATGATTGATGCCTCTTAAGGGGTGATTGGAAACAAGGAATTGAAAGTTAAGGGCTTTAGAATTACAGATGCAAGTGGCCATCGATGAGACCAGCAGCCACTAGATTCTTCGATGGATGGAAGTCAATACCGAAGGCGTTGGCTCCCAAATCGATCTCCATTACAACAACTTCAGAATCTTAAATCACCAACTGCCCCCAAAGTATAGAGAGACAAGTGACTAGAGAAGCCGTCGGGTCGAATTAAGTAGGGTTTATTTAGGGTTTTCCGAGCAATCCTCTGTTTTACAATTTTGCATTTAGCACCGGTTTTCGTTTTTCTTCTTTTTATTTATTTTTTATTTTATCATTTCTGGCCAATTCCCCCATTCTAATTTCCACCTTTTTTCACAGACTAGATTTTTTTTTTGGGTTTCCAAAAGTTTTCTCAGAATTGCGTAATTTCCACTGTTTTTCATTTGTTGTTGGCCTCTCCTCAATGCAGCTCTCTAAAAAAAACAGGTTCAAGCTGAGTTCTTAGATAATGCAGTACTTAGCCTTCTCAAGAATTGGCTCGAGCCGCTTCCTAATGGTAGCTTATCGAATATAAACATTCGCACCTCTGTCTTGAAGAGTCTAAACGATTTATGCATCATACTAGATCAACAAGACTGTAGAAGAGAACAGTTGATCGAAGGACTTAATGTTCTTATCAAAATCGAATGAAGAGACTACACTTAATGGGAGACTCGCTAATGACTTAGTCAACAAATGGGGCGAAATCATGCATAATAAGAGCACAAGATATGAGAAAATGTTTAGTCAAGAGGAGCATGAACAGCAACAGAAAATGCTTTTAAGAAAAAGACAGAACAAAACTGCTCCTAAGGTGTCTGAAACGAAAGCCAGAGACTTGAAGTAGTAGATGTTGACTTTTCTGGGGAACCAAATTCCATCCAAGGTTGCACATAGGAGAGAAGTAGGAAGAGCAAAAGTACCAATAGAAATGTCAATGGACTTTATGATCCGTCCTGAATCGAAATTTGACAGAGAACTAGAGAACCTCGTGCCAAGATGAATCGACAACAAAGGCATCCATGAAAATATAATCTACAAACTGCAGAAGCGAAAGGCGCTCAGGAACAAGAGCCTGCAACTCCAAGCAACAAAGCTTAGTGCAGATGATCACACCATGCTCAAGTACTTGTAGACATTTGGTTTGGACAACTTCAATTGCAAAATCCATGGCGAATTTCCACACGCATTGTGTCAGTTATTAAGTCATGTAGAGAGTTATGAAGACACAAAAGATGACTTTCTAATACAGATACCGCTTTTGGTCGAGATCACAATTGAGGAAGAAGATACATGTGGGCTAAACTAAAAATACTAAAGCTTCAACAAATAGATCATCAAGGGTTAGAGGAATTTCTCAGTAATTCTTCAAGGTTTTCTGACATCGTGGTCAATTCAGCACAATGCATGTCAAAACACTCGAGATTCCATTCTGAACTCCAGGAAGCCATATGATATGAGAGGCCACTAGTAACTCTGCACATAGGACTTCATTGTAATAACATCTCTTTTAACGAATTGTTGACATTTTCGGTCCATCGACTTTCTTATAATCAGGCGGATTTTGCATTTTGCAACTCACAGTATATTGCCTTAGCACTGAATTTGTGATTTATGGAAGCTCACTCTGTAAAGTCTGCGTTGGTGCAGAGTAAGGATTGGATTTGATAAGTTCGAGCAAAATGATCCATAGACACAAACTACTATCTAGCGTCTGAATTCTGTACCAAGTTTTCAGAAAATCGGACTTCAATGATTGATGCATATGAGGTTTTGTTGCTGATTAACCAAATATCAAAACACAAACTTTCGGAAAAACACATCATGAAGGCACCAAAACACATTCCGGAAAAACCAAATTAAGATACATAATTGAGTAGATATAAACAGGGGTACAGTAACAGAAAGCTTATTATGAGAAAGCAATCAGTGTCGCAAAACCTGTTTTAATTCAATTTATGCCTTGAATTACGAAATGTCCAACTACCTTTTTTAAATTTGGACATCAGATACCAAAGGCAATTCTTAAACACAAAAAACGAAACTTTCATTTCATCGATGAAAAAAAACCATCCGCAAAATATTATAAACCCAAAAGACTGGAGATTTTTTGAAATAGTTAAGAAGAGGTCAGATGGTAGTGCATGTCATTGAATCAACACTAAGTTTCAGATTTAATAGACGTTGGATAATTATCCTCATTCCTCTCCTCTTATGCCTTAAATACAAAGATGAATTCAACTAAAACCCAAAACTTCGAAATTTTCTCAACTATTGGATCCAATGAAACCAGAAAGAAAACATAAGAAGAAGAGGTTGTTAGAGCTATGAACAAAAACCAGATAAAGAAAGTCAATCACCATATTGCATCGAATGCTAGTAAGACTGGGGCGACAATTACAAATCATCACTTTCCACCATCATCAAGAAAGAAAACATAGCAAAGGGACAATAAAAAACTCAACCAACAAGATCAAACAAACAGAACTATCAAAGGAAACATAATTCGGGGGAAAACAAAGTGCAATAAGTGGATTGATGAATCGGCTCAAGTGATTTTGAAGAGAAGTCTCGCCATTAAATACAGAGTCACACGAAAGTGCTCGAGACTAGGGTTTCACATTGAAGCCTTTTATGGGCCTTCGTCGATGAGGCCCATGTTTCTTGTTCTTTAACCTTTTTTTTTTGTTTTCTTGTTGTTGTTGTCAAACCAGATGCCGTTAGTTTATGTGCAGCTTCTGCTTCTAATGTTTGTCAATTGTTCGGGTACATGTTTTGAGTCCATAAGAAAAATGAGACATGCTTTTGGCTCCTGTTTCAGCAGCGGCAGTGATAGTATGTAATAACCAAAGCTATTGCAATTGAAATTGTCGGATTCAGCCAACAAGCATCAAAGATTCAAGAGATTATACTCATTCGGTGTATTGAGGATCATGTTCTGACCATTTATCTTGGTTGACTTTCATGCAGCCCCACAAAAATCTGCTATTCGATTTGTTACCAAATTTATAAATTCAGTATTCTATTGTTTCCATTCATAGATTATAGAAAGCATTCCTAGTTTTCTAGATTTGCTCATAATTATGTAATTAAACATACCTTTTAAAATTAGGAGAAAAACATGACACAAATGTTTATCTAATCAGCTCTTGCGTTGACACAAGAGATATTCTAAATCAAGAAAGAATATTGGATTTGAGTATTCGAATACAGAAATATGAGTGATGATGATGATGACAGTTAAAAAAAGAGTGGATAAACTGTAATGATGGTCTGAGTAATAAAAAAAAATAAAAAAACGAAATTTATGAAAGGAAAAAAACGTAAAGGACAGAGACAGAGAAAGGGTTTCCTTTGGACACAGATATAAACTTGTTTCTTCCTGCTAAACCTCTTCTTCTTCTTCTCCTGCTTCTTCATTTTGCGACGTTGTTTGGTTCAGATCTGATAGAGAGAGAGAGAGAGAGAGTGAGAGATCTTACGACGGAGACGATGAGCGGAAAGATCGTCGGTGGTGGTGGGAGTGTCGGAGGCAGGAAAAGCTATAACGGGATTTCTGATATTCCGTCTGGCTCGAGGAAGATGGTACAGAGTTTGAAGGAAATTGTGAACTGCCCTGAAGCTGAGATCTATGCCGTGCTCAAGGACTGTAACATGGATCCTAACGAAGCCGTCAATCGCCTCCTCTCCCAAGGTTTCTCATTTTTCTGTCTTCTCAGTTGCTGAGCAAGTGTATGGTCAAATTGGGCATCGAAGATAATTAGGGTTTACACCTTTTCCATGAAGATTTTTGTTTTCAACGCTGAAATGTTACTGAGAGTTTGTGTTGATTAGGGTTAGATTGGGGGGTTTAAGTTAGATACTTGAAAGTTTCGTCTTTTCAGCATTTAGTCCTTCTCGTTGAACTCATAAGCTACGATCATTTTTTTTTTTTTTTGAGCTTTTTTACTTTGCTTTCGAGGTGCTTCTGTGTTTCAGCTAATGTAGTGTCATGATACTGATTCTTGTTCTCTCTCTGTTCAGATCCTTTTCACGAGGTTAAGAGCAAAAAAGAAAAGAAGAAAGAGGTAAAGATCATATCTTTTTTGCGTACCTTTGAAGTCCTGTGTTGGCATTTTAATCAAAAACTTAGTGAACCATTTCTGTTTCTAAGCGTCATGCTCAAACTATCTAATTGATGCCAGTCCTTATCTGTTTAAGTGCTTCCAATCACTGTATTTATTGAACTGTTCTTGTATATCACTCGATCCTAGATGTTGTTTTGGTTTCAGTTAGTTTTTATTTCATTCAAGGTTTATTGATTTACTTGCTGTTCAGATTAGGGATATACCGGATTCCCGGCCACGAGGCTATAGCAACACTTACAACCGTGGAACTAGAGGTGGTTCTGATCGTTTTAGTGGACCTGGACGAAGCGGAGCTACGCCTTTTAGCTCTAGTGGTATATACATTGCTTTTTGGCTTTATGATACTATATCGGAAAACTTACTTAACTCTAGTTATGAATTTCTGTTCACGTGTTTTTCATTATTCAGAGTCTGGAAATTTCCAAGGAAAAGCTACAAACAAGAGAGAGAGCGAGAAGCAGGGTTATGCAGGTTCTTTTTCTTCTACATCTGGAGTATCGACCCACCATCCGATACCACACAGGTTTTCCTTTCAGTGATCACTTCATTTTTCTTGTATGAATAGCTCTTGGTATAATGAGCGTAACGAAAAAAACAGGGCCACGTAGTATCTGTAGTATCACTTCATTTGATACTATTCTAAATTCTCTTTCTTTTACTAGTTTAATGCAATTGGACAAGTCACTAGCCTGCCCTAAGATGAACAATTGATTATGGATATCAACCCGTTTTTTTCATTGATTCAATTGGTAGGATTTAGTTAGTAGGCTTTCGGACCAACCAAATTTAGGTTATGTTTTGAAGTAGTCTGATGACCAGATCCTTTGATTTTTAAGTTTGTCATACACAGTGTCTACACTACAGAACTTTAATTGTTTCCAACTCTGAATGGCCTAGAGTATTTAGGTCGCCTATGGCTTAGTGCTAGAAGAATAGAATAAGTAACTGTTTCATCACGAGTCTTGAATACTTACTTTCATGATGTTTGAAAGTTTTATACTGATGCTAAGCAATCTTCCGTGTACAATTGATATTTGAATTACTTGAATCAATGAATTTTTTAACATAGTAAAAGCGTTATGTACTTCGATAGAGTTTCTATGATAAGGTTAGCTGTGGCCATGGTATCAAATCTTGCACATCTGTTGAAAGGTGTCAAGACCTAACTCTTCCATATTCCACTTCTCCTTAGTGTAGCTCTTCTACTTCTGCATCTATGAGATATATAGTTTTGTCCATCACTACATTTGAGTCGCAGTTTGCTCATGTATGCTCTTTATATTTTGCAGTGATTCTGTAGCTATGGACCGTAAAACGCCAACTGTTACCTCGGGTGGTGGAATACCATCATCACAGACTGTTTCTGGACATCAAACTGCATGGTGTGGAGCTGCAGGTCAGATGTCTATGGCTGACATTGTGAAGATGGGTAGACCTCATAACAAGACAACCACCTCTCATAAAAATGTAGATAGGCGTTCCGAGGTAAATCATGCGCATGAAACTGCTGCAAATCAACATGTACCTGTGAAAGAGGAATGGCCCTCGATTGAGAAGCCAATGGCTGCTAGCACTTCTTCTGTATCAGTGGCACCATCTGATTCAGAGACACGCACTGATCCAGCCGATTTTCAATCCAGTAGAGGAGATCAGTATCTGAAGGGCCACTTGGAAGATACACATCTAGCAGAAAATGGTCCCTTAGGATATCTTGGTAGAGATCATGTGCAGGCTGACACTGTCGCTGGCGGAGTTGTTCAGGAAGATGAATCTGGAGCGTCATCTGAGTTTGCTGATAATCCATACAGACACCAAACGCAGAACCATCCTGTTGAGCACCAGAAAGGTAAGAATTTCTCTTTGTATTAGTTTTTCTAACGTGTTCAGAAAAGAATTCATGTATGCTTTAATGATAACGACGTGTCTTGCATGACCATAGTTCCACACTATTTAGGTTATAATGGCACATAATTTGGCAGATGCTTGATTGAATTTTCTTTTGTTGATATGTCATACCACATTGGTTTCTTTGTCATAAATAATCATGTGTCTCTGCAACTTGATCATATTAGCTGCCGGGAAATGGAAAAATCTTGTACACTAGATGAAGCTTCTTCTGTATTTGGTTTAAGCTGAACTTTACTTTTTCAGTTTTGTGTTTCTTCTCTTAGTTATGTTTTAGTGTGAGAATGATGCTCGTTGTTTGAAGTCGTGCAAAAAAGAAAAAAAAAACATTTTGGAAAATCTGCAGCATGTTTTATATATTTTCTTGTCTTGTTGCTGTCTAATTCGGGGTGTCAATATTCTTTTGCAGATGAAGATGATGTTTCGGCTGTTGCTGCCAACCTTCAAGAGTTAAGCATAGAAAACCATGAGAAATTCTCCTCCCATGATGAGGATAGACCTGCTGTCGTAATTCCAGATCATCTGCTGATACATACAGAAGAGTGCTCACAGTTAAGCTTTGGAAGTTTTGGAGGTTTTGGATCAAGACCTTTGAACAACAACTTAGAAGAGACATCTGATGTACCTCCACAGATTGAACGTGCTGATGCCAGGCATGACCTTATTACTGATTTTCCTTTTGCAATTAGTTTCTGGGCTCTTTTCCTTTGTACTCACCATTAATCAATCGTTTTGTGCACAGAAATACCGAGTTCTATGGAGATGAACATCTAGGAAACATGTCAAATGAAAATGTGGTCCATACGTCTACTGCAGAAAATTATGATGAATCTTCAGAATCTCAGCGAGAGGCTTTGTTGCCAGAAAACCCTGAAACCGCTCATCAGGAGAACCAATACTCGTTTGCTCAGTCGGATCCAGAGTATGCATATGAAAATGCCAAGCAGCAGAATACTGCATTCGATGCGTCACAGACAGGCATGCAGAATCAGATGCAGAATCTTGCTTCATTGACAAATGTAATGGTAAGCTACATATATTACTACCAAGTGCCTAAGGTTTTGCAGCTTATGGTTTTCTATTATAGCTTTTAAGAGTTTCTCCTTTTATATTTGAAAGAGGTAGTAATATGGATTGCTGTTCAAATCTAAAAGTTAGTTTTGTATGATGCTAATGATATATAATTCTTGGTTGACATCTTTGGTTTCAGCGAGGCCAAGGGTATACAAATTCAATTCCAAACACACTATTGGCAGCACAAAGTGCAAGGGAGCTTGAGCTTCAGTACTCAACTTTCCCAGGCGTACAGTCTATGCCATCAAGAAGCAACGATTCCTCACTAGGTGGCCAAAGCAATTCTATGCCAGAGGTGATCCCCTTACCTGTAGACTGAGATACTTCTTTTAATCAAATAGCATATCTTTGTTTTCTTTTGGCTTTTGTTGGGAATTCGGTTAGTAGAAACTACGGATCCCTTGTAAATTGTATCCATGATCGCTTTCTTCTTTGCTTGATAAAAAGCAGTAATACTTGTGAATAAAAGGATTTTGTTTTCATGTTCAATGTACTAGGATAAGAACATGGAATGGTTAGTCCATCAAAATTGTTTAGGAAATTTTTCGATTTACAATGTTTTGGTTTTATTTTCTTACACGCAGGCGCTGAGAGGTGGTGGTAGTCAAACAACGCAGCCAAGCCAGCAGAACTTACCCCCTGGTGCCAATATTGCTACTGGACCAGCTCTTCCTCAACAGCTACCAATGCATCCATATTCTCAGCATACTGTACCTCTAGCTCACTTTGCCAACATGATCGGTTACCCTTTGATGCCTCAGAGCTACCCGTACATGCCATCGGCTTTCCAGCAAGCATTTGCTGGTAATAGCTCATACCACCAGTCACTGGCCGCTTTGCTTCCGCAGTACAAAAACAACATTTCCGCCAGTAATGTGCCTCAGTCAGCAACTTCTGCTCCTACTTCCTCCGCCTATGGGTTTGGAAATTCAAGCAATGCTGGAGCCGGAAACTATCCTCTTAACCACCAACAACAACAGTCCGCTCCGTCTGGGGCATCGCTTAGTTATGAAGACGCCCTGAGTCTACAATACAAACAGAACAACCATCTATTATCACTTCAGCAACAACAACAACTACAACAACAACAACTGCAGCAGCAGCAGGTAATTGTTTCTCAGTTTGATGCATGCATGGAAAGACTTTGTTTTGACATAATCTGTTTGGTCTCAGAATGAAAACTCGCCTATGTGGCTTCATGGACCTGGCTCTCAAACCATGTCGGGTGTCCCGAGCAACACGTACTACAACCTTCAAGCACAACAACAAGCTCAGCAAGTTCGCCAAGCTCAGCAACAAGCACAACAGCAGCAGTATGGGTCGCTCGGTTACCCAAACTACTATCAGTCGCAAACAATGGAGCACCAACAGCAAAACCCAAGAGACGGTGGCTCGCAAGGTCAGCCCTCAAAGCAAACACAGCAGCAGCAGCTCTGGCAAAACTCTTACTAGACGGTTTTGGTCCGCCCAGGCCATGGTATTGTGTACTTGTCACGTAGCCGTGGCTATAAAGCTGATAACCAGTTATATAGGTTATCGGTTATTTGAGTTGTTGGGTAGGGAATCTGAAGGGGAAAAAGGATGAATCTTCACCATGTCACTGTGAGTGTATTTGTCATCTTCTGTTAACTTAGGGACAAGCAAACTCTAATTTGGATCAATGCAACGAAAACCAAAGAAAAAAGGCAAAAGCTCCTATGTCTTTTCTAGCTTTGCCTCTGTGGCTCTGTGCTCCACCTTGTATAGCATCTTTGCTTTCTGTTCAACTGTTTCAACTTTTGATGGTTTTGGTTATCATGGGGAACTTCACAAATATGAAAAACCAATAATATATAACAAGTATAAATAGTGGATTGCTTTTTGTTTTCCTTTGACGACGGGTCAAAGCATGCTTAGAAAAACATGTCACATGTTTAAGCTAAAAGTATGCTTATAAATTTTTTATCATACTATCATACATATCCCTCCCTATTTCAGAAATTCATCGTTTAGTCAAATCTTTTAGCCTTACCGTGATTACTACTTCTCGACTACAGTATAATACATTCATCACTAATTGATAATATGTTCTCTCTCTCGGGTATGTTATGAACTTATGAGTATATCTTTGCAGACATGCACATTTTCGTTATTTTTTGAAAAATCTACTTTTCTTCGAGTTAATCAAACTTGTCGACAGTCCCCTAATTTTACACATAAGAAACAAAAGACAATTGCTTTGAATTGGAAAATGTAAATTGTTTATTTGGTCATGTGTGAAATTCCTAGAAACATACATTAGAAAAACGTCTATCACATAAGTTCTTTTAACTTTTAAAAGAAACAAAAAGAAACATAAATTATATTAAAAGAAAAAAGAAAAAAACTAAAGAAATTTTTGCTTAAACCACAATAACGAGTCTACCCCAAATGCTGTCCTCAAACTGTCGTTAAAAACCTTCAAGGTTGGCACAGAAGCTAAAGTGCCTTCTCTGCTTTGAAACTCTGCTTTTGCCTCACAAAAGTGACTTTAGGCTAACTTAGAACCCGAAGAAGCCGAGTTCACTTGCTTTCTCCTTCTCAAAGGTCTCGAAATACTGATATATGATGGTGACCGCCAAGAGGATTCCAGTCCCCGATCCAATGGCTCCCATGAAATCAGCCAGAACGGTGAGTGCACCAATACACACTCCTCCGAAAGCTGCTGCTGTTGGGATATACCTGTTCAGTTCCTTCTGTAAGTTGGATTCTCTATGTCCCGGCATCACCATTTGTTGTTCCTGTAACGCATATGCAGAGTGTTCAATAACAAATACCCAACACCATGTAAGAACTCAAGGTTTATTTTATCGAGCTGTTACGATTTTATTACCTTGAGCTGCTTAGCTACGTCCCTAGCAGAAGATCCAGAGACTTCAATCCATGTCTTTGAGAAGAGAGCACAAGCAGTGAGCATGAAGACGATGTAGAACAGTGCATGGAACGGGTGAGCTGCCATATCCGAGAAGCTGCATCCATATAGTAACATATACATACTCATTAAACCAGTTGATGCATTAACAATTTGATTGATTAGAACGAATAATGGAAGACACTGCAGTACCTTGCTGGAGCTGTGATGAGGTAAGCCAGACCACTAACTGGAATAGATTGCCCACTGTACTCAGATTCTTTCCATTGTCCCAATAGATTTACAAAGAAATTTCCGCTGAACTTCCTGTAGAGAAGCTGTTGACCACGAGGAGATTCAATGTCATCACTCAGCAAAGAATGTGGGTTTTTATAGCAGCATGTACGAGATATGGAAAGAAGGTCTGTACCTGAGAGATGAAGTACAGATTTGAGACGAGAGCAGATTGGAGAATGATGGGCATGTTAGAGGTGTAGAACAGCTTGATTGGGTAAGAACCCTGTTGCCCACGGGCATTCTTTGATCTCACAGGCAAAACAACACGGAAGCCTTGGAAGTAGATCACAATCAGGAAGATCAAGACTGTGGCAAGCAAGTTGGTAACATTTGGAAGGTTTTGCCGGTAGAAAGCTTGGCGCAGAGCCGCAACCTTGTTGGACTTGGTTATCAGCATATGGAACAATGCAATAACAGCACCTTCAAACTCAGCTCCACGTCCAGTGTTGATGGTCGTTGGGCTGAATGCTTTCCAGATAATGCTCTCACTGTTTATCATCAGTTTGAAATTGTAAGTATCCCATTTACCCGAAAAAAATATTCTGCTAGGGATCCAAAAAGGAAGGGCTTTATAGAGTGAGGAAGAACTTGTCCTACCAGATGTTGGTGGCAATGAAAAGTGAGATTCCAGAGCCGAGACCATATCCCTTCTGAAGGAGCTCGTCAAGGCAGATAACAATGATTCCGGCAAAGAAAAGCTGGAGGATGATCAGAATGGCATTTCCAACACCAAGCTGTCCAACGGGGCCATACATTCCAGAAAGAACATATGCCACAGCTTCACCGATGGCAATCAGAATACCAAGAAGCTTCTGAGCACCATTCCTACAAAACAAGTACGAACACAGAATAAGAACTCACAAGAACACAGCTTCACAGTTTTCCAAAAACAGCTCAATCAAAGTCCAGGTTTGGTAAGAAGTAACGAGGAAAAGACATGGTCAAATCACACAGGACATAGTATCAGTTCATGCTCGGAATTGTAAACAGAAACGGCAAAACAATACTTACAAGAGTGCACGATCCTCACGAACATTGTTGTCGACCTCAATAATCTTTGAACCTGCCAAGAGTTGCATCACGAGTCCAGATGTGACAATAGGAGTAATACCCAGCTCCATCACGGTCCCACGGTTGGACGCAAGAATGACACGCATCCAATAGAATGGATCGGCACCGGTCGTGGAGTGAATTCCATAGAGAGGAAGCTGACTACAGACAAGAAAGATGAAGAGAGAGATCACAGTGTAGATAACCTTCTCTCTGAATGGCACCTTCCTGTCAGCACTCTGGACCTCTGGCAAAAAAGCAAGGAATGGCCTCACCAAATGCAAAACTCGAAATCCTCCTCCCATTGTTGTATCGAATTACGTTTGATCCTTATTTGCTTCTGTATAAATCGTAAATTAATTTCAAGTCAGCTCCTAAAACACAGAATTATGAAAACTAAACAGACCCACACGCATGCACTAAATTTACAAGCTTCATGAAAAATTCAAAACTATTTCATCCATGCGAACAAACACACAACCAACAAATTCACGAATTCTGCAACAGTATATCAATCCAGCTCCTCAACACTCAATATTACATTAAATCGATGAATCTGCGAGAGTGGGATACAAAAAAAACTGAAACTTTACTTTAGTGGAGCTAAGGAAGGTTATCTCAAGCGGTATCACTGTCGATCTAAAAACCAGATCTACGAAAAGGCATCCGATCCACACCGAGTATACATAAATTCGATACAGATTGGTAACTAAGAAATGCGAAACAGATCTAAAACCATAGATCAATAATCACACAGATCTGATACATGTTCCACACAATAATTTTTGATTTCTTCTCTAAAATAGAAGCAAAGATGCGAGAGACTCACAAAACCAACGATGGAGAAATAGAACATTCAGGAGAAAGCAATCAGGAATTGGAAGAGATTAAAAGGAAGGAGAGAAGCGAGCACTTACGATCTATGTAGACCGATCAGCTCCGAAACCGACGGCTTCGATAATTTTTCTTCCCCTTCACACGGAGAAAGAGCGTTGTAGTTTTGATGGTCAACGAAAGACGAAGGTCACCTTATAAGTATAAAAATCCATTTTAGATTTTTTATTTATTTAGTGAATTAATGCCAAATCGTGGCGATGCGAGAGAAATATGCTCGACACGATAGTATAACGAATCGCTGTATGCCACGTAAACTAATTTTTTTTGGACCCAGATTGGGCCGAATTTTTGTTCTGCAGATGAACAAGGCTTAAAAAAAAAATTCTTGTTCTGAGATTACTGGAAGAGTAAGAAATAATAGAATAAGAAATCAATCAAAAGTAGAAACAACATCAAAAGTTCAAAACTATTAATATTGTCAGGGTCTTCATTACGTTTTATATCTTTATTTGCTTAAAATCTACGTCCCTTCTTAGGATCTCGTTCATCAGAATCTCCTGCAGCAATTGACATCATTTCCCTCCTCAGTTTATCCTGTGAGAGAATAGAATCTCTTAGAATAAAAAATCAATGCAAGACAATATGACTAGTGGTCTTTGATAGAAAGAAAAACCTGTAAAAACATTTTCACGAACGGGAACACCACCAATCGATTGTCAATTATCGAAAGCTTGGGGAATTCATGTAGCTCTTTGAGCATGAATTCACTCAGCAATATTTTGGAATCAATCAAATGCAACTGCAACAACTCCCAAAATATGTTCTTATCAGAACTCACATAGCAATAGTTGTTTACATGTATAGAAAGGAAAAAGAAGAAAAAAAGAAGAATACCTTTTTTGTCAACGAGTTTCTTAGATTCAATAAACTTTCTTTAACAAAGTCATTTTGCACAGTCGTAGAGTGCCGAGATATAAACTCCATGAGTTTTGTGTCTTCTATCTCTTCAAATCTTGGAGACTCTGTTCCTTCAAGAACATCTCTTACCACATTTAAGAAAAAATGTTTATCATGCTTTATATACTCCTCACACTCCATTTGAAGCTGCCATGCATACCTACTCCTCAGATTAACGTTTTTCCTTTTGTCTTCTTTGGCACAAATTGCCTCAGCCACATCCAACATTTCATGGTAGGTGAGCATCTTCTGTTTCAGATCATAGTTGCTTCCAACTTCTCCAACGGTGCACCTTACGATTCTCAAAGCAGCTAACCATATATCAAGATTTTGTACACGATCTGCTACCTGAGACACAATATCTGCATCAATTTTTGGGCAGTCTAGAACCCAAGAGACGAAGTTATCACCTTTGGGTATCACATGGTCATAAATTCCACTTGACTTGAAAGTCCTTACAGTCCCCACGTCATCAAAATGATGCTCTCCTTCATACAGGAGCCTCTCATCCAGAAGCAGATTATTAGTTCCTCGCTCAAAATCGATTCTTTCCTTGAACAAGGACTTTTTCCAGAACCGATTCACTGCTGTTGATACCAACTTTATGCGAACATCTGTAGTGAGCTGTGTAGTATAGTCAAAGATGTATTTGAGCTCCTTAACATCTAAGAAGCAGATGCATTGAGGATTCTTAAAAAAACCACATTTATCAAGATAGGCCCCAGGAACACTAGGTATCTTCAGTTTCTCTTCAGTATAATCTATTATCCAGTTCCAAAGGGTACAAGAAAGGGTATTGTTTTCATTCGGACAAGAAGATTTGAGAACCTCAGCAAACTGTTTTAGAATGTGTTTTCGCTCTTCATCCTTTGCTACAGGCCAGTGATACCATCCATTCACATAGACAAACTCTTCCCCACGCCTTTTGCTGCTCTTGATCAGATTTGCTGCCGCTGCTATATCCACTGGCTCCCAATCTCCAAAACAGATCATGTCACTCAAAGACTTACTAACACACTTCGGACGAGCACTCACTTGGGGTACAAATCTGTTCACATGATTATCAAATACGTGCCTCATGCAGTCGGTGAAACAATAGTTCACCTGAGGACACAGGTGACACTTCCACACTCTCCAGCGAAAATCATCCAGGACGCATAAACATTTCTGAAAATTCTCTTTGACTTTGTTGTCATACTTCTCATGAATATACTCTATAAGCTTTGTAGCGTCTACTACCATAAAATTCTTCTTGGCCTTGTCATCTAGATTAATCCAAAACATCTTGAATTCATCAGCCGAAGGATTAGCATATCGCTTCTCCTGTTCATTTAGCAAAACCATCTGACTAGCCATACTTCTATCAGAGAAAGTCACAGCCGGAAGTCTTGTCGCCATCTTTCTTGTTGCACGATTTATAATATCCTGAAGGTTTTTCTCCAAACCTTTAATATATTCCAAGGATTGACTAGTTCTTTGAGATTGAAGCATCGTTAGGCCATTGTTCGCTTTGGACAGAGCTTTCGCATAAAAGTTGTTTATCCCAAGTTTATCACCTAACTCAATCAGCGAAGTAGCGTAACCAGAAAATGACCTTACATCTTGGGGATAGAGACGCGACGACGATGAATATGAATCTAGGGATGCAAACAAAAACAGACATTTGACGTCGGGTGCATCAGTTTTACTCGCTAACAGAGAAAAGATTTCACCTTGAACTAGGTGGTGAACAGAGCAGAATGGATTGGTCCCATGAGCAGAAATAGTTTTCTGGGTTGTCGCCAAAGCTTTGATATGATTGTGATCAGAATCTTTGAGGAAGCCTCTGGCAAGACGATAGGCATCCCTGATCTTCTTTTTTGTTTCCTCGCCGCTCTCTGAGTTCATCGTCATCCGAACCAAGTTTCTTTGAATTGGGTTCCAAGAAAATAGGAGGAGAGTGAGAAAGAAAAGAAAGGAAAAAGAAAGGTTTTTTTTTTTGTGGGAGTATTGTTTGCGAGAGAAAACCGAGTAGAGGCAGTTACGGTTTATGTAACTGTTGGGTGAGCCAGATGAAGATATAGAAAAGGTCAGGTGCAAGCCACGTGATAAGTGACGAAGACAAGAAATTTTAACAGTCTTGTCGTTTTTATCTTCCGCAACAATGATCTCCATTGGGAACTGATTTCAATTTTCAAACGACCTCTCACTGTCACATATCGTCGAACACCTAGAGGAGTGTGCTCCACGGTTTCGTAGATTCATCCAGTGTTGCCCGTGGAACTTCTCAGCTGGGATTCGTGGGAGTCGAAGAGAGGGAGTGGGGATCAGGCGTTTCGTCGGACTCGAAATCGTCGGCCTCCGGAACGATTGAGAATAGAGGCGGCGAGGAGCGACCCTAAATCAGACTTGGATTCGCAACCGCCCGTTTTTGCGTTTTCCGGTAAGGAAGCGATCCTAAATCAGACTTGGATTCTCAACCGCCGGTTACTGCGTTTCCCGGTAAGGGAGCGACCTTAAATCAGACTAGGATTCGCGACCGCCGGTTTTTGCTTTTACCGGTAGGGGAGCGCCCTAAATCAGACTTGATTTTTTTCCCGGCGAACCATTCGGTTTCGTTATTAATTTGCCAATTTCCAGGTCAATTTTGTAATCTTTGGTTCTCTGCACTAAACCAGGTGGTTTCCTTTGCTTGGGTCGAAATTAATATAATTATTAAGGAAAAAACTCTCGTCTTATTATTTCCACAAATAGTGTATATACATTACATAACTAATGTATCAGAAACCCTAATGGGCCATGAGACATTAACCTGATGGTTAATGGGCTGGTTACTAGAAATCCATTTGTTTATAACACTCCCCCTTGGACAAGGTAACCGTGCCTGTCACAAAACCGGGATCTCTATAATGCGCTGGGGAACGTTGCCTCATTAAAACCTTACCAGGAAAACCCAGTGGGAAAAACCATGGTGAAGGAAAAAGAGTACAACACGCATTACTCCCCCTGGTTTAGGCATCACTGTAGATCTCTAAGTCTACGCATTCCTATCTGATGAATGAGCTTCCGGAGTGTAGAAGTCGGTAATGATTTAGTGAATATATCGGCTGAATTTTCGCTTGATCGGACTTGCTGAACCTTGACCTGACCATCCTTCTGTAGCTCATGAGTGAAGAAGAATTTGGGCAGAATATGCTTCGTCCGGTCACCTTTGATGTAGCCGTCCTTGAGTTGAGCGATACAAGCTGCATTGTCTTCATACATCACCGTAGGCTCCTTATCTTCGTCCATACCACAATCTGATCGGATATGCTGAGTCATGGACCGCAACCAAACACACTCTCTACTAGCTTCGTGAATGGCCAAGATTTCCGCATGGTTGGATGAGGTAGCGGCAATAGTCTGCTTCGTGGATCTCCAAGATATGGTTGTTCCTCCATGCGTGAAAACATAACCGGTTTGAGACCGGGCACAGTGCGGATCTGACAAATATCCTACATCAGCAAAACCAACTAGACCATCCTTGTTATGGTTAGAATAAAATAATCCCAAGTCCTTAGTACCTTGAAGGTATCTAAGGATGTGCTTAATACCGTTCCAGTGCCTTTGAGTTGGACACGAACTAAAGCGAGCTAAGAGGCTCACGGCAAAGCAGATGTCTGGTCTAGTGTGACTAGCCCAGTACATTAATGCTCCTATGGCACTGAGGTATGGCATTTCAGGACCGAGGATTTCTTCATCGTCCTTCTTTGGACCGAATGGATCACTATCCAATCCAAGGCTCCTCACAACCATTGGGCTGGTCAATGGGTGGGCCTGGTCCATATTGAATCTCTTGAGTATCTTTTCAGTGTATGCCAATTGATGCACAAGGATTCCGTCATTGACGTACTCAAGTTGTAATCCCAAACAGAATTTAGTTTTGCCTAGGTCTTTCATTTCAAACTCTGCTTTTAAGCATTCAACTGTTTGGGCGATTTCACCAGATGTTCTGAGGATGTTCAAGTCATCCACGTATACTGCTATGATTACAAATCCTTTGTTTTGATATTTTCTGATGAAGATGCATGGACTGATCGGATCGTTTTCGTAGCCTTCTCTGATGAGATATTCGCTTAACCGGTTATACCACATACGTCCGCTTTGTTTCAGTCCATATAAGGATTTGTTCAACCTAATGCAGTGTTTATCACGAGATGCATGCTTATCTTTGAGCTCAATACCATTTGGTAATCTCATATAGATTTCACTGTCCAGTGGTCCATAAAGATATGCGGTTACAACATCCATTAACCGCAAATCTAAGTTTTCTCTTATGGCCAGACTTATGAGGAATCGAAATGTAGTTGCATCCACCACTGGAGAATAAGTCTCCTCATAATCGATTCCGGGTCTCTGTGAGAATCCTTGTGCTACAAGGCGTGCCTTGTATCTAACGACTTCGCCGAGTTCGTTTCTTTTACGCACAAAGACCCATTTGTTTCCCACTGGTTTAACATCGAATGGTGTCCTTAAGATCGGACCAAACACATTCCGTTTCTTTAAACTATTCAACTCCACGTTTATGGCTTCTTTCCATTTCAGCCAATCTGATCTACGAGTGCACTCAATTATAGACGTGGGTTCTAGATCCTCTTGCGTGTGCGCAATCTCAAGTGCTACCTTGTATGCAAAAGTTTCATTGATGTCGACATCTTTTCTGTTCCATAGAGAACCGAATATGATATAATTGATTGAGATCTCATTATTATCAATCCCTTCAGAACCTTGAGTTTTGGCGTCCTAAACCTCTTGAGATGGTTTGATAGGGTAAGTATCAGCTGAGGCTGTATCCGTGTTCTCTTGAATCCCGGTTTCAATCATTGCACCTTTCTTTGATTTCCGGGGATTCTTATCTTTGGAACCTGGTGGTCTGCCACGTTTCTTACGTGCGTCAGACTCTGTAGCAACTTGACTTTTCCCTGAGGGGACATCTATTCGTACTGGTGCATTACAAGCTGGTATGTACAATTTGGTAACTTTGTTCGGGTCAGCAAAGGAATCTGGCAATTGATTAGCTAGCTTTTGTAAATGTATAATTTTTTGGACCTCTGAATCACATTCTAGAGTCCGAGGATCTTGCCATTGTGTGGATGTTTGATTCCATGAAAGTTCTTTTACCAGCTTGTCTGTCTCACCACCTAATCTAGGATATACCGATTCATCAAATCGGCAATCTGCATATCTGGCTTTAAACAGATCTCCTGTAGTTGGCTCGAGATATTTTATGATGGTGGGAGAATCAAAACCAACATATATTCCCATCCTCCTTTGAGGTCCCATTTTAGTCCTCTGTGGTGGTGCAATGGGTACATAGACTGAACACCCAAATGTTTTAATATGGGAGACGTCTGGCTCATGACCCGTTAGCAATTGGGATGGTGAATATTTGTGCTCACTAGATGGTCGTATGCGTATTAGTTCAGCGGCATGTAAGACTGCGTGTCCCCAAGCTGAGACCGGGAGTTGTGACCTCATGAGTAATGGTCTAGCAACCCATTGAATTCGTTTAATGAAGGATTCAGCTAATCCATTTTGTGTATGGACATGTGGAACGGGATGTTCAACACTTACTCCCATGGACATACAATATTCATTAAACGCTTGGGAAGTGAATTCACCAGCATTATCAAGACGTATAGTCTTTAATGGGAAGTCTGGAAAATGGGCTCGTAATCTGATGATTTGGGCCAATAACCTAGCAAAAGCCTGGTTCCTAGAAGAGAGCAGACAGACATGCGACCAGCGGGTCGATGCGTCAATGAGGACCATGAAATATCTGAATGTCCCACAAGGTGGGTGAATTGGTCCACATATGTCTCCTTGGATTCTTTCCAGAAAGTTCAAGGTCTCTTTAGACACTTTGACTGGTGAAGGTCGGGTAATCAGTTTCCCTTGTGAGCAAGCTGTGCACTTGAGGTGCTGAGGGAAAATACCATTTGGTTTAAGGCTGTGCCCTTTAGAATTCTGGACTAATTTACGCATCATGTTCGCACCGGGATGACCCAGGCGATCATGCCAAATAGTGTAATCTAAAAACCGTGCTTTGATAGCAGCATTAGCCTCAATCATACTGACTTTAGCATGGTAAATGCCAGTAGATACGGCGGGTATAGTTTCAAAAACTTGTTTATGGCCATTTATCATTTTAGTGATAATTAAAAACTCTTTGTTCCCTTCATCCTGAGTTTCGATATGGAAACCATTCAATCTTATGTCTTTGAAACTCAATAGGTTTCTCTTAGAACTGGGTGAGTATAAGGCATCAGAGATGTCTAGATATGTGCCATTTGATAACAACACATTAGCTTGGCCATGGCCCTCTATTAGGCTCGAACTACCCGCTATAGTGCTAATGTTTGCGGTTTTGATTACTAAATTTATGAAGTAATTCTTGTCTTTTAGAATGGTGTGGCTCGATCCACTATCCACAATGATATCCATATTGTCTTGCATATCTTTATTAAACAAGAATTATAATTCAATAACATGCAAAAATGAGATGTAAATAAAACATTACTCCATAAATTAAAATGTAAAAGCAAAAGGTCTTAAAAATCCAAAGTAAAGACAATAAATCCCAAAAACAAAAGATAAAAGTTTAAGGAGTAATGAAAAACAAATTCAGATTTTTGAGATCAATCAAGGAGGTCGGAGAGCTCATAATCCATGCCATCAATCTTATCATCATTTGAGTCATCTTCATTGACTTGATGAACCAGGTTAGCCTCATGATTATCTTTCCCATACTTCTGGTAGAGCTCAGCAAGATATTTGGGAGTACGACAGATCTTGACCCAATGATTAGTCATTCCGCATCTTAGTAAAAAATTGGTCTAGATGAACTGCCTCTTTGGATCGGTTTGTTGATACCACGACCCTTACCCCGACCAAAACTGAGGTTAGGTCGGTTTTCTTGGTTCGGTCTACCGCGTCTTCTACCGCGTCTTCTGCCGCGCAGTCCATGTCCATTTCCACGTCCACGTCCACGATCTGAGGATCTGTTACGTTGGACGAAGTTGGACTCTTTTCTGGTTCCTTCTGGCAATGGGGCTGATCCTGGAGGCCGCATGGCACTGTTCCTCAACAGAAGCTGATTGTTCTTCTCAGCAAGCAGTAAGCAAGATATTAAATCCTCATAGGTGCTATGATTCATGGCACGGTATTGTTGTTGGAGAACAACATTGGGAGTGCCAAAAGTAGAGAATGTTTTCTCTAGCATATCTATTTCAAGAAACTTGCTATTTTAGGAAACTTGCTATATAAGGGAACTCTAAAATCGAACCTTAGGGTTTATAACCTAGCCGGTTTATTAGGGTTTCCAAATTTAGCTCTAATAGATAAACGTTGGTTTATCTCTTAACCATTTTAAAAAAAAAAAAAAAATCTAGAGATTGATTTTGGGAACTAATTTGAAATTAACCGATTAAGCTTAAACCGATCGGATTGATCGATTAAACAACAAAACCGGTTAAATTAGATTTAATTTTGGAAACCGGTTATTAGGGTTATTAATCAGTTAAGGGATTAAACTAAACGGATTTGGTAGGGTTTAATTTTATTAGGAAAACCGATCGGTTTAAACTTAAACCCTATCAATTTAGGATTAGAATTTATCGGTTTATAAACGGTTTAGGTGGATCGATCGGTATAGAGTTTAAGGGGTCGATTGGTTTAGGATTTAGGAGCTTGTATGGACCGGTTTTAGGGTTTTCAAGGATCGGATCTAAGATAAATAACCGATCTATTCACTAAATCATTACCGACTTCTACACTCCGGAAGCTCATTCATCGCTTGGAAAGAATCACCCGCTAAGGTGAGACAGCGCCGATTGTTTTGAGTCTTGAGGGCGCGTCTGGTGTCGGATTGAGGATCGGTTTTCACCACTAGATTTTTCTCTTCCAGGGCTTCAAAATGATATGTAGATCGCCTTCTAACTCCTTGTATTTTGAGAGATATGATCGTTTGAAGTTGAGCTTCGTGCTGATAACGTATTAAGGGAAAAACTCTCGTCTTATTATTTCCACAAGCAGTGTATATATACATTACATAACTAATGTATCAGAAATCCTAATGGGCCATGAGACATTAACCTGATGGTTAATGGGCCGGTTACTAGAAATCCATTTGTTTATAACAATAATATAATTTTTATAATTTTTTTTTTCTTTTTTGGAGTTAGATTTTTGAAAAAATGAAATCAAAAGACCTAACCAAAATGGAAACTGAAAATCCCAATTCTAATTTTTTTTTTCTTTTTTGGGTTGTAACTTTTTAGCTTTTATTAATTAAAATAAAGCTAGATCTCCAATTACAAGTTGTTATGAATATAAGTTTAATAAAATTGAACACAACGGCGTTATGCACAAGCTTATTCAACTTGAAAAAAAGTATATTGTGCACAAATTATATAAATCTCAATTATCAATTTGAGAGAATATTAAAAATCTCCATTATAATTAAGAGTTTTGTGAAAAGGATTATTGAAAGATTTTTTTTAAAAAAAAAAAATATTTGCTAACTGATTTACTATTGAAATTGCAGGAGAAAAAAATGATACAAATCCCGTAGGCGTAATCGGCTAAGTAGCCTAACTCACAAAGAAAAGAACCTATAGAAAGAGACCGGATGTTGTCAGGGACTTGGACCATTTTCTGTAGACAAAGAGACCGGATGGCTGCCATTCGATGGAACAAGGGGGTTTTTTTTTTGCCAATTAATCATGGATCGCGAACTTTAAGCCAACTACCCTTTTGTTTAAAATTTTCTATTGTTTAAAACTAAATTATATTTATTTTATAAAAACTTATATTGAAAATATCTTTGCTTTTTAATGCGCCTTAAGCTTCCGTGAACCTATCTATATTGCACAGCATTCGGGTATGCATACAATGGTAATTTTTGAATAAATAATTGAAAGTAAATTATGTTTGAGGTTTTTGGTAAATAAGTTACCTGCGTCTAGATAAAGAGACTATGGATTTCATCTAGAGCTCGATTCATTATTGATGACGTCTAAGCATATGTTATTTTAATCTCTGTTTGTTGTTAATCTCTCTACTTGTTTAATCTTTAAAAGTAGTGAATAGTAGATAAAAAAAGCTGCAAAGTCAAGTCACAAAAAATAAGAAAAGCAAAAAAACAGACATATTCTATGAACTTAATGATTCATGAGAATATTGAGAAATGAGGTCACATATGCATTGAAAGGGAATAAAGCTTGTGTATGCCTAAAATATATGATGCATCTGATCGTAAAACAAATTTAGAAATTCCCAGACTACAATTTGCCTTAAGAGTCAAAGTTTTTCCGATATTGCAAAAACGTAGAAGGCAGTTTTTCAAACAACTCCTTCTCTAAGATTTTTCTTCATCTTCTAAGAAAGAAGCCTCCAAGATTGTAGCCCTGCTTCAAAAACATAACTCACTTTAACTAAAATAAAAAATAAAAATAAATAACAACAGCAAAACAAAAAATAAAAATAAATAACAACAGCAAAACATGTTGACAGGATTCCATTACCTGCGTCCCTTCTTAGAAGAAGCTTCTGTAGTAACTGGCCTCGTTCTGTTATGTGTTTTCATCGTCTTCTTCAGTTTATCCTGCGAGAGAACACATGTATAAATATAGTTCGAATTAAGAAACAATTCAACACCAAGTGAGTGGTCTTTGATAGAATTCCCAAGTTGACAAACCTGTAAATACATCTTCACGAACGGAAGGATCACTACGCGATTCTCAGTTGCTGAAAGCTCTATGAATTCATGTAGCTTTTTGTACGTCCACTCGTTCAGAAGAATCTTTGAATCGATCAAATGGAACTACAAAAAAAACTCCCCCAAGATTTGTTTTTATCAGCCCAGGGCATAAGGGCATGGAGGTCTTATATATATATAATACCTCAGCAGCTAATGAAAATCACAGATAGAAATAAAATACCTTGTCGTTGAGCGACTTCCTTAGCTTTAAAAGACTTTCTCTAACAACATCATTTTGGATAGTAGAGAGCCCGGATATACACTCCATGAACTCTTTGTCTTCTAATACTTCAAATCTTGGAGATTCCGCCCCTTGAAGAACATCTCTTACCACATTTAGGAGACAACATGTGGTAGCATTATCCTGCCTTTGACGCGCCTCACACAACATTTGAAGCACCAACGCGTATCTTACCCTCTGATTAGCATTCTTCCTATTGTCTTCATTGTCACAAGTGGTCTCAGCCTCGTCCAACATCTTACCATAGGTTATCAGCTTGTCTCTCTTATTATAGTAGCTTTCCTCTTTCCTAGCTGTGCACCGTACTATTCTCAAAACTGCTAACCATATCTCAAGATTGTCTATACCCTCCACCACTTGAGACACAAAATCGGTATCGATTGCTGGGCAGTCTAGAACCCAAGAGACGAGTTTATCACCCTTAGGTATCACATGCTCATAAATTTTACTTGAATTAAAAGTCCTTACTGCCTCTGTGTCGTCATCAAAATCATGATGCTCTCCTTCATACAACAGTCTCTCATCCAGAAGCAGATTACAAGTTCCTCGCTCAAGATCGATTCTTTCCTTGACCAAGGAATTTCCCCAAAACCGATTCACTGCTGTTGACACTAATCTTGTGCGAACATCTGTGATGATGAGCTGTCTAAAATATTCGAGAATGTATTCAAGATTCTTAAGATCTAAGAAGCAGATGCACTGAGGGTTCTCAAAGAAGTTACATTTATCAAGATAGCTCCCGGGAACTTGAGATAGTGGCAGATTCTCTTCTGTGTAATCTATCAACCAATCCCAGAGGCTACATGGAAGAGTATCATTCTCATTGGAGCAAGAAGATTTAAGAAGATGAGAAAACTGTTTGAGTATGTCTTTCCGCTTTTTATCATTGGCAACAGGCCAATCACTACACCATCCATTAACATAAGCAAACTTTTCCCTGCGCTTAGTTTTACTCATGATAAGATCTTTTGCCTTAGCTACATCCACAGGCTCCCAGTTCCCACAACATATCATGTCAGCCAAAACCTTATCCACACACTTAGGACGAGTAAAGAATCTTCGGGGTTGAAATTTGTGCACGTGGTTATCTAAGATGTGCCACTTGTAATCTGTAAAACAGTAATTTACCTGAGGACAAATGCGGCACTTCCACCATCTCCATCGAAGTTTATCCTCGACCACACTGTATACACATTTCGCAAAATGTTCTGTCACTTTGTTGCCACACAAATTCTTTATGTAGTCCAAAAGACTTTTAGTGTCTACTACCAAAAATTCCCTTTTGGTCTTTCCATCCAGTTTACCCCACAAGTTGTTCATACGATCAACATAAGGATCTTCCTTCCCCTGTTCTTGCTTTCCCGATTCCATCTGATCATTAGCCATTGTATCAGACGCAGTCGCAGTCGCATTGCTATTCATCTTCACTGTTGCAAGATTTATCAACGACTGAAGTTGTGTTTCCAAATTTTCAGTTTCTTGAGGCTTAAGCATCATCTTCTTTAAAGAGGATAACCCTCGTCTTGCCTTGGACTCAGCTTTCTTATAAAACTTGTTTATCCCAAGCTGATCACCCAATTCCATCAGCGAACGAGCACAGGCACAAAAGGAGCTTACATCTTGAGGACACAGGCGAGTAGACGTTGAATACGAATCGACAGAAGCAAACAAGTATACGCATTTGATGTCGGTGATATCTGTCTTTCTCGCTAACTCAGAGAAGATATCACCTTGCAGTTGGTGGTGAGGAGAGCAGAATTGGTTCATAATCCCATGATCAGATATTGTTTTCTCGGTTGTCTCCAAGGCCTTAATGTGATCAGCTTCTTCGAAAAAGCCTTTAGCAACTTCGTATGCGTCGATGATTTCCTTTTCTGTTTTCTCTGAAGTCGTAGTCATCCCAACACATGTAGCACTATCTTCTGTCTCGAGATAATGGTGAGTTTCTTCGATATCGCTTTGGCTTCCACAAAAAAAAAAAAAAAAGGTGATGAGTGATGGAGACGGAGATCCACAGTTTGTTATATTAATCTGTCTTGGTATATACAATGGTAACTTTTGAAAAACGAATTGAGAGAAAATTTATGTTTGAGGTTTTTATAATATAAGTTACCTTCGTTCAGGAGAGTAGAATAGGGATTCCATAGCCGGAATCGGATTTTTCTTCGTGTGATCGACTAATGGAGAGAGAGAGAGGTGGTGGTGAAAATAATAAGGATTAAGGGTTTGTTGGAGTACTAGATAAGGCTCCCTTAATGCGGGGTAATCTAAATTATATCAAGTATTTATCAATAAGTATAATTAAAATTCACAATAAAAATTTGATGTATATAATTAATAAGACTATAAGTATATTTAAAATACTAGATAAATATGTTTAAACCGCATTTATAAATAAATATCAATAAATAAAAAACTGAATATCAATAAGTATTTTAAAGTTCACAATAAAAAACCTTTTATGTTTTTGTGCATGTCAAGCTTCGCCATTGTTTATGGTGATCGTATGACTACGCAGTATAATCAAAGAATTTAAGACAAATATACCTAAAATAGCACCAAACCAAATTGTATGGACAACTGTAGTACCATCTCTGAAAAGTCACATAGTATGTATGTAGATCAGGAAGACATTTTTGCCTTCCAAAAGACTTTATTAGAGACTATTGATTTTGAAACTGTTATCCATGATTTTGCATGACTACCACTCCCTAACAACCGTTTTTTGTGATTGCATATATCTTTTTGTGATGACTACTTCTTTCTTTCTTTCTTTTTTTTTCACAGATTCAAGAAGATACAAGGTTTTTAAAAACACAAATAGCTGCAAAAGAATCTACGAAAAGGAAGGAAAAACATAACGAAGAAAAAGCCTAACGATTACATGTTTTTATGTCAGAAAGCCTATTTTTGAATCTTGCCCTAGGGCCTACAAAAACTTTGATCCCGCGCCGACCTGATACTGTAAACTTGTTCCCCAAGATCTTGGGTTTCCATCTTCCCAGTTATCCCTGAGACATCAACAACCATAGTTTGAGAGATATTTCTTAAATTAGATAAAAAAAAAACAAACAAAAAACGCACTCGTAACAAAGACGTACCGAGGAGGACTCATGGGCGTGTAAGGATTCCAAGCTCTATCACGCATGGGTGTCCTCATTCCATCATGGATAGGTGTAGCTGAAGTTTTACATAAACTTATCAAAAGTGGAGACCCAAAAAATAAAAAACGATTGGATCTCAAAACTGAAAAATAACTAAGGTTATACAAACCTCCAGAATCCCGCATTGGAGTCATACAAGAATGAAGTGGAGTCCGTGAAGGATGCATGGGAGTTTGGCTTCCCATATTATACTGAGAAGGTGTAGCTACATTATCAGTTGCAACTGATATTGCATCCCGATTAACTGTACGTACATACAAAGAGACTTAGAATACACTCAACATGCATGCAGCAACCAAAAGTGTGTAGAAGAGAGCTTGCCTGTCACAATCTTTGCCTCGTGTTCCAAACGCACTGTCTTATCTTTGACTTCTACTAAACGACCCCTATATCCCTTGAAAGGCCCCACACGAACTTTCACATAAGCACCGACCAAAAGATCGTTACCCCTTCCTCCTCTTCCACCCCAATGTCTTCCTCCAGCTCCAGCTGCATTTACACATAAAGTTTCTAAGCCATGAACGATTCTAACTAGATCCATTTCCAAACTAGATCACTGAACTACCCAGAACTTTAGTATAAGTCATATATATATATTGGAATCATTGCCCCTTTAACAAGAACTCCTAGTGACAACCAAATATAGCATGAAAAATCTCAACATACAGTTATATCCCAAGTCTGCCCGTTGAAATCTTCTTGGAGACGGAGGTACCAGGGCTGGTGTCTTGAAATTGCCAAACCTTGACAAGGAATCATCCTGGAGTAGAAAAGGTAACCAAGAAACTGAAACTATTATTCGCTGAAAATAGAAAGAAAAAAAAAATAGCTAAACCTGCTAAAAAATGCTTACAGTTCTTTCAGCGCCAGAATATGATCCACCAACAAGAACACAAGACTGGCATTTAGCGCAGATAAATCCAGTGTGCTCAACGCTATGCCGGTCATGTATAAATAACACTCCTTTGTAGATTTGTACCACTGGACCTTGTTTACCCTATCAGAAACGAATCAATTAGTATAAGACTAACAAACTTCAATGGTAATTATAGAGTTTGTTAGCAAAAAAAAAAGAGACCAGACTGCAAAGGAACTCACTTTGCTAGGACCCTCAATGACCCTGGCAACATCTTTCACCGTGATGACATTTTTGTAACGGTCTTGCACATTGATTTTCTTCTCAATTTTGCACTTTATTTCTCCGTGTTTGACAATTGAAACCTCCGGTCTTTCAGGAACCCCCTTAAGAACCTGAATAAGTCAAAAACAGAGTTACTACAGATTGTGAAAAGAAAATGCAACGTAATGTTGACTAATAACAGTTGTATGATTGCATCCACAAATAGTAACTTACCTGGATAGCTTCACTATCAAGTTTTATAATTACTCCAAAGCTCAAGTTGCTGCATCGTGTAAAATAAAGCTCTCTCATACACTGAAAAATGTCATCACTAGAGGTGGTTGGGCATTCAACTTACCTTAGAAGCACAAGATCATGAAGTTCATAGTCTCCCATTTTTGTGACACCATTACTCATTTCTGTACTCCTGACGACGTGATCAGCGAAGACACGGATCTATATATACATACAATCCTCATGTGAATATGTGATTAATTACCCTTGTCAGAAATGAAGGCAAAACTTGCACAAAAATTTCCTTACATGTTCTTTGGTCGTGTCAGACAGAATGATAAGCACATGCTGATCAACTTTGACAACCATGCCAGTTGCTCCTTCATGGGTGCCCGAAACAACCTTCACGTGATTTCCAGGTTCAAAGTATTTGCAAAGCTCTCTCTCATTTACAGCAAGAGGATACTGAAACAGTAGTCATATATATTTTACTGGCTGCAACATTTCAGAAACATATATGGTGTTGTTGAAAAGATAAAGAGTTTGGATGCTTACATGAAGACCTTTCAGCTCTGATCTTATAAGAACAGTCTCTTCATCTACTTTCTCAACCAAACCCTTCATATTTTTTAGATCGCCCTTGATAACAATAACCTCATCACCTTTCATGAAATGACCCTTTTTCCTATTCGCAAATAAAGTCGAGAGATCAACAAAGTCGATCTCCCCATTTTCGCTTGGTTTCTTGAATCTTTCAAGTTCATCGAAGGTTGGTGTAACATTCTGAGCAGCAATCGACTTCGTTGATACTTTTTTGTACAGGAAACCCTCTTTGAAAAGCATACCACCGATATTTTCAAAGTAGTCACCAGTCATCCGATCACGTCGGTGCTCAACCCGTATGTGAAGTTCCCTAAAGAAACGTTACAAATATTCAATTCTCATAAATTCCAAAGAGTCCCCAAAAAGAATGGCTTCCAAAGAGCTAACTAGCATAGAATTGCTTCCTCATAGAAGTACATACCTTGCCTCCTCCACGTTCATGAAGCGTGGAGGTGGAACAAAAGCTTGTTTCTTCACAATCTCTCTTCCTTCCTAGAAATACCCAAGTAAAAATGTGCCGAGATATATCAACCATTGAAGGCCAAAACAATTTTTAACACCAAAATAGAAAGCTTCTTAAATTAAACAACCATGTTTCACAAATACAATACCACAGTTTGTTACTCATACCAGCTTATTGGCTAGAACCTGCAGATCAATTCTTGGGATTAACTTGACTGTGACCCTCCTACGCACATTATCAACATCAACCACCTGTAAAGAACTTATAACATTTCAGCGAGGTTCAGAGAAGTTTAATTATGTAAGTTAAAGCACATGAAAGTTGACTGTGATCGTACCTGAGCTAAATCACCTTTATATATCCCAAGTTTCATCCTAACCCATGTATCTCGTGATAGATCGATTGTTTTACTCTTGACAGAGAGAACATCTGCCATTTCTTTTATCGGGACTAGTAAAATCTTATGATTTGCAAAAATATACCGCATGCCCTTGATAACCTAAACCACACGAGGAAACGAATCAACAAAGATTCAAAATCTAGTCAGAAAAAAAGCAGGGTTAAGCTATCATCAAAATACCTCTTTGACATGAGCTTCCATATCGGCTTCAACATATATATAGTTCTGAAGATGATCAAGCGCAATAACAGATCTGATCTTGAAATCTGATCCTCTATCTATGACTTTTTGCATAAGACAAACAGCAACCTCTCTTTCACGACCAATCTGTTATTTCATTGTGCAAATTCAAGAATAACCAATGCTCTACTATTACAGAACAGAAACATACAAGAATTAAACTTCCAGAGACAGAAGAAACAAGAAAGCCTACCGCACACTTAACCATCCACAACTTTGGGTCACGAACTGATGGCAAAAGCGCTTGCTGGTCAACGTCGGTAAGCTCTTCATGCTCATTATCATATTCATTAGCATTGTATAGCCTAGAATACCTTTCTTGAAAATACTGATTATCGAACTGTTCGAGATCATCCTCATCATTCACATGAGGACGAAATTGTTCGTTGTTAAATTGCCTATGATCAACTTCCTCAGCAGCATGCTCAATGAAACCTACAATTACCAATTAATTGCCTATGATCAACAATTGTTTGTAGTTTATTTAAATTTCACACAGAACAAGCCAAAGAAGCAGGATAGTCAAAATTTTATATTTAGAAATCAATTTTCTTATCTGCAAAAAAAAAAGAGAATTCAATGTCGCTTACCATCCTCTTGCTCGTCATCTTCGGACTCTTCGTCGTCGTCATCTACAGCGACCTCGCTGTCTATGAATATGGAACCCGAAGGCTTCCTTTTCTTGCCTCTTCGACCGGCGGAATCTGAATTTGATCTTCTCCGGCTCCTTCTCGGCTCTTCTTCTTCTTCTTCTTCTTCCTCCTCCAACTCCGAATCATCGTCCCAGGAATAATCTCCGTCGTCTGAATTGTGAGCCATGGTTTTTGGTTACAGAAAACTAGGGTTCCGATTAGAAATACCCAACGTAGAAATCCCAATGTCCTCCGCTCCTACTCGATTCAAAGAAGAACCCTAATTGAAAAGCCTGAGGAATCGAAAGGGGGAAACTTTTTCGCTTATTGCACTTAGCAAAGCATGAATTATAATCGAACTGTGAAATTTGCAAATTGCCATGCAGTGCCTTTTATACATATGCATATTCCGATTTTGCCCCTTTCCATCTTTTAATTTACGGATTGTGTAATAGTCTATGGTAGTTTCGGACTCATCCGATTATCGCCTCAAAATTTAGGGTGTTTTTTTTTCTTTATAAAAGTAAATTAATTAGGGGAGGATGTGATCAAATTCCGAGAATCAATCACATATGAGTATGTTATTGTTATATATGATAGTAAAAAAATGTCTTAGAAACGACTTAATTTGAAAAAAAATATAATTAATTGCGTAAGTAACCAATGTTTTCACTTACCCTCTTCATGAATAGAAGACCTTCATCCAACCACTAGCAGCTACTGATGGCCATGCGAGAAGACAAAACTATTCGTTTGTACTTAGAGCATATATAACCAAACATAGCCTGATATCATTCAATGGTTTTCTCTAAAGTCAGGATTAGATTTCTACAAGCTATAGATCCAAGAACTAGTGTCCTCTTCGACTAAAAAAATAAATAAATCGGACTATCCATAATTATAGTTATATAAAACATTAGTGCAAAACAATTACCGGGCAAATCTCCTTTGGCATAGAGATCACCATAAAACACATATGCATATGCAAGAATTAAGTAATAGATCCATGCCAAAGGAGATCTTTCCCTGTAATTCATTTGCACCTTCTCCATATATCTTTCATATATCTCACTCTCTACTAAAAAATAATTGTTTGTATTGATTATATATAACATTTTGAGAAGCATATTCAATGGCACTATCCTTCCGATCTAGAATAAAATCTCTCCTACGTACGAATAATTAAATCTCTTAAGGAATAATCCTTTATGCCCTCAATATTGTTCAGTCAGTGAGTATTCTTTATTCGAGTCTCACTGATTTTTTTTTTCTTTTTGGGAAAGAGAGCTTCATAGAGTTTTGTTCTACTTTACTTGATTAATATTTTAATTAACACTTTATTTGATTGATATTAATTGACTTGAAATGAGTTATACTTAGGGCATCTCCAACAATAAACCTCATGGGAGAGGTTCATAGCCTTTTTTTAATATTATTTGGTTTTTTTGGCACAGTAGTCATACTCCACCCAAAATGCAGCTCCAATAATGAACTTAGACCAAAAGAAATCGGAAAAGAGAATACACCGAAACAATTTTTTCTCCTCAACCCACAATCCAATGATAATTCGCCACCAGTCATACGGGTTCAGCAGGCTTACTGCAGTGATACCGGATGAGTGGAGTTATACTCGTTTTTAAATTTTTAAACCCAGAAAATTAAAAGAGGCCCACTTGTAATACTCTTATAATTCCGTTGGAGATACCCTTATATCATAGAAGTGACCATACAGAGAAAACTCAAAGAGAAAATACAAACATTTTCATGATGATGAAACTTCTTTGATGACATATTGACGATGTCAAATGGCCTTGTTCCGAGTTCAACCAAGAGAAATTTCCGCATAACAGACAATGAAAACGGGTTTCAGACATTTCTGGCGATAACAAAACAACAATTCACATGTGATAGTAAATCTCCTTCTTTGTTTTGCCTTTGTTAAATTTGTCCCTTGTCCCGAATGAGTTTGGCTTGCCAAAAAGTTTTGCCTTTGTTAAGTGTTAACTAAGATGGTTAATTTTAGAAATAAATCTTTGGACTTGCCAAAAAGTTTGACAATGAACTTGTAAAGGTTATGAATGAACACTTTCAATAAACGAATAACTCTAAGAAGAAACTGATTCTTTAGAAATGGAAGATCCATGGTATTGTCCTCTCCAGGGTTTATTTGAAAAACTCACAAACTTTTGTCTCTTTTTTTTCTCTTTGTTTTGCAGTGTTAAAATATTGTTTTCTTTTGGGCATATAGGTTCTAATCATTTAATATGTTGTATAATCTGAGAAGGTTTCTTTCTAAACTCTAATTTTCTGTCTTGTGTCTTCATTTGTGAATGTTTGACACCTATCGTCACCTTTATTTGTTTGTTTGTGTTAAGAAGTTCATATACGACAAACCTACAATTGATAAGTTCAATTACTTCTCTCTGGTCAAGTAACATTCTAGGTAGAAATCTCACACGAAACTAGATATTAGCTCGTAAATTGTAGTAGTTTCACAATTACACAATTTTCTTTTATCCAAAGCAATAATTAAACTTTAAAGAAGATAAAAAGTACGAATATTATCACTATATAAAAATATTAAAATAATTACTGTTAAGTCAACTTTATCACTATATGCATTAAGGTTTTTTACACCCGGACAACGAGTCTAACACAAATTGCTAGGGTAATCTTGATTTTCTATTTATATCGTAGTTTGGAGAAATGAATAACGGTAGGAAAAAATTGCGAGGCAAATCTCCTTTGGCAGAGGAAAATGATAACAAAATATATGAGTCATCGGCGTCTCCTGCCAATAGAAGATTTACCCTGTAATGCTTTTCTACCATATGTTAGTCTTTTTTTCCTCTCACTTGATCCCTAATGAAAGAACTCGAACTATGTAATGTATTTATAAACCTTGAAAAGAGCATATACTATGGAACAATACCTATTAAGAACATGAATCACAAAACTTGGTATACAATTTTCAAGCAAAGTATTTGCAGTACTGGAACAAGAAAAGCCAGGTAAATCAAGAAAAAAAAAAAGAGATGTTAAATCCCGAAATTAGAAGCATAGGTACGAAAGGGTTTTTAGGATTATACTGGAGACATATATGCTCTATGAAACATATGGGATCTGCCACAGAATATGCTTTCCTCTATGCATTCACTGCAAACACTTTTCATCAACTATATATATACTTTGCAAGTCCAATTTACAATAACTCAAGACAAGACGCAATGGTGTGAAACATAAAGAATAATATTAAATATAGTATATTGTATGTTTGTGAAGAAAGAGAGATTTATCATCAATGTATGGCTGGATTACTGGGCGAATACTCCTATGGCAGATGGTATTGGGATAGCTTGAGATGCAAGCCAAGTGCTTCTCTGCCAAAGGATATTTGCCCCGCAGTTCAACCCATGCATGCAAACCAATTGTATATATTTCCATTATCTCTAGGCATTTTATGTTTGTTAATTGTTATCTTTGTTTTCAGGTTTTGTGGATCATAAACTACCATTACCATGCGAGGTATGTAAGCTGGTGAGTGTCTATCAAAACAAGGCATTACTTTAACGTTTCCTTTTTTTTAGTTAAAGCACATGTCAAATACGTGTTATAGTTCCTTTACTCATAGATTTCCAATCATAATTTTTTTTAATTTAAAAAAAAAACTGCATAACGAACAAAAAAATGTTTATATGTGTCCAGAAAGATAAAAGTGTTGATTGGTTAATTTTTATCACATTGGTAAGAAATGTACCGTTTCTTTTGTTACCGATCACATATACAATTAAATTTATCGATACCAAAAACATTAGTATTATTATTTTGTACTGCTATCTTATACTAATTTTCTTTTGTTTTCACTACTTTCAATCTCTTACCCTCACCATTTTTATGCCTGGAATAATTATTTATTTTTTTGGCAAAAAAAAAAAAGAATAATTATTTCTTTATGATCGAAGATTATTATATAAAACGTCAGTCCAACTGTTGGACTCCAACATATCAAAGCGGGTATATCTGGGCCTATAATTAAATTTTCTCATCATATGTAAACGTTAGTCCAAGATTCTAATAAACGAGATGGACGAAATTGCCCTTTTTGATTAATGATTATACGAGAAATCATGATGCTTTAATAAGTCAGATTCCAGAGATTAAACAATAAACACTGACTAATCTTTCCATGTAATAAACACTAAACTGTAAATGTACTAAATTCCATGTACTAAACTTTGAACTAAGAATTTGTATTCTTTTTTTTATTAAATCGAATAATTTGTATTATATCTTCTTCTTTTTTTCCCTTATCGTCTAGAGGCAGAAACGGATGACAGAATTATCAACAGATATTACTTACAAACTCACAAATTAGAAGTGTTTCTGTAGTAGCTGCTAATCTTTTTGAAAAACCAATGAAGGAGAATGACAGTAAGCAGAAAAACCATGAAGATGCAGCAAGATTGTCCACTTCCACGTCTCCTCTCATCCAATGTAGTTTCCCTTACTTCGCTCCACTCCTCCTCCGTTAACCTTACTGTAACATTCTTTGCTGTGCAACCGCAAATTTCACATACACTGCCAAGAACCACAACACAAGTTTACACCGAGATTTATCATCTGTATAGATTTCACTTAATGCTCAAATTCTTCATGATGAATCTTGTAGAGATTAGTCATGAAGAATCTATATACCATTGCTAAGCTAATAACACTCGAGGAATTGAATGGATTACCTGTTTCCTCTTAGCTTGAACCAAGCTTCAGCGCAATGAGAATGCGCAAGGCCAAGCTCGTTCTTGCATTTGCAACCAATCTCAACCAAGTCTGGACTTACTGACTTACCAGAAACTCTATCTGGTGACTGATCAGAACCAAAATGACAAATCCTGCAGATTCTTTGCCCAAGATCACTCTCTCCTCCACCACTTAAATCGACCGTGTGAAACTCCTTGGTCTTTGCTTTTGTTGAAGCATCACTCCCTGCCTCGTTGCAGCTTACCGCAGTAACAGTACCCACAACTTCCTCGTGAACAGCATTAGTTGAACTGTTACTGCATCTAACACCATATTTGCCCACTCTTGAGTCATCTTCTTTTCCTTGTTGTGGTTTATTCTCATTTTGTTCTTTTATCAACACATGATTTGAGACAGAGCCATTGGTTTCACCCTTAACATCAACGACAATCACAGCCTCAAGCACAGATCCACTCGAACTTTCACAAACATTGGTTGATTTCGAACAACTTTTCGGGTCCATCTAATTCATATATCTATTACCAAACAAACGAGGAGGGTTTTAGTTGGAGAATCTCCAAGTTCCTACAAAGTCCGAGATTCAGTATGACTGTATTAGACAAAGAGTGAACAGAAAACAACATTCCCAAAACTGAAAACCCTGTAATAGCTCCAACAAATGTTTTTTTTTTGTTTCACCAAAAAATTCTTTCTTTTCAATGATTGCAATTCGAAACCCTTAACAAATAAATCAATTACTAGAGGACAAAGATCAAACCTTAACCAGAATCCAGATCCACTTGAATGACACAAGTTAGAGAAAAGCAACGAACTTTGTGACCCAAGTGAAGCAGCGTCAAAGAATCTGAGAGCAACAAGTCTCAAGAAGGTGTCTTTTTGCAGCTTTATGTCTCCGATCTTTCATTAATTGGAGAAAATAATCAGAAATCGCAATAAATCCCTTGCGGGAAATGTCCTAAACTGTTCTTCGGTTGCAATTCCCTTTTCATTTACTTTCCGTTTCAATTTGTCTTTCTTCTATAAAACTCTCAGCTCGATTTTAGGCAGTAAAACAAATATCTGCGTAGATATTTGTTGGAGTTAATGAAAGTTCCTTTCTTTTGTGGAAGGAGGAGCTAACAGAAGAAAGTTTGGTGAAGATGAGAAGTACTATTATCAACTCTATTCAAACCAAAATTATATAAAATTCACAATTTAAGTTAGAAGAATCAAGTATTAACTCCCAAAATAAAAATAAAAAAAATTGGTATCAACTATCACCTAACAAGTATATTATGCTAAAAGAAATTAATTTTAGGAGATTAGAATGTATAAGAAAAAAGTCAATAATTAATTGGTCCTTAATTACCTTTTTTAATATATATATTTTTTATAAACAGACCATTGATATGATATTGACAAATGTTTGCATTTCAAAAAGCAGATAAATAAGAAGATAATAAGCTCAAATATTTTTTGTTAATAAAAAAGCTTAAATATTTATACAACTATAGAGGAAAACTATTTGAATATGAGGACAAATTTAACACATTAATTACTTTAATAAAAATAGATTATGAATCACATTTAATCTATTTAATAGAAATTAATAAAAGAAAATAAGATAAGTATAATCTTAAAATCAATGTATGTTGTAAGAAAAACTCAAGATGTAAATTCAAATTTAAATTATTGGTGGTTATCATGAAAAGAGAATGATATTGTTGGCCGATTAAAGTAAACCTACTAAACCAGTAAAACCATTATAGACTAACCTTTTTTTTTTGTTCGGCTCCAGCTCCATTATAGACTAATCTAAAAAGTAAATACTAAAAGCTCCTAAACGAACTAGAAAAGGCAAAAAATGAAAGAAGCAAACATGAATAAGCAATAAATGGTGTCGATTAGAAACCCATTTTTGGCAACAAGCTCTAAAATGTAAATGACATATTACCAGTTGCCACCCACCCAACCTAAACAGCTAAGGTTTGCGTAGGAAGTGATATTGAAATGATCCAAAAAATATGATCTTTTATGTTGAGATCTTTCATTAGATTAAAAAGAATGATTCAAATTGATAAAATAATAAATATTGGGTGATGATTAAGTCACACACAAAACACAAAATCTGAGTCCAAAAAAAAAACAAAACTTATGAAGGAGGGAAGAAACGGTTGAGGTTAAAAGGAAGAGTGTAGAATTCTTCATTTCTGCTATCTCCTTTGAAAGTTCTGAACTTAGCCCACCAAGGCAAGCCTCTGTCTTTCGCGCTGTCTTTATAATCTAAAGTATTGTCCAAGAACACTGCGATCATCAGCGCCACCATCGGTGAAGACAAGAAGATTGTGTTCAAGAAATCATTGAACCAACCAGCATTGGTGTGAGCAGGACCGTGCAATGCCTTCACGCTGAAGTCTCTGAAGTATTCAGGAATCGATAATCCTAAGAAGAGAGACACACCCGTGATGAAGAGGTTTCTCAGGGAGTTCATGTTTGTGAATTGCAGGAAAGATAGCCCAACAGAAGCTGTAACACAAAGAAAGCTTGTGTTAGATCAAGTTTTTAGTGATCCTTAGCCACAAACTCTATATATATCTTTACTACTGACCAACAAGACCGAACAAGACGCAGTACACTGCTGCAAATATCGTGAAAGGTATTGAAGCGAACAAGGCCCCGAATTTGCCTGCAAACAGAAAAACAAGAATTTTTATGAGAAAAAAAACATTTCAAAGAAGCTTAAACTGGTTTACGGAGATGTGGAATTTGACCTAGCATTGAGAAGAATATCATAAATCCTGCTGAGATTTGAATAACTCTTCGGCTTCCAACTCGGGTGCTTCCAAGTAATCCAACATTCTCTCTGCAACATTTGTAAGAGTGAAAAAATCCATGAGACAAAATTGGTCCAAGAAATTGAAGACTATAGTCTGAGAAATCATTCACAGTTTTTCTGCTTACACAGAGACACTTGAACCACTTAGCGTTCCAAATAAACCATTTAAGAGGATCCCAATGCCTTGCCAGCCAATTCCACGGCTAAGAACATGAGGTGGAGGTGGAGTGGCGCTCGCCAGTCTTGCAGCAGCTTTGAAAGCTCCAGTTGACTGTCACATTCAAAAGATAACTCTTTTAGGACATTCTCACATCAAGAAGATTCTTCTTTAGACTAGAACTAATCTTGATTCTAGAAGCATAACTAATCAAGATTCCGAGGGACATTACCTCAATGAGTGAGACTAAAACAGAGGCCATCATAGCGAAAGCATGACCAGCATCGAAGCTAGGTGCTCCCCATTGAAGTGGATAAGGAATCTTGATCCTAAAGAAAGTCAGGGGGAAGCTTATTAAACACTATGATCAACTCTTGAATATTCTTAGGAACTATTAGGATTTGAGAGACTAACCAAGGAGCAGAAGAAATGAGATTAGACATATCGGTTCTGCAGTTTACTTGCGTCTGATGCGGTCGGTGTTTGTAAGCCCCACTCGCTGTCAATAGATGCGCGTAAGCCCACACCACGATCATCGCTATAATCATAGCAAATCTCTCCACCACTGGGAATTGCCTGAACTGAAAGTTCTTCAGATACTGCACATAAACATATGAAATAACAATATCAGTTAAATAAACATAGCTAGATTGTATCGGAATCAGAGAGACTTATGTGACATAAGTAATAACCTGAGAGAAGATGACAAAGAGGATAAGCATTGGGATTCCTATCTCAACACAATTACCCACCTACAAACAAAAACACTATAAAATAAGAACCAAAAGAGATGATTTTTCGAATCTTTAAAGAGAGAATCCGCAGTTATGTACCACTGGGAATCCTCTGTTGAAGAGTCCAAAACCCGTTAATGCGATCACAGGAACCATACCAACAGGACTAAAGAATCTGAAAAAGGGTCACATGAGGTATCATTAAAGTCTACACCTTTACATGATAACAAGCAGTGATATGTGCATAGATGTATACATACCTTGAACAGATTGCCCACATCTGGCTAAAACCGAGGATGATTTGAACGCTAGATGCAACGATGATCGCGCCTTGTACAGCTCTCATTGTACTTAGAAACCTCTACTCAAATTTCAGATTCAAACATCAGAGTTAAGACCTTCAGACAGAAGCAGCAAACACTATACCAAGAGAAGAATAAACATACCAAGTGTGGATCTTCGATACGGGTCAAAGAAGAGTCGTGGATGATTGAAATGATCGGAACCATGAACGCATAAGAGCCTCCGATCACAGTTGGGAGACGGGTCCCAAATAATGTTTGAAGAAAAGTGTTAACACCTTGAATGAAGAGCAGTGTCTGAACAACTCTCACTTTATCACCCTAATCAGATTTTTGACACATCAATCTCAATCAGAAACACAGACAGAGATTCGTCGGATTAAGAAACAATGGAAGAATGTAAGTAAATAATGCTCACATCATCTCCACCCATCATAGGAACAAGAAACGAAGGGATCATCACTGCAGTTCCTAAGGCCAGTATATAATGCTCGAATCCTAAAGCTATGGCTTCTCCTGCAATAACATCATCATCACCATCTAATCGAAACTCAGACAAGTTTTTGCCTAAAAGAGCAGAGCCAATCAATCAAATGGTTTGGAGGATCGTACCCCATGGAGGGTTTGAGTCAATGCAGTACTCTAAACCCTGAAGCTGATCCATTGGTGGGTGGCTTATCTCCTCTGGCTTTACAGGATCCATGATTTTAGAGTAAGAATTTATTTAAAAAAAATTTATTTTATTTCTTACAATCGTCTTCTTTTCAGATTACTTGGCTGTGTTCAGTAACATAAGGAGCTCATGAATCAGCTAAGAATCAGGAAAATCAGAAGGGAGAAAAGGATCTGAATGACTCAAGGAATGGTATCTTATATAAATAAAAATGAAAAGTGAGAAAAAGGTGTGTGAAAGAGAAAAAATGAGACAAGGCAAAACGAAAAAGCAAGCTTTTTTCGAAGTTGCAGCTGAGTTAGAAGAGAGCTTTTTGGTAGTGGTGGAAATGGTGATGGCTAAGGATTTTATATGAATAGTGAGGGGTTGAAAAAATAAACAACCGTTGAAATTTTGTTTACCAGAAATGCCCCTTAAGGAACTGCCAAAACAGAATACTACCGTTACACTGTTGGGTTGGTAAATTATGTTTTCTTTTCAACTTTACACATCAGAGAGTCACAGAGTCTTTTAATGCATTAATTACGTTTCTGCACTGAATCTCTCTTCACTTCGTACAAGTGTCTTGAATTAACTAGTCTTGAATTAAACCAAATGCTAGTTAGTTAAATACTCATTAAGGAACCACAGTTATCTAATAATCTATACTCCCTTCGGATTTATTTAATTGTCGTTTTAAGGTTATGCACACAGATTAAAAAAATATTAATTGTATTAGCTTTTCAATATAAAAACATCATTAATTATCTATTTAAATACAATTCAATCAATAATAAAACAAATTGCATAGTAAAAATAATCTTAAAAAATAAAAAACTAATAAATGTTGCATTGAAAACTGAAAACGACAACTAATTTAAAACAAACAAAATTCTCTAAAACGACAACTAATAAAAAACGGAGGGAGTAGTAGAGTAGTGGTAACTTTGTATTTAATGTTCCCCATTCCTTTTCTGTCCACTTTCAAGTCCTTAATTCGTTTAAATAATACCTGAAAAAGTGTTATCATAAGATTTTCATTTACAACTAAATGTGATAACTTCATTAATATACATTTACCTTCCTTTTTTTTCCTGTTCCTAGTAAGTTATAATTAGCATAGTATACAGAAGCCAAAAATAAAAAATAAGTTAAGATAATAATAGTATAGTTGATGATCGATTAAGAAGACTTGACCTTGTCCATGAGGAAAGAAAACCGAAGTAGAAAGGTAAAAGAAACGTTATGATTGTATGAAATAATGAAAGTGAAGTGTTTTCGAAAAAGAAAAATGAACCAACCACTTAACAACATCTCTTTTACTTTAATTTCTTTATTTTTCACTTTGAACTTATTATTCATAAACAAAAATTATCTTGGGTTCTGAATAACAACATGGAGCCAGGAGATGGGTCCAAGACAGTCCAGATGTAAAAAGTGTATCTGACTGAGACACTCACGTGCGTCCCGAGAAGGCGAGAAGGACCAAATTTGGTCATTTAGATTATGGACATAAAAAAAAACAGAAACAGTACAAAACTCAAAATGCTTTTGCTAACAAAACACATACCATATATAACAAGAACTTGTCTGGTTTGTCTCTAACATCTGTTGACTGCTACAAGAACCAAACGGTGCCGTTTTATGACTGTGGGCAAAAGGAATTGTCTTGCTCATGTCCTGACTCCTGATCTTATTTTCTCCATTGTTGCCTGTGTGATTCAAGATATCACATGGTTGATTTATTCAAGTACATTTGCCAATGAGAAATATGTTCAAAAAGGGAATAGAGAAATGTTTGCTTAACAGTACAAATATGAGTAAACCCCAAAGAACCAGCTTTGACATAAGGACTTGTCATTTATACTCTCAAGTGGTCCATGTTTCTTTATTTACAAATGAGACGAAGAAAATGGGTCTTACGAGAAAGCTGTGTATCCAGAATCAGCAATGACATCTTTTTGAACAGCTGCATTAGACCAGATTCATGTCACCCTATACTTGATTAAGGCAAAAACCACAGAAACGAAAAAAAACTTAATTATGCGAGGATCCATCTCATAATCTCGTTGCACACACTCAAGCTTGTTCTTTGATAAAATATCTTCTCCCACTCCGATTTCATGTTTAGTTTGCCATCGAGAGCCATGGAATATATCGGTATAGAGGAAAACCTATTACTACCTAAACCTGGATGTCCTGTAAATGTGGTCGTATTCCCCAAATCAGTCAACTTTTGAAAAAAAAAATAGTACTTTTTTCTCTCTATGAAAGTAGAATCTTTTGCATACCTGAGAACTGGTGAATGGTGTGAGACTGAGAATTGTCCCCGGAAAAGTCGAGCTTTTGTTTGTTTTTTTTGGCATCTTTGTTCCTTCATTTCCCTATCACTCTTCATTTCAGCTTCGGCAATCTACAAATCAATAAGGATTATTAACTTATGTAGAACTCCTCAACAACATGCAGAGTGATGTGCAGATGTCAATTAGATCATATTCATGAGGGTCAATTAACACATCTTTACTGAAGTAAGACCCAATCTCATCAAATATCTTGGAACCTCACTGCATGCAACAAGAAGTCTAGGCTCTCCTAAAAAATCTGAAAAATTGAAACTTTTGCATATCTTATTCAGACTAAGGAACTTGTCAATGTTCGTCTTCCACAACGTCCGAGTATAGACAATGAAGTAAAATTCAAAGAAAAAGAAAAGAGAAACACAAAAGGTAAAGCTCACTACAATTGCAAAGACTATTAAATAAAACTGAAAGATCAAAGTGTGAGAAAAATGAGGGAACACACAGAAATTCAAAGAATTTTCAGAACTCAGAAGAATCAAGTTACAAAACCTTCCAATCTAAATCCTATCGATTTGCAGAGGGATCTAAAAAGCCGAAAACACCAATCTAACTTCTTCTAGATTAGCGACTTGAATTGATACATAAAAAAAAAAAAAAAAGCTTACTTTCAGCTCCTCCGAGCACTTGTGTTTCGGTAGAGGAGGAAGAAATGTATCAATTAAATAGCGTTATCAGTGGCATTTTCCCCAGAAATGTATCATCGGTTCTCTCACAAAGCCCTAATCATCCGATCCGTAGACTCAGTTCTCGTTAGTTCTTCGCCAAGGAAGAATTTTATTAAGCAATTGTATCGGTCATCGCTAAATCCAATACGTCCACAAAGATTAATCCAGGATGTTCATCCAAATCTTTCTTAACTACAAAACCGAACCATAAAAACTTAACCATTCGCAATCGTCCGGTTTCATAAGGAAAACCAACTTCGGTCCTAATCAATTCTATTCTTAACCAATTCTTTTTTTTTTAAAGGGTTAATTTTTTGGGAAAATTCTTCACCAATTCTTCCTGCATGCCTTCTCAGTATTCACAAATTACACCTACATAGAGAAGATTGATGCTCGAATTCAAATCGTACAATCATCAGTAAAAGGGAGATACCCGAAAAATGTAGGATATCTACATACGGATACAAAAAAACATCTACCCGGTTCACGGCTTTTTTTATATGAACGCAAAAATGGCATTGTTGTTTCCACAAATAGCATATGAGATTTAGGTTATATACTGTGATTTAATACTCTTCATATTATGACTCATAGACAAAATTATCATAATAAGTTCTATGATTCTATATAATTATCTTTCTTGTATGGTCATAAGTGATACAAGAACTAATTTTTCTACATACGGTTGTTCAATGCATGTAAAGCAATGTAAATGGCGTGGCTTAGGATTTAGTTTTTTTTTTTTATATCAAATGGGATTTACTTATTTATGGTTATGGATAATGCTCAATGTATTGCATTCTCTGATCAGACTAGGATACAGATCATTCTGTTTGTGCAATGACTCAAACAACTCATTGACCTTGCTCGCAAAAGGAAAGGATATCATTCTCTTCGTCGTGATATCATTCACTTATTTAATTTTTTGGCTTCTACACATTCACTATAACTACGAATTTTGAATACTTCTTTTAGATAATTTGATACATAAAGTTAATTAACCATTATCCAAACAAATGTATTATCTTAACGTGGTCTTCACATCGATTTTATGTTCTTCTGTCACGAGGATTATTTTCATTAGTTTATGTATATTACAATATTTAACTAGGTGAATATCCGCACATAACGTGCGGATTTTTCTTTTTAACTATTTTCAAATCTTATATAAAAGGAAATATAATTATTTTTTGTTATGTATGTTGTATATTATTATAAAAATTTTATATATATTAAAAAAATCTTAAAAATTAATTTAAAATACAATATCATAAATATAAAAACAAATATAATTATTATTTGTGATGTGTATTATTAGTATGTTATTATAAATAATTTTAAAAATTTTATCAAAAAAATAAAAGTTAATTTAAAATGTAATATCATAAAAAAATTAAGAATTATATAAAATTATAATAAATATCAATCAGTATCAATCAATTAATAAAAAATTGTTTATATTCTTTGAGTGGTTTAAAACTTGATATTAAAATTTATTACTTTTTTAAAATAAATTATAACTTTAAATTATAAAAGTGACACATGTCATCTCCATATCAATTTAAAATAATGATGTGTCATTTTAAATATAAGATACTAAAACAAAAATATACGTAAGAGGAAAGCTTTCATCGTGCTTGCATTTTACGCTTTTAACATAAGTTCTGTATCTATTTCGCGGTTGAGCTTTTTTGTATGAGAGTCGTAAATATGCATTAAAAAAGACGAATATTGTATACCTTTTTTTTCGCCAAAAGGATGGATACATTTGTTCGCACTAATGTATCAATTAATTGAATAAATTGAGTTTTTTTCTAACAGGAAATTTCAAGTCTTCTGTTGAGGCGGCACCCGGATTTATTAATCAGAAGAACAGATTATGACATGAGATATTCTCCTAAAAATGCATTGATATTCGAAAAGGTAAAAAAATAATTTAAAGTGTTGGTAATTGGTTTGACGGAAATTTCTTTTACATGTGTGTTTTATTTTTATTGATCTGCTGCTGTTTTCTCCTACTACAAATGTATTATAAGTATATTAATGGCCTATCACCATTATTATCTTACGATGATACCATTGAAACCATTGTCAACAGTTATAATTAATGTCTGACCAATTGATTATTTTCCATCCAAGCTCATCACATTTTCAGAATAAAGTTTTGGACGATAAAATTATGCACTCAAAAATAGTCAACTGGAAATTCAAAAAGAAAGTGGAAACCGGGATTGGAAAGTATGATCGCTATTTGGAGTCTTTGTAGCTTTTGGCTTTGGTGGGCTACGTGAAATCCACGACTTACAGTCAGCACCGACTCAGCCACACGTGGTTCCCACAAATACTCACTTATCATAAAAATCCAATGTATGATGTATAGTTGATGTATAACAACATCGTAACGAACTAAATGATCTGCTTATCGATCATCAGCCCCATTTGGCGTTGATAAGTCAACTCCATTATCTGTCCCTTCAGAAAACAGAATATGTAATAAATTTGACTTTTAGGCCTTACGTATTGGATAAAAGACATTAGTTTAATACATGTCCCCTAAATAATCCGAAACTCCGGCCAACGTGTTCACTCGCTGGCAGAAAAAACAGATTTGGATAAAATTCCTCATCAGTTTAGCTATATTTTAAATTTTAAAAACAATAAAAGAGATGACTTTTCAGCTTATCGAAAAATAAACTAATCTTTTATCCAAAAAACAAAACAGAATAATCTCAACTCGAAAACGGTTATAAAAGGGACACGAAAAGGCCAAGTTAAGACAACATTACCACCGAGACAAAACAACCCCAACCATACTTTATTCTCGTTTGGTCCGGTTTCCGGTGTCGGAATCAGCAAACAAATACATTTTAAAGGTAGCTCCTCTCAGCCCATCGATGGCTCAAGTCCTATCTCCGCCGGTGCAACTTCTGCCTTTAACCGGTCAAAAGCCGTTACAATTTATGGCCGGTCTTCTCGGTCGAATCGTTACAAAGGACGCGAAGAAAGAGATAAGTCCAGAGAGTCCGAGGAGTCCGAAGACTCCACAAGGCTCTATTCTCATGGACAAGTACGAGCTAGGAAAGCTTCTTGGCCACGGAAGCTTTGCTAAAGTCTATTTAGCCCGGAACATAAACTCCGGCGAGAATGTCGCCATCAAAGTCATCGATAAAGAAAAGATCGTGAAGAGTGGAATGGCCGGTCACATAAAACGGGAAATCTCGATCCTCCGACGCGTCCGCCATCCTTACATTGTTCACCTTCTCGAGGTTATGGCGACGAAGACAAAGATTTACATCGTGATGGAGTACGTAAGAGGCGGAGAGCTTTACGATAAGGTGGCTAAAGGACGGCTTCGTGAAGGAGTCGCCAGAAGATATTTCCAGCAATTAATCTCCTCCGTTGCTTTCTGCCACAGCCGCGGTGTTTACCACCGTGATCTCAAGCTTGAGAATTTGCTTTTGGACGACGAAGGGAACCTTAAAGTCTCTGACTTTGGGCTCAGCGTCGTCTCTGAGCAGCTCAGGCAAGATGGAATCTGTCAAACGTTTTGTGGGACGCCTGCTTATTTGGCGCCAGAGGTTTTGACAAGGAAAGGTTATGACGCTGCGAAAGCTGATGTTTGGTCTTGTGGAGTGATCTTGTTTGTGTTGATGGCTGGTTATCTTCCCTTTGATGATAAGAACGTACTTGTTATGTACAAGAAGATATACAAAGGCCAGTTTCGGTGTCCTAAATGGTTTTCTCCTGAGCTTACAAGGCTCATGAACCGGATTCTTGACACGAATCCAGATACAAGAATCACTATACCAGAGATCATGAGGCATAGATGGTTCAAGAAAGGATTTAAAGATGTCAAATTTTATATCGAAAACGATAAGTTATGTAGAGAAGATGACAATGATGAAGACGATTCATCATCTTTGTCATCAGGCCGATCATCGACTGCTTCAGAGGGAGATGCAGAGTTTGATGTTAAAAGGGTTGATTCAATGACGAGACCCGCGAGTCTAAACGCATTTGACATCATATCGTTCTCTTCAGGATTTGATCTTTCGGGTTTGTTTGAAGAAGGAGGAGAAGGAGCGAGGTTTGTATCTGCTGCTCCTGTGACAAAGATCATATCGAAGCTGGAAGAGATTGCGAAAGTGGCGAACTTTACGGTGAGGAAGAAGGATTGGAGCGTGAGGCTAGAAGGTTGTAGAGAAGGTGCTAAAGGACCGTTGACTATTAAGGTTGAGATCTTTGAGCTGACTTCATCTCTTGTGGTGGTTGAGGTGAAGAAGAAAGGAGGGAAGATAGAAGAGTATGAAGAGTTTTGCAACAAGGAACTTAGACCACAGCTGGAGAAACTGATGCATTACCAAGCAGATGAAGTTGAAGAAGCAATGTGTTTGCCACCTGAGGTTGAATAGAGACCCAAGTTAAAAACAAGGAAGGTCGAGAGAAGAAGACATAACAAGAGAAGGTGTATTACCATAGAACGACTATTAACATTCTTTGCTACTATACCATTTATTTGATTTTAATTGTTCTGCGATGATGATGTATATATATGAAAGTGAGAGTTGTAATGGGAGTGATAGGAAGATCAGAGAAGAAAACAGGTAAAAGGAAAGAGTGAGTGAGATCCTAAGGCAGTTAGACGGTTTTTGCTGGCAATTTAAAGGCCAGTTTTTCGTTGATTATTGTACATGTATCTCTAAAAAAGAGACGAGCTTAATGGAAATTCTTTCTCGGCCTTCCCCTAAAAATATGTCTTGTTCATCCTAATATAACTCACCTTTATGCTTCATCAGAGAGACTATATGTTAAACTGAAATGTGTACAAGGTTACCTATAAGACTTTGCTGTATTCTAGCCTTCGTAACCTTTATTAGTTAGCACCTGACTGGAAAAAGTTACTTTGGAAGAACAACAGGTAATTGTGTTTAGATAGAAATATGAACATAACATTTACTGGGAACAAATGTTCTTCTTATTAACAAGGTAGGCAACTGACAGATATGAAAGTATAGCTACATATGTAAATCAATCTGAGGGGTTACTGGTGAAGTATTGTAAGGCTCACAAAAGAAAAAGCGAGTTTCTTACGCCTATGAACTTGTAACTGAGCTGAATCGAAATTCGACCTGATGATCTCAGGGGTCAGATCTTTGGAAGCTTCAAACTGTTAAGTTGTGGATTGACAAGATGAACGAGAAACCAGTTCCTGCATGCAAAGATGGGTTAGCATTATCGCCTTATAGTGTTTCTTAATCTCCAAGGGAAAATTTGAGAAGCTTACTTCAGAATAGCGTATATGATCTCTCTGCATACAAGAAGTCTTGACTATAGTTTCCCACTTGGTCACACTTGTGGAGTTTTCTTCGAGATCCTTTTTTTGGGGATGAAACAGATATCTCCGTGAAGGTATCTTCGAGCTTACTAAAGGCAGATTACGGAAAAGCCAAGAATCAGAAGGCTTTTTGGGTGTCGGCAGAGCAAGTGGAGACAGATCACAGCCACTGTTATTCTTTTCCAACTCCTCTGCCTTCATCTTCTTGATTCCACTGCTAATACTTAAAGTTTCTAGAGCCTGAAGCTCGAGAACGGCTTTCGGTTTCTTTCCCGCCATTTCTGGTTCCTCTGAAATTATTTCCATGGTTTCTGGCAAGATCTTGACATTCGAGTTACCCTCATCGTTGCTGGTCTTTGGACAATTCTCTGTGTCAACATATAATGTCTTTTCCATGATAGAGCTTGTAGACCAGTCAAGTCTTGTACTTTTTGGATAGAGCAAGTCTTGAGGCTTGCTATTGTTTCTGATATGCTTGTTCAACCTGTTAGCTCTCATAATCTCCGCTTCCTTACGAGTCCCAGGGTGAAGAGGGGAACAGTTTCCTACACTGCGATACGGTGACATACAGCCAATTTGTCTGTAAGGAGATGATGGCATACTTGCAGTAGTCAAGTTTGATTCAAGTTGTTCAGATCCAAAGTTAAACTTCTTTCCAACACTTGGATGTATAGGAGATTGAACTCTACTTCCCACCTTTTGCTTATATATAGAATCAAGAGCGAGCTGAAAACATACAAGATTTGATTGATATTCAGTGAGAGTCTGATCAGATCTATATGATTGCTAAAGTGAAAAGGAAATGGATGGGTTTGAGAATAGACCTTTTTCACAGATTGAAACCGAGATTTCAGTTGAGCGACCTTGCTTGACTTCACTTGATCATGGCTTGAGGTTCTTAGGGAGTAAGGTTTCTCTTTAAGACCATGCACTGAGCTCAACATGCCAAGTGAGTTTTTAAAGCACAGTTGTGGTGACATACCACAGCCTCTCCTAGAAAGATACTCAGAAGCTTCATCGTCATCTTCATCTTCATCGCTTTCTTCATAATCTATGTCCTGATAATAAGATGGAGTAGTATTATACTCATACCTTTTAGGAGTTGCACGATTCTCCGCTGGTAATATATCTCTAATTTGTCTTATTGGTTCATACATAACGGGCATTGCTTGTCGCTTCAAAGCATATGGAGGTTGTTGCTCCACAGTCATGGATTTCGCAGCAGGTAAGAAACGATTCAACATGAAATCCCGAGACTGAGGATCCTCGGATGATGGCATTGGCGTTTTCGTTGCTTCAACATTACCATTAATGCTATGCTTTAGAGACAATGTATCAAGGGCATCAGAGAATACATCATCATCACTTTCTTCTTCAACCTGTTTACCCTTTGAACTATGTAGTCTTCTTGTCAGGTTTCCATCAATGGCTTTCTCCACGGGACATGTGAAAGGGACAGAGGCAGATTCCGGAACTCGATTTAAGTCCGTGTCTTGGACAAGAACAGGAACGGAAGGAGATTCACTTGTCTTGGACTCATCATCATCAGTAAGCTTCTTTGCCATGTTTCTGCGCACAGACATTGCTGTTTTCTTCATCTGCCTTGTCGAAAGAAGAGGTGCATCAAAGTTAAGTTTCCTCTCGGACATAGAGCTGATCAAAGTGTGCACGAGAATCAACCAAAGCCGTTAGAAAAGCTTCAGATATCGATGAGCTCAATGTTGACTCAGCACCAACCTATGTCGTTTCTCTGCAAAACGTAATTAATGATGTTCACAGATTTCTAAAACAGATCTGGAAAACCAAACATAAATAATATTAGTTGAATGATTAGTTAATTAATTATACACACTGACACACATGAACCAACGACAAATCTAAAGAAACTTACAAAAAGAAAAGACCTGTCAATGGACTTTACTAGAAACTTTATTTAGTTTTTTAATATAGATGCGCTGCTAATCTTTCGAACTCGTGATTGATCAAATCATTGGAAAGAGTTTTTATGGACAATTCGGTGATGGAAAACGACAGAGACTAAAGATTGCGATTTTATTCAAAGCAATATAGGAAATAAGTGCAATGCATGCCTGAATCTTTGTCAATGAAGAACCAAGAGTGAGAGATTTCACAACTATTTCTTAACTTAGTACTACGAAATTCCCAGAGATTCAACAAATAATCAACTGAATATCATGCAAGGACGAATCCGTTTAACATTTCAAGAAAAGAAAAGGAGACTAAGAACGCAATATGAAATTATACATCAGGAAACTAACCGGGAAAGATGGAGGTAACAGCTTTCGGAGTCTGTAAACGGGTCTTCTCTGCACCGAGAGAGTGTGTGAGTGAGACGAGAAAAGGGAGACACTTGAGTTTGAGAATGAGTAATCACAAAGGCATCATCAGAGAGAGAGAAAAAGAAAGATTGAGTAAGCTTTTGGTTTTGTGTACATTTTTGTGCCGTGAAGTTGACGGAGACGAAGATGGAATTGAAGAATAGAAAAAGGAAAAAGACAAGTCACGAGAGGCTTGTGTAAATGTTTCCAAGTCCCAAATTGAGTCTACCCAAAAATAATCTCCAAAGTTAATTACTTTCATAGCATCTCAACCAATTCTAGAGATATAGCGTGTGACAGATATCAATTTCTTTTTTTCCTTTTTACCTAACTGCTTAATTGCATCATATCATTACAGATTTTACCTTCGTTAATGTAATCTTGCATTTTAATAAAGAGGATGAACATAACAGAATGAAAAGATGTTGATAAAATTTAAGGCCTGGTTGTTTTTTTTCTTCTTTTTTCTTTTTTGTCAAGAACCCATAATATCTTGCTATAATCAAGTATTGTAAAGTGTAACAAGTACAACAAACCATCTAAGATAACATCTCAAATTCAGCCAAAAATTAATAAAATCAAACAAATATATAAGCACCAAGACGAGAGAAGAAAGACCATGAAACCAAATATATATAAAAAAAAAAAAAAAGCTACGTTCAGCTCTGCACCTGAGCTTCTGCAGCTTCTTTTTCTTCATTGGCTGCAGCCATTAGTTCATCAAACTTCTCCGACTTCACAAGCGTAATTTCAATCTACCAGACCAAATACAAAAACAAAATCAAAATTAATAACTCGAGAAAGAGGTCACTGACAATCATACCAGAACAAGTTTGCTAGAAAAAAAACTACCTTAACTTTCTGCACAGGACGGCCCCTTGAGTCATCTTTAATCTCCACAGTTGAAGTCATGATCTCTAATATACAGGAAGAACAAAACAAAGCTTAGTCGGCGAAATCTCCAATCCGTATAATATGTTAAATTCAAGACTAGAAAATACTTACTCTTTTCGACAGCAAAACCATTGTTCTTCAGTATTTCAGCGATAGTAACAACGGTTGCAGTAGCTGCACAATATGTTGAATTGAAACTTAATTAGCATGAGAATCCATCTTCTTTTGACAATTTTAACTTAATGAAGTCAGTTGCATCTTTAATGAATCAAAAGATTGCTTAGAGCTTATAAAGAAGAATGTTAAGAACATACATACCCATCCCAAGGGCAGACAATTCGACTTCATTGTACTGCTGCATATACCTCTAAAACAATACCAAAACAAAACTGAATCAATCACAAAACACACCAATCAAAACTAAAACCTTTGCGATTTCCAGAAAAAAAATTGAGCCTTTTGAGTGGATAAAAGAAACCCAGTATTTCACACACAATAAACATCCTCAATCAAAAAACAGATCGTCGAGTCCATAAATTTCAAGCTTAAACGACGAGTTCCATAGCAATCGAGGGGTAAAAGTGTGTACCTTGGCGAGATTAACGTAGAAGAATAATGGCTTCTTGGTGTTGGAAACCTGAATCCGGTTCTTCTTCTGATCATCAACGGCCAAGTTCATGTTGTTCACTCCAGCTGTGATCTCTTCCATGGAAGCTAATTCGGAAATCGTAACCCTAATTGTTTTTTTTCCCGATAAAAGGGGACGAGCAAATAAATTAACAGGACTGGAGAGGCTTGTGAGTTGTGTGACCCAAATCTCCTTACTCACAATCCGGGTCTACCCGGTTAGTAAATCGGGTTTTTGGCTTGAGGAGTTTTTTTTTTAAATCCTTTTTTTTCAAAGGCTAATTAATTCTATTTTACTAGTAACTACATTTTACTAGTTTACACCCAAATATAATTAACTTGATGAAATTTCTTTTAAGTGCTAACGTGTTGCTGATCTGAAATAGATCAGTGTTCAGAAGCTTCTATAAGCTTTTAGTATTTCCAGTGTACCAAAAGAAAAAAAGAGTTGGGCTGACTTTGGGCCTAGAGATTTCCCAACAAATGTATTTGTTGTTATCTAAATTTGATGACGTGATTAGTTTACAAGATGGCCATATAGATTTCACTGGTTTAAGATTTTATCCCATTTCACAGGATTGAAATCGACAAATCAAAAGATTAATGACTAACTAAAGTTAAGTATGTCACCTCGTTTTGGCGTTGAAGATGAAGGAGATCGAAATGGCTGAATCAAATGTATTATATTTAGACCTTAATGGTGACAATCCGAACCAATATAAGAAGAAAATAAGAGAGAGGATCAACATGAAGAGGGATCTTCTTCTTCTACAAAAACAAAAAACTCTCGCAAATATACTCTTGTAAGTTGTAATGTGGAAGAGAAAGTTAACGTCTCTTATTCAAACTTAATCTGTATGTGAAAGAGAAAGGATCAGTATGTGGAAGGGAAACGTCTCTTATTCAAACTTAATCTGTGTGACAAAATTTGAACTTTGATAAAGTCAAAGAGTGAGTATTTAGTAATTAAGAAAAATTAAAAATTGTACACATTGTCTATAGTCCAATTGCGTGTGTGAATCACCTCCAATCGTCGAACGTAGTATTTTATAACTCAATCTTAACTGTATTGAAAAACTATTATAAAGCCTAATCTCATATCAAGCAACATGGTAGCTTGTATGACTCTGAAACTTGTGTATAATCTTCTATATGGAATTTAGTTATTATCAATGGGCTCAAATATAAATTGGTTTTTTGGAATCTTAGCATTTAAGAAGTGTTTGGTATTAAATGAGGTATGGACTATAACTAGAACATTATCCACAACCATGATAAGAGTGTGGCCTATCAACAAGAAGGGCTCTTTGTGATGGGAGGATCATGGATGGATGATGGGTTTGGTTATACACTCCTATAGCTAAACAGTTTTTTGCTACTGTTATAGCTATTTCTAGTCTAATTATTACAAATTAAATATTTGATCTTACGATCTCGTTTTTATAGTAATGTTTTATAGTGTGATTAAACAAAATGTACTGTAAGATATTTCGATGTATAATTGCTTTATATCAATACTCTTATTGTCAATAAATTATCAGCCAATTGCCTAGTCAATGAGTTGGATTCTGACTACATATAAATTATCTTATTAGAAAGTCTAAACTGACGAAATCACCTGCTACAGATCTTATAAATCAATATCATATTTTGAAATTTTCGAAAAACAAGAAAAATTACTATCAGGTAATAATGCGATATCTAGTTAGGATATGATTACGGTATCATGTCTTAATCCGACACCGTACTGTATATGCCACGTTTTATCTGAAAACAACGCATTGGTGCGATCGATGGCATTGGAACCGAATTTTGTTTTACTTAATTCAAAGAACGAATATAGTTTTTTTTGTTGGAATGTATATATTTGTAACATAAATACTCTGTAAGATAAAATAATGCTACTACATTTGTAGCATAATAGATTCAAATATATGAGATAAACGTTTGTGGATTATAACGCCAAAGAAAAAGGAAAACGAGAATGGTAGGTGAGTGACATGCTAATGCACAATAAAATGATAATCTCTAATTAAAGTACGTAAATATTGAGATTTTGAATAATATTATGATATACAAATATTTGAGATTCAAATTCGAGAACATGCATGTGTAAGTTCAATAGTAGGTCAAATGTATTTGAAGATTCAAAGTTTTTTACATTATAGGATAATTAAATATGAAAATATGAATAACTAATGTATGTTAGAACATATGAAGTCAACCGGAAATCAACGGATGCCTAGGAATCTTATTGATCAAAGCATTTGCTTTCATTATACCAATGTTCGTTTGGTTTGTATACAAAGACTAATTCATATTACAGTTAACTAAAAGAGTTATTCATATTAGTTAACTAAAAAATATTGATGGACAGAACAAATGTGAAAAGGTAACAAATGATAAATGAATGGGATTAAATTAATGATTAGGTAGCATCCATAAATAAACGACTATGACTAAAAGTCATGGATGGATCTAAGCGCATCACTTATTTAATAATACTATACCTACCATTCTACCAAGGACGATAGAATTGATTACTTTTTTTCGACAGAATTGATTACTTCTTTGTGACAAAAATCAAAAGAAGAATTAATTAGTTCTTCGTGTGTTTACATATTGATGATAGAATTATTTTTGTTTTCGACGGTATATCTTTGATCCAGATGTACATTATATAGTAATTATTAATATAAACACAATTTTAGTATCAAATAGTATTAGTGTTTGGGAACACGACAAAAGAGATGGAGTTAATGAGTTGCTTTGATTAATGGGAGTTAGATCCTAACAACTCTAGAAGCACGGATCTAAATGTCCTTAGTGCATGATTTATATTTTAGTATTGGACTGGGTCACTGGTCACACATCCACATGCATGTGCAGCAGTGTGAGTCTCAAAGTGTAAGCAGGATATGGATACAAGAATATGTTCACTCACACGCACACACATGACTAGCAATTAAGAATTAAGATTGTTACCCATCACCAAGCTGGATTATTAATACCAAATAAATATTTCATTCCATATGATACAGACAGTGTACACTTGCTAGTTCCTTTTGGTAATACTCGATAAACCGAAGGGTGATTTTGGTAATACTCACTTAGTTTTTTTTTTTGTTAAGTGAAATTGGGAAGGAATGGCTTGCGGTGTTGGCAATGTCTCTCTCTCCCTCTCTCTCTCTTTCTCTTTACACCAAAGAGCTTTTTGTAACCTCCAAATTTTCCCTCTCTCTTTTCGGCGGTTAAGCTGCCTCAATCTCACCCACCAGAGAAGAAACCCAGAAACTAAACAACAACGAAAATTGAATCTTTCTCTCTAATCCTCGAAACCCATTTGATAATTTCTCCTATTCTGTTGATGCTTTTGAAGAACAGTTAGTTTGTGAACAGAGCCAATGCCGCTTGTTAGGCTCGAAGTAGGGAATGTTTACGGTTTAGGGCAAACGGAGCTTCACAGCAACGTCGATCGTGAAGACCCAAAATCGATTCTCGACGGCGTCGCCGTTTCTGGACTCGTTGGAATCTTACGCCAAATCGGTGATCTCACCGAGTAAGTCTTCAAGTCAACCCCAAACTCTCTGTTTCTTTATAATTGAGTTAATTACTTAGAAAAAATATTGTTTTTTTCTTAATGTAATTTGATTTCAAGTGAAAATCCTCAATTTGCTGTGTCTGGTCTTCTCCATTCGCTTAGTTTATGGGTTCTACTCAAATCTTAATCGGTAATTTTATATGCCTCAGGTTTGCAACAGAGATTTTTCATGGGATACAAGAAGAGGTTATGATTACAGCTTCAAGAAGCAATAAATTGAAGATGAGGCTGAAGCAAATAGAAGCTGCAGTTCCTTCAATTCAGAAGACAGTGCTTGCACAAACAAACTACATACATCTTGCATACACTGGAGGTTTTTTTCTCTTTTTGTCTTGTTTCTCTTGTCAATCTTCTGTATTGTCTAGATTCAAGCTGTTTGATTCTTGATTAGGCTTCACATGTGTTCTTTAAACAAAATTATATCCTCTGAGTTCTATGTAGGCCCAGCTCACATGCCCATTTTTTCACTAACTTCTTTACTTCAAATAGTCTTCTGAGTTTAGATTTGTTGATGGCAGTAGTATTCTTTGACAATCACATGGTGAAACCTACTAACTCACTTCCTTTTGGATCTATATATCAAAAAAATGTGAAATTTAAGTCATAAATACATGAGCTAATTTACCTTGGTGAAATTTGGATAGCATTGATGCACTAGTGTTTGACAGGAGAACTGTTTTAAGTGTTGGTTTTTCAATCTCGCTTCTCTGTATAATCTAAGGAGGCATAGATACTTAGAAAAAGGCTAGAATTTATTTGGTATAGTGAATCAATTGAGTTTATTTGGTGTGGCAATAATATGTAGAAGATGATTACTACTCAAGAATAGTGAATCAATTGAGTTTCACATGCTGTTTCAGGTCTAGAGTGGCATCCTCGTATACCAAATGTGCAAAATCAGTTTATTTACGATGACTTGCCACAGTTTATAATGGCTCCGTATGAAGATTGCCGGGAACCTCCGAGGCTGCACTTGCTAGACAAGTATGTGTATATAGTATATACCTTTACTCATTTTTGTTTTTTGTATACTATTTCAGTTTCTGATATAACTGATTCTTTGCGGTTCTCTTCAGATTTGATATAAATGGTCCAGGGTCTTGTTTGAAGCGATACTCTGATCCTACTCATTTCAAAAGAGCGTCAAGAGCTTCTAAACTTCCAGAAATTAAGGTTTGTTTATGGAGATTAAATCAGTTAGATCATATTTTGGTAGAGTTTCTTCTTTTTAATGATTATTATTCTGCTTACTAAACTTGTATGCACGAAACAGAAGAAAAAATCTGTGCAACGGAGTCGAGATATGTCACGTGTTACCTCAATGGCTAACCAGAGTGACAGGTAAAGATACATTGTGGATTTGACATTGTTGAGAGTGCGTTTTGTATATGACTAAGAACCTCAACATTGATATGATTTGCAGGAAGACATTTACTTCTTTAAGCTTCAGTGGAAGAACTTCTTTCTCTAAAACTGCATCAACGATTGAAATTGAATCGAAATCCGACTTGCAAGATCATCGTTCTTGCTCTTTCGATTCCAGAAGTGGTGTAGAGAAACCGAAGGGAGTGTTTTCTTCTTCAAGGTTTACACCTGGCTCCCGGACCATTGCTTCAGTTCTTTCTGAAAGCGAAAGCGAAGATGCAACTGATAGTCCTTCTCAAGATCTAACAGCTCGTGGCTCTTCTTGCGTCAGTTGGCATGAGAAATCTGAGATAGTGAAAACCGATTCTCTGCAACGTGCAACAGATGCAGCTCCTGAAGTAATGGAGACGAGCTTTGTCGTGGATGCTGAACCGGTGTCAAGACTGAAAGAACATAGAGTGGTTGAAGCAGTCCAAGATATCAAACCAAGGGGAATGGAAATGGACAGTGAAGATGAAACTGAAAGCGAAGGGGACGATTTTGTTGATGCGCTCTACACCATCGATTCGGAATCTGAAAATGATCAAGGGTTCCAAACCACTGAAGAGGTGCAGAAGAAGATTTCAAATGAGATTACAGAGGAAAAGTTGGATAACTTTGTGTGTGAGCAAGAGACAGAGAAGATTTCTAACAACTTTAGTGATGATGAGGAGACAATATGTGCTGCTGCATCCGATCTACATCTATTATCACCGGTACACAAAGCTGATGAACTGGTTAATCGTATGAGCAATGGTACTCATAGTTATTCCAATGGCTTCTCAAATCCATTGTATGATATTAATGGTATCCAAGAACATGAAGAATCAGAAGATGAGATTTCTTGTGACACCGAAGCGACGAAACTATGGACTAACGGAAATCTGCTGGGACTAAAACCATCAAAACCGAAGATTGAAGCTGAAACCATCCCAGAGAATGATGAAGACATTGATGCTGCAACCTTCCAAGACCCCTTGAGAGAAGCTAATAAGGCTCCTTTTGATTGGTTTACTTCATCTCCTCCGCTTGATCACATGAAAATATCTTTCAATCCCTCAGAAACCTTTCCGAGTTCTGAACTGAAGCTGAAACTTCCTGAAGAGTATACGTTTTCTTCCTTCCAGTTAGTGCCTGAGACTGCTGCTACTTCGCTTCCTGATTCTGATTCAGACAAGGACACTTTCTGTAGATCTTCTTCTTACATTTCAGATAACAGCGAGAATCACTCGGCGTCAGTCTCTGAGCAGCAGTGGGAAGAAGAGTCTTGCGAAATCCTTGAAAGCAAGAACCAACGAGAGCTCTATGATTCTTTCCACAGAAACAATGCTGAAGCTTCTTCTCTCTCAGCTCCATCTTCACAGAATAAAACATCAAATGGTTATTTAACAAGAAATCTCTCTTACCTCCAAAATCCAGCTGAGCCTTTACCACCGCCGCTTCCACCGTTACAGTGGATGGTTTCGAAGATACCATCGGAGAGATTCGAGGATAACAACAAGCAAACTCTAAAGGACACTCTCATACGCGCATTCGAGCAGAAAAATTCATTATCTGAAGTCAAGAAACAAGAACCAAACATTGTCACTGCTTCTAATCAAGAAATCAACGTATGCAGAATTCAGTTTTCAATTCGTTTTTCGATGTTTTTTTTTTCGTTTATAAGGAGTTTTATGTGGTGATTGATTAGGTACATAAGAAGAACAATGTGAGTGATTATAAGCAAAGACATGGAAACGCAAAAGAGACGGAAGCTGGAGACTTCTTGCATCAAATCCGAACAAAAGTGAGCAAAGTTCTTGTTCCACGTACTAGTCCCTTCATATATTATTGCATTTTGGTATTTTTACAAGATCCTTTTTGAATCATAACAGCAATTCAACTTGAGACGTGTGGTCACGACAAAGACATCATCATCAGAAACTAGGATGAATACCAATTTCAGCGTTATTCTAGAGAAGGCAAACTCCATAAGACAGGTTTCAGCATTTACATTTTATAATAACTCTTTCCATTTTTAAGTACGTACCATTTTTGTCCGTAAAACATTAACATTTCGCACTTTTGGTCTCAGGCTGTTGCAAGCGACGATGGAGATGGCGAAAGCAATACATGGAGCGATAGCGACACGTGACAACTGAGTGCAATTCACTAATAGAACCACCACATTCATTCCGTTTCTTATATGTTTATTGTGTGGTAGATACATATATATAGGTCGATTTTGTTGTACGTTTTATATGTATCTTCGACTATAAAAAGTAGGTTTCTTCAAAATAAAATTTCAAATAGAATATGTTTTGTCTGAATCTCTCGAGAATTCATGTCAATCACCTTACTACAAATTTGGGGACAAATTTATATTTAGTGTCTTCTACTCAACCGTGTTTGGATAACAACATGGGATTAGGATATAATAACTTTCTAATCTTAAATTAACAAGTCGTACAGAAAAGGTTAGGTGGTAGCTGTCTTGTTTTTGTTTGCTGAAGCAAATAAGAATAAACTACTACAGATTAAAAAATAAATAAAAAATCAAAGGAATATTTATGGTTTTTTTATTTAGTTATACATTGAAACATGAGTTGGCAAAAATGAGATCTCGGAAAATAATTTATATATACAAGTACTCGGAACCCTAAGCCGTGAAGTTCGCTTATGTTCTTTTAAATTAAGTTTTTATACTTGATTCGATTTACTAAAGAATAAAGATTCTGTCATTGTTTATGGAGTATTACTTTCTAAAAGTTCACTTTCTAGAAAATAAACATTTGGGACGACCAAAAAAAAAGAAATGATAAAAGATGAAGTTAATCTGTTAAGAGTAATTGCAATAAAGGGTAATAGATGTTATCAAAATTAAGAGATACCTTTTGAGTGTAGGTCCCATAGAACTATTCACTATAAAAAGACTATATCACCCTTATTCTCCAAAATTTTGCTATATCACAGTTATCACGATAATTTTTTAATTATTATCAATATTCTAAATAAATTACTGTTAATATACATATTATGCTGATATTATTGTTAATATTTTATATAAATTATGTATAAATATAAATATTATTGTTATATTATTGTTAATGTGTTATATTTCTCGATTATTAGTGTTAATATTTTATATTTAACAAATATTATTGTTAATATGTTAATATTTTATTACAAAATTTTGGAATTATCACGTTATAATTATCTGATATATTTGTTAACATTTATAATTATCATATATATTTGTTAACATGTTAATATATTATATGATAACAAAGTTAACACAAATTTATAGCGATAACTTTCATATTTAACACAAACTTTCATATTTATAGCGATAACATGTTAATATTTTATTACAAAATTTTGAAATTATCACGTTATAATTATCTGATATATTTGTTACCACTTATAATTATCATATATATTTGTTAACATGTTAGTATATTATATGATAACAAAGTTAACACAAACTTATAGCGATAACTTTCATATATTTTATGTTAACTAAATAGTTATCCAATAATAAAAAATATATTCTCTTAGATGAATAGTATTAGCGATGATGAACAGTATCTACAGTACTGTCGTGTGCAAAAAAAAGACCAATGGCAATTTATGTAAATAAGTAAAGTTAAAAGGATAGTAATGGATAAAACAAAAAATTCTCTTTGCTACTTACCTAATTATTAATTTATGAATGCTATATATTTAATTTTTTGATTAACCATTGATATAGAATAAATTCACTCATCTGTTAATAGTTAGCTATGCATGGTAAAAACGTGTGTGTCGGATCTCTAAATTAGAGAGCCTAGGACCTAAACAGTAAACATATATAGACACAAAAAGTATCTTTTTCTTTTATGTATCACTTATTTTTTTTTATAGATTTCTTTTTTTTTATAAATTTCTTTATTCGCGGAATTAAAGATTCCTTTATCAAAAAGATAGGATTAGAAACAAAACCCACAACAACTAATTTTTTCTCTTCACATAATGATTTTTTTTTTCTTTATTAAAGCGACATTTCTTAAAATTTTATGTTAGAGAAACTAAGTTTCTATACGAACGAGAAGCAAAGACCATATAAAAAGGTTAGATATTTGTTGAGATCATTGGAAAAAAGGAAAATTGGAGAGGCAACCAAATTTTACCACAAATCCGACAAATTAAAGAGAAAAAAGACTAAAGAAAGACATGCCACCACTAAAAGTCTAAAGTTACATATTAATTAGACATGTAACATGTGCATGTGTATTACATAAGTTTATTAGATAATTATCTACGTTTGCGTGGAAAATTTCCGAATAATTAAACACTGTACGTAGTGTCTGAAGATGAAGTTTTAGATCCATGGTAAAACCGTGACCATTTAGTGGCTAATATAGATTTTAGCTACGATATATATTGTGGTCTTATCGTAGCACGGCCACCAAAATTTGTGATTATGCCGTTATGTAAAGCTGTGAGCCGACTACATTTAAAATTGGTAGCCAAATAACTGCAGTTTAGCCATATCTTAACCAAAAATTATAAAATCGAGCATTGGCGTTCCTCATCTATTGTTAGCCACAGATAATATGTGACCAAATTCGTGACTATGCAATAGATTTTTTGGGCCAATTTAGTATCATTTGTAATATATGGTAAATTATAAAATTAAAATTATCACAAACTAATGAATGATATATCATTTTGATGTTTTTGTGTTTCATGATTCTGCAAAAAATCTAGTAATATTTCTACTATTAAATCACTTGAATATTTAGTTATTTCACCATTCAACTGACATATCAGTTAAACTAAAAGCTTTTAAAATTTTTTACGTTTATATTAAAATTGGCAAATGCATGTTAATATCGTTGTTACTTTTACAAGAGTTCCTTTTACAAAAGAGTTCCTTTTTTTATAATAATGAAAAGTTGTTCTTGAATGACTAGAAAGATACAAATGAAAAATCATACAATTTAAAGAGAAGATGAATATAATCAAACTCAAAGAAAGAAAAAGAAAGATGAACGTCGATCAGTGATCTCTTTATGTCTTTTTTCGTTTCTTCTTTCTTTTTTCGTTTCATTTGATTTCTAACACTTTCCTTAGTTCTATACCATACTTTCAGGAAAGCGCTTTGCTTAGCTTTATCTTTTTCTCAAAGCAATTTCCATTTACTCTACCCCCTCTTTCAATCAAATATCGACGCATTTATTAAAAACAAAAATGCGTTTGAGAATTTTTAAAGGTCAATCATTAAACTTCATTAATTGATGCTGTGAAGTTTCACTATGTGAAGCTCTTCTCTCTTAAAGGGAATCTCACTAGTTTACTACGAGTTGTGTTCAATTGTCTTTCAACGTAAGAGTGCAAAATATATTTACTTTTGCGGTCAAGAAATTACAAATAGCATATGATCTCATCTGACTTTGATAATATAGAGTGCTTTTGAACTATCACACTGTTGGAGGATAACAATTATGGTCTGCAACAATGATTTTGGGGAAGAAAACCTCTTCCAGTTGTTGGCAATATACTAGTCTGCTTTGAATGAATCATGCATATCATAGTCTCAGCCTGACCACTTGGGACTCTGTCAAGAAAATGGTGTATAAGATATGTACTTTAATAGGTAAAGGGGAGGCCGCTACCTTGAATACGACCCACAAGAAATCTTTAAAAAGCTCACAAGGGGCAGAGATGAAATATGGTAACGAACTAATAAAAGATGTGTGAGATAGTCTCTCAAAAAGCTCATACAATTCTCCTCTTAAACTCTTTTTTTCTCTTTTTCGTTTTTTCCTCACCAAGTCTTTTTTACACACATCCAACTTCGAGTATGTATGGCAGTATGGGGCAAGACTCTTAGGAATCTAGAGGTTGCACTCCTTGAAACCTAATGATAATAGTACTAGATTATTTAAAGCGGTACTCGTAACTCGTGCACTGCGAAATCATAATCAAATCCGTCAACTATATATTAGAGCTCAAAAGTCTTCTTACCATTACATTTTCCTTTTCATTATAACATTTTCGTTAATTACTGCATTGTTCGTTTATGTCATTTTAAAAACATTTATTCGTTTTATATCTAAAGAAAATTGGATCTATATCTCGACAACCCAAAATTTCTACTTCGTAAGTATTCTATTTTAGAAAAAGTATTCTATTTAACGAACCACACTCAAAATCGGATATGGATAGACAAATAGCCCATGAAAGTACAATATCCTTGAAGTTGGATCATGTTCAACTGTAAAACTTGTTACGTAATTAAGTGTATATTAATTTATTTTATACAAATGCGTGCATATGTTTACATATACAGTAAGTGGACAAATAAATGGGAAGCGTGTTGATAAGACTTTTTCGCTCTAATATTTTACGGACTGATGTATTTACAATGAAACTAGTACCAATTCCGCTTTTCTAAAGATTATAACTTTTTAAAGAAAGTTTGTAGCTTGATCTGTACTGTTGTTATGTTTTACGTGTAGACCAAAATGAATAAGATAAAACAAAGCGGTGAATGCGCGCCTAATAAATTTAGAAACAATGTAGTTCTTTAATCCCCACTACTTAAGTCGCTTTTATCTCATTTTCTTCCCCAATTTTTTACTAAAAATTTTATATCATCTTCCTATAAAAAGACGTCGTCTCTCTTTCTTCGCAATAAGCTATATTCCTCTCTTATGGCGACACAAGATTCTCAGGGGATTAAACTCTTTGGCAAAACCATTGCATTTAACGGTAATATCACTCAGACAATAAAAAAGGAAGAAGAGAAACAACCGCCAGAGCCAGAGGCCATAACAGCCGTTAGATCATCTTCATCATCTGATCTGACGGCGGAGAAGCGTCCGGACAAGATCATAGCATGTCCAAGATGCAAGAGCATGGAGACAAAGTTCTGTTACTTCAACAACTACAACGTTAATCAGCCTCGACACTTTTGCAAAGGCTGCCACCGTTACTGGACCGCCGGTGGTGCACTCCGGAACGTTCCTGTCGGCGCCGGACGTCGGAAATCAAAACCACCGGACCGTGTCATCGTCGGTATGCTTGGGGATGGAAATGGGGTCCACCAGGTCGAGCTAATTAATGGCTTACTCGTCGAGAAATGGCATGTCGCAGCCGGCGCTCACGGTGGTTTCCGGCATGAAGTTCCCCTGAAGCGGCTCCGGTGCTACTCTGATGGTCAATCGTGTTAATTATAATTATAATTATTTTTAATTTTTGTTTTGGTTTTGGGGTTGAGTGGTTTTCCTTTAAACCCGTAGAAGAACGTGGTGAATTTTGGTTGCTCTTAATTGGGTACATACAGGCTGGCAAGATAGTTTTATTGTCATTTGTCAATCAGTCGAATCTCATTGGTACTTTCGTTAATTAACTTTGTTCTAGCTTTTTGTCAAGAGCATGGAGTAGTAATTAAACAAACAAAGAATTAGTTAGGTTCTATTTTTATTTTTGATAAAAGAATCTTATACGAATGGATGATATAGGTGGGAACTACAAGATGGCTGTGACCAGAGACCATAGAGAAAAAGTTGGTGCTAGTCCAAATGTTTAGGAAGAATAATTACACAAATTATATATTCTCAATAAGCTAAAAATAAGTTTTCTAGATTAAAATAAACATAATGTAAATAATATTTAGAGATAAAAATAACTTTTTAAAATTGAGATATTGGTGTATGTCTAAATCTGGTATTTTTTTTTTTTTTGTAGATTTTCTTATAATTTCCGTAATTTTGATATGCAATCTCATCGATTTTCCAATATCAACAAAGAAGATCCATAAGAATGCAGCCAAAAATCAGCCTCACAGTGGTCGAAGTCATTAGCATCACCAACCACGAGTTGACAATGGTGGTGAAGCATATGCAAAGAGGACGATCAAGTATATATTTGGCCATTTTGGCTCTATATATGGCTTCTGTTTTTATTAATTTAAGTTTCTAAAAGAGCAAAAACCATAAGCTCCTCAAGCCCACGTCATCTTCACGTCTTTCACATGAAAATGGACTATTATTAGAAACATAGTCAACATGACTTCTCTTATGAACTAGAAGTCCGCATGACCCTTTTCCTTTTTCTTGAATCTTCTCATAAGACTTCAGTGCCACATCAGTATATCTTCTTGTGGATGAATTAGTTTATAATATCTTTTCGACAGCATCTATATACTTATTTGTGTAGTGATTTGTTTACGTATCGTGCTCACAACGAATTTCACAATCTTTCGCTTACATGTCAGCTTCAGAATCAATTTCAGCTGTAAAAAACTGTTTAACCCTATTTAACAATTATATGTCATTTTTGATTGATTATTATATGCTGATGTGTGAAAAAAAACTTAAAATAAACCAGTCTAATTTATTATTGGTTAATGTTTAATTTTATAATCAATCAAACCGTTTCTAAAATTAAATAAAACTAAATTTTAGAAAAAAATAACAAAAACGATTTTTTAAAATAACATAAACGTTTTTAAAATAAAAATAATATATAGAAACTATATCTCTTAATGATTACCATTTTTATGTTACCAAAATTTAGAAAAAATCTAACAAAAATGTTAAAAGAAACAAAAACTGAAATCTATTTAAAAACTAATAGAATGTCCAATCAAACCGTTTTAAAATTATATAAAACCAAAATTTAGGGGAAAAAATAACAAAAAATAAAAAAATAATAAATAAAAATATATATGTCTAATGAAATATCATTAATTATAATTTTTAGATTATAATTTTTGATTTCTTATCTATATATTACTTCAAACTTTTTTACCCTTTTACCAAAATCAAAAGCTTATTTGTAAATTTTGGATTCGTCTAACTTAGAACAAAGATAAAAAAAATTAATGCTCTTAAAATCATTTATTTAAAAAATTATATTTGATATATATATATATATATATATATATATATATTTCCCACGCAAAGCGTGGGCAAATTAACTACTAAGTATATATTTGGTAGTATTTTTGGTGTCACATGTATGATATAATTGAAATATGTAGTCTATCATAGTAATAACAAAAAAAAGTGTCAAACAAACCAAATATATGAATCTTTTGTTTGTAGTATAATATTTTTTTTTCTAAAGTATTGACACGGCTTTGATTAGATATGAAATAACCAAGTCGCTTTATTTTGGTTTCATTCTTATCATAAAAATTTATTGTTTTTAAAAAAAAAAAAAATCTGATAAATTGTAACGAGGACAGAATAATATGTGTATAATCCAAAAATATTGGAATTCCTATCATCCTATGTGTTATAGGAATCATAAACTTTTAAAAAATAGGAATCCTAAACTCTTTAAAACAAGGAAACGAACACAAATATAAACCTCGTTAAATCCCGCGACCCTTTCTTACCTGGATTAATAGCTTCCTTGTTCTCTCTCTTTCAAATTCCTCCAAAGCAAAATTTCTTACAACTTCCTTGATCGTCTGGTTTCGTTTTTCAATCGTAAGTTTTCTTTTAGCGATCGTGTGCGCACTAGTTTTTAGACATTGATTTGCCCTAGTTCTAGTTAGGGTTTCCTCTCTTTTCTGGTCGCTTAGAAAGTAAAGGCTAGACCTGTTTGTTGTGGGGATTCGCTCATGAAAAATAGCTACGTATTGCCAGCTAAAATTAAAAACTAAAGAACTGGATTTCGGTTTTGAAACCCTAAAACCCTGTTTTAATTTATACGGTGCCAATCAGGTTCACTTGATAAGAAGATGGAATGCGTAGAAGATAGCCACTGGATTGATTCGATAATAAACGAAGTTGGAGCAGCATTAACCTTGGTTGACGAATCCATACAAAAGGTAAGTACAGCTCTTCTTCTTGTTTGCTCCTTTTTTCCTTTCGTATCTTCTGCTTTGATCTTATATGCTATTTTACGCCCTGAAATTTAAGAGTTATGGTTCTGCTTGGATTCTGACCTAGTATAAATATATAAAGGCTTTAACACTATCTTCTTTTCATCATCATCATCATCATCATCAACGAAAAGTCCATGCTATTGATGCAGCGTATTTTGTAGATTGTATATGTTTTTGTTGTTTAACATATTTATTAATTAGTAGTTACATTCGATCTGGTTTTTCTTTTCTGATTTCGCAGAGTATTGAACTCTGGATGGAGTTAACCAAAGACTTGTTTGATAACCAGCCTACCCAAGACATAACCGGACAACCAAATAATGGAAAATCCGGTGAAGAAGATTCCTCTCAAGATATACCTGTCGCTGAGGTCAAAGATAGTCCTATTAAACACTGGGCTATGTGCCTCGGTGAGGTGAAAGAAATACCGAGCCAACACTGGGCTCTGTGTGGTATGTGTTCTATAGTTTTATAGTAAATTCTAATGAAAGTAGCTACAACCTCTTTTTTGGCTTCCCATGATTTCCCACTTGGGTTTCTTGACGGACAAGTATCATCTTAATTTTGTGACAGCTTCAAAAACTCCAGAGTGTTTGATTCAAGAACAATTGGATGACGATTATTGTGAAGATGACTGCGATGAGGAAGAGGAAGAAGAAGAGGAAGATGAAGAGGAGGAGGAGGAAGAAGATGATGAGGAAGAGGAGGAAGAGGAGGAAGAAGATGAAGAGGAAGAAGGGGAAGAGGAGGAAGAAGATGAAGAGGAAGAGGAGGAAGAAGATGAAGAGGCTAGTGTAAGTTTGAAGTAGTCTTTTCACATATCTATATCCACGCTAACACGGACTAGAATAGGAGACCATCGTTTCTTATTAGTTAAGGATTGCTAATTTGGTTATTGTCTGTTGAAGGATGATGACATGCCTTCAGAAGAAGATGAAGATGATGAATCACGGGATGATGAAGAAGAAAAAGAAGATGAAGAAGACGTGACAAAGGCTTCTAAATCTTGTGAAAACATGTGGGAGCTTAAGTTGGGACCCCCAGGAATCCCGGGATTTTGCTACTTACCTCCTAGCCACCCTCTCTATAGTGAAGAAAGCAATGTAAGTTTGAAGCTGTTTATTTACATCTTTATATCCACCCTCACAAAAACTAGAAGAACATATTAAGGAATCTAATTATTTTAGTCAGTTGCTAATATAATTATTGTCTTTGACTGAATCTTCATGCATGATTAGGCTTTGTATATGAGTCGGAGAGGTGGCTATAAGGTGTTAAATGATGACGATCCGTCTTCCGAAGAAGATTTCGACTTATGGTTATCGGGTGATGTAGAAGAAGAAGAAGACGAGACTAGGGTTTCGGAATCTTGTGAAAACATGTGGGATCTTAATTTGGATCTTAATTTGGGGACCTCGGCGACGAGCCATAACCCTAGTTGGGACCATCATCGTAATGAAGAAGATATCGTAAGTTTGAAACAGTTCTTTACATTTCATTTGAATCCATGCTTACAAAAACTAGAATAATGGATTACCGTTATAACGGAGTTTAGTAATTTTTAATCGGTTGCTAATTTGGTTATTGTCTTTGAATGAATCTTTATAATTAGGGTTCGAGTTTGAGGTGGGCAGGTAGTTATGAGCTGATAAAGAGTGATGTCACGTCTTCCGAGGAAGATGACGACTCATGGGATAATGAAGAAGAAGTGATGGAATGGATGTGGAAGCATGGACTCATGAGCGATGTAAGTAACGAATCATTAGTGGGTCATGATGAAGATCATGAAGATGAAGATGAAGATGACGTGTCGGACAAGTTACAAGGATTTGTGGATGTGAAGGAAGAGGAGATTTTGAACAACACGGATTTTGTTGAGGTCGAGACCGTTTTGCCCGAATGTGATTGGGTTTACGTGACGAAGGATTAGGTCTCTGCTTTTTCGCTTATTTTTTGCGTTATCTTGATTTGAGTGTTATACTTTCTATCGGCTTTTGTGTGTTTTTTTTTGGGGTTGAAATTAGATTGTTTTAGTTTTTGGAGTGCTTGTTTCATTTGTTTTGCACTCTACCTATGTTACTTTATCAAGCATCAGCTATATACTTTATCAAATATTTTATGTTTTAATAATTATTAATATTTGTCCTTTGCTAAGCCAATTTTGCATAAAACGAAGAGTTTGAATTATTGAATATGCATATGTATCTTGAGCTCAAACAATGTTACTATTTTAATTGTTTTTATACTTATAAATAATTTTAATCCAACAAGAACAATTCATAAGCTACTAAACTAGTCTAAGAGATACAAGTCCAAACATCTTAGAAATTTTAGTTTAACATGAAAACATTTCCAAATTTTTTTATTTTAAATAACATATTTTACGATTGGACTTTCCAAAGAACCAAAACTATACACACTAAAATCTCACGATTTCACCAAAAGTCAGTTATGTATGTCTCAAAGACTCAAACCACAATCTAGGCACTATTTTATTTTGATTTATCGGACCGAACCAGTAAGAAAAAAAAAAAATTTGGTAATTTTTCTGTTTGATAATTTCGGCTGGTTATTGGGTTAATATGGGCAATTGCGAAACCAGAAAAAATATCCGAAGCAATTGAAAATCGACAAAAAAACGAAAAGGGTAGAGATGTTTCCTAACTCTGTTTCAGTTCGGTAATGGCGGAGATTTGCTTTTTTGGGGGTCTGGTCCATCACAAGGCTCCATCTCCTTCGTCTCTTCATCCTCTATTCCGCAGCAAACCCCATCACTGCAATTCAACTTCTCACATGGCCGCCTCCGTTTCAGCCGAATGCCACTCCTCCTTGGAGCCACCTTCTCTCCTCGTCTTCTCAGGTGACCCAAAAATACTCACTTTCTTCTTCGTTCTCTTCCTCTTTTTTAAAGTTATTTTTTTCTTCAGTGTCCGTTAATTTGGGTTAGATCTTGACCAATTACCGAGAATTTGATCTTGATTTAATGTCAATCGAAATATTTGGATTGGCCACTTGATTGTCAAAGTTATCGACTACAAACCAGTCTTTGAAGCTTTTTCATTGTCTTAAAGAGTAGACTAGTGCCTTGCATTGGCAACAAATTGATTTGGTCAAGTTTGTCTTTTTTACTCTGAAGGCGGCACTGGATTTAACGGTGTGGTGGAAGAGTTGAAGAAGTTAACAACCCGAGTCGCTCATGTGCTTCCTGTCTCTGATGATGGAGGAAGTACAGCTGAGATTGTTCGTGTTCTTGGTAAGTTTTCTACGACTAACTGTAATTGTACAAGACCAAGATTATACTATGTTTTTTAGCTTCTTAAAAAGTTATTGCATTGGTATAGGCGGGCCAGCGGTTGGTGATATACGCTCGAGGTGTTTAAGGCTGTCTGATGAAAGTACTTCAGAGGCACTTGCTGTCAGGAGGTTGCTTGGACATCGCTTACCTATAGATGCACATAAGGCCAAGAAAGATTGGTAATTTATTCAACCACTGTGTTTTGTTTATGCACATTGTGTAGTCTACTCTTTAGACTACACATTTAAGGCCTTGACTTTTTGAAATCGAGCATATACTCCCAATACACTCTGTAGAAAACTGGGAATTTACATAAACAGTGAAGCCCCGCAGATTCTAAAAGTTCTCTTATGTCTTCGTTAATTTCTCACTTTATTTGCTGTGCTCTTACTAGTTGCTATCTTACTATGGTGGGAGGTACATATTGTGTAATAGATAGTGTGCTGAGTTAGGACTTTGACAGGTATGATATTGTGGAAGGTAATCATTCTCTGTGGGATGGTGTATCAGGACCCTACAGAGAAACAATCCGCGCTTTCTTGGTTTACTTTCAGAATGAGGTATAATGTTAAATGATCCAGAGAATGAGAGAAACATGTTGTTGTTTGATCAGTTCCATCTTCTTGGTTCTTTAAATTTTTCTTTCTCTTTCTATTCTGACATTTATTACTTGACATGTTTCTTACGACACAGATTCTTAGACGACCTAATGATACATTTTGCTTCAGCAATGGAAGGTATTGAGGATCTTATTCTCGGGCTTAATGTGTGTATTATTTTGTTCGCCTGTTTAGTAACTTATGTTCAGTTGATTCCTTCTTGTAGCATTGGGAACTTCTTCTTTGCAGGAGCAAGGATCTTTTTCCAGTCTTTAGATGCTGCGATTTTTCTGTTTTCACGTGTTTCGGAGATCCCTTGTGACAGTTTGGTCCTCCCAGTGATATCAACCAACGATAGGCTTACCTTAGGATGTGAATTACAGGTATGAAGCTTAGTCTCTGTTTGATATCTAGCGCCTAGTTTATGACAGTCCCATGTTTGTCCAGAAACATGGCAATTGATATGTATGTGTAGGGTCAGTATCGCTGGCAAAAGCATCACTTTGTGGGAATAACCAAAAAGTGTCGCTTTTTATACATAAATCTTAGCTGTTGATTCACTGGTGGACTTTTTTGGTTTAAACATCAATTGACTGCAAGATTCAGGTGGCAAATTTGATTGTAAAGTTACTGTTTTTGTGAGATAAATTTGCAGGATGGGACTATAATACGTGGACAGAACGAGATCTCTCACCCGACCAATGGGACTATGCAGACCGTTGACAAGGTTTTATATTTAGACATCTTACGTTGAATATCTGTGATGATCACGAGAGCTAGTTTACTATATACTTGTTTCAATAAAAAAAAAATGTCGATTTTGCAACATGTTGAATCGATTTTCTTACAATGTCTTTCCATGTTTCTAGTAGAGACATTGTTCGACTTCCGATCTTCCATCGAAGATAAAGAGAGTATTTTACATGTCAAGTGAAGGCAATAATCTGCTCCATGAGGTTAACAACTCTTTTATATATAGAAAAAATTTCTGCTTTTATTCGATTTTACTATCTAATGATGATGCTTCCCTTAAAGAAACTCTTATCTTATAAGTTCTCTACCTCATTTCTTTGTAAGTGTGTCGTTTTGCCATTACAAGTGTTTTTGTGTTTGTGTCCATTAAATAGGTCTTCCCACCAGTTAATCCAACTGTCTTGGAGCAGTTGAAAACCGTGGACTGTATCGTTTATGCTATGGGATCTTTATTCACTTCCATTTGCCCATCACTGGTAAGAACCTGCAATGAGTTTTGTGCAACAATAATTACTAAATTTTGTGATTACTGTTATAAACAGACGTTTTCTTCTGTTCTCTCAGGTTCTGCTTGGTGTTGGGGAGATTATCTCTTCAAGGTCATGTCGTAAGGTACGTTGAAGCTCGTCAAGAATACTAATGGCGGAGATATCCAGTCTTATTTCTTCTGGTCTCGGTCACAGGTACTTCTGTTGAACGGTAGTCAAGACCGAGAAACAAGCGGCTTCACTGCTTCCTGCTTTGTGATTGCCATCGCTGATGCTCTCAACAGAACTCATGGAGATCCTAATATTCGGCTCAAGAATCCCGTGAGTGGTTGAACCACATCTGCAGAATCCACACTTTCTTTATCTAAGAACATCATTATTCTTTTTTTTTTGGTATGCAGCCTGGATATTACATAAACACTCTCTTGGTCCCGAAAGATGGAGAAATAGCTGTAGATCACAAACAGTTGTCTGAACAAGGAATCGATGATGTTGTTAGTATCTCTCCCATTTCACTTGTTTCCAAGTATATGTTGCACAACAAACACTCACTGTTGCTTCCGCTCTGTTGCAGAGAGTCGTGGAGTCTGTTTGTGACCCGAAGCACGGTATCTTGTTCAACGCGAGCTCGTTGATAAGCACACTAGCCGGTCTGGTGTAGTAAATAGTGATTCTTTAGGCCATATCTGGTTCCTTCTTTTGCTTTGAGATGATAATACGGATATGAATCTATGAAATTTGTTTTCTTTTTTTTCCTGTTTAGTTTGATTATTTGTAGATGGATATTAAAGGTTTTTAATGATCATATTAAAGATAAAGTCTCTCTTTCTCCCGGATTTGGATAATTATGTTCTGGATGGAACAAATCCCAAAAACAGTGTGTTTGTGTGAAGCATGGTGACAATAGGACACTGACCCTTTTATACAGTATTGGAAAATAAGGAAAATAGTTACATAGAATCAAACGATCCATGATTGTTAGTAACTTAATATCTCTCTTTTACTTGTTTCCAATTATATGTGCCCAACAAATACTCACTGATGTTTTCGCTCTGTTATCTTGTAAGCCAAGAAATTTACAAGATAAAAATTAGTTGAAGGTTTTTGGAAGTAGGTGAAACTACGAAACCAATTATTGTTATTATTGGTAATGGCCAAAAAATAAATAAAAATTATTCAATTTTGTTAGTTTTTAATTTATGCAATACTTTTTGTCATTTTAATTTGTGACTCTTATAAGCCAATTTGATAGACATAAATATACCAAAGAATTAAAATGAATATGACGCACCCATTTGAGTCCATGCTTCGTTGCTCCTTCTCTCCAGTGATTGCACATATAATATTGTCCAAGACAATTTGTTTTGGTTGCGGAAATGACAAACAAATCAACTTTCCAACTTTCAGCCTTTTAACATAAACTATTCTATTTCGGACTAAAAACATAATATATACTACGACATCCCACCAAAAAGATTATTTGGTAAAATAGCTTGAAATAAAATAAGACGAAGATAAGATAATTTTTTCCAAAAAACTGTATTCTTGTTCTCAATAGTAAAAAAGAAACTGTTTGTTATTTTGAATTTTGCTTTTTTGGTGTCGGTTCAAATAAGTCTATTTTTATTAAGAAACAAAAAAATATACCGTCGTGGGAAATATCGAATTTATTTTAAACATACATGTCATTCATTAATCCAAGTTTTGTATATAATAATACTATAATTTCTATTATTATTTTTTGAAAACACAATCCATTATTTTGTGGAATTTGCTCAAAGTACAGTACATGCAAAAGCGAGAACTCCAAGTGGGAAAGAAGATTACCGTAATTCATTTAAAAAGCGAAAGAACATGTTACTGTAATACTTCAATATTTCCTGTAATAATCCAAATTCTTTATATATTAATGGCGCGTATCAACTTTTTCATCATTAAAAATTTTCAGATTTTCAGCAAGATTATGTGTGCCCATTTAGAAAATTTGAACTCGTTACATTGAAAACATGTGACCTTTAAAAGTAAATAAACTTCCATTTTATCAAAATTTGTTAAAAAAAAAAAATCAACAATTGTTACTTATTAGAATGTGTGGCACTATATTGTTTGTTCTTCTAAGGGATTCCAACGTTCAAGTTAACACTGGACAAAGAGACTTCCAGTTCCATTTTCAATTTAACAACACATATTTCGAACCAAAAGAAACCAAAACCACAATGATCCAAAATACAAATAAGGAAGTTTTTCAAAAACAAAAAATTGAATACAAATAAGAAAGCTTTCCTTCCAAGGATTACGGCGCAAGTAATGCAAACTATTGACATCACCTCCAGTGGATTCAAGTCAACTTGTATTTGCTTACATACGATTGGATCTCGTTGTTCAGTCCTAAATCTATAAATACCTTTTCCTTCTGTCCTCATTTCTTCACCAATACATTACCATTACTCATAAGCCAGAGAAACATAATAGCTTTCTTCTCTATATATTCCCAATTCTCCAAAAGCAAATGGCATCAATTATGATCTTGGTCACGGTTTTTACCATTCTTTTCACAATTTTCAGAATCTCTCAAGCTACGTCTCGTACAACAACCTTCCACGGGCCGTCGATAGTTGATAAACATGAGCAATGGATGGCGAGATTTTCTCGCATTTATCGCGATGAGCTGGAGAAACAGATGAGACGCGATGTGTTCAAAAAGAACTTGAAGTTTATTGAGGACTTCAACAAAAAAGGGAACAAAACCTACAAGCTTGGTCTCAATGAATTCGCGGATTGGACCAACGATGAGTTCTTAGCAACACACACTGGACTAAAGAACCTAACCAGGATTACCCCATCCAAGGTGGTCGGCAAGACGTCGTCTAGGATGTCTTGGAATGTCAGTGATGTGGCAGGCGAGAGCAAGGACTGGAGGAGTGAAGGAGCTGTCACTCCTGTTAAATACCAAGGCCAATGCGGTAATGCTTCTTTTTTTTTTTACATGAATTATACATTACCAAATACCAGCCAAAGAGAAATTAAAAAGTATGAGACCACAAGTCACATTGCTGTTAACGCAAATATTAGAATTTGCATTTAATAGTTCAAATATATGTGAAACATTTTCCTTAATTGTTTTCTTTGTGTCGAGTTTGCATTTGCAATTTTCAAAAAGAAATAATTCCCATACATAGTAGGTTAATTAACTTATGAGCGTATGAAAAAAATGCAATGCAATGCAAAGTAAATATACAACGTTCTGAGCCGAAAATATTAAACCTTGATGTCCAAGTTATCTAGATTAGGGCGATAGTGAATAAGGTTTACCGGTTTAGTGATCTATCTGAGTTCGCCATATGTTGCATTTTCTATTAATTTGAGCATCAAATTTATGACAAATCTATATATATGTACAGGATGTTGCTGGGCGTTTTCAGCTGTAGCAGCAGTGGAAGGTGTGGCTAAGATCGCCCACGGTAAGCTCGTATCTCTGTCCGAACAACAGCTTCTAGACTGCGACAGAGAGTACGACCGAGGCTGCAACGGTGGGATAATGTCGGATGCTTTCAACTATATAATCCAAAACCGAGGCATCGCTTCAGAGAACGATTACTCTTACCAAGGATCAGATGGGAGATGTCTGTACAATGCAAGACCCGCTTCACGGATCAGTGGTTTCCAATCAGTTCCTAGCAACAACGAGCAGGCCTTGCTCGAAGCCGTATCGAGGCAACCCGTCTCTGTCTCGATGGACGCGAATGGGGAAGGGTTCATGCATTACTCAGGGGGAGTATACGACGAGCCGAATTGTGGGACCAGCTCGAATCACGCAGTTACGTTTGTTGGGTATGGGACGAGCCAGGATGGGACCAAATACTGGCTGGCTAAGAACTCGTGGGGTGAAACTTGGGGAGAGAATGGTTACATTAGGATCCGTAGAGACGTGGCTTGGCCTCAAGGCATGTGTGGTGTAGCCCAATATGCTTTTTATCCAGTTGCGTAAGCGTTATTTATATATTTTCTTATACCTTATACCTATAGACTATTATTCAAGTGGAAAGTATAACAAATACTATTGTAGTAGTGTCTTGATTACTAGATTAAATAGTGTTGCGGTGCGGCGTAAGTCCACATATTTTGAGCCACATATTTGTATTGTTCTGTGTACGTCTTGCATGGCGTTGAAGTAACCTGTAAGACATATCAGACATATGTATTTAAGCAAAGATTCAGTGTGATGGTGGTTTTTTATATATAGAAATGATAGCTTATGGAATAAGGAATTTGCAAATTATAACCATTTAACAATGCTATATATATATATATACATACATGTAAAATAGGTGTGGAGACTACATAAAAAAACATATGTATTAATGTATTATGTCACAGACTTTCAAAGCCAAAAACAATTCCAACACCGACTTCTTGGATTTTTCTATATTTCCAGTATTTCATTTCCTAACGAAATTATATATACGGTCAATTAATTGCTTGCATTACAGATAATTTTCATGGATTTTTCCTAAAAGAATCTTGAGCCTGTATATATATAGGGATATCATATATGATAATATGATATAAAATCCAAATTCCAACCCAACTGGTGGTAATATATGCTTTGTTGCTCTTCTCATTATCATGCAATAGTCAATACATCTGGCTTGGGCGTCATAGCTTTTTTGGGAAAACACCACATGGATGTTTTTCTTACTTTCAACTGTCCAAGGGTTTGTTACTTTGCGCAGACTTGTACTTTCAGTCTTTCATTATTCTCTATCTTTATCTTATATTTTTTACTAAGCCTCAATCAACATGCATCAGACATCAAGCAACATTCATCAAGCATCATTTAACATCATCATTCCATACTAATTTCTTTTGGCCATTTTTGTTAGTCGTACGTTAAGTTTCAGAATCGAATCATTAATAATGTCAAAATAAAAAGAAACGTAACATAATTTTCCACCCTTGCATGTGAGTGTACTCCTGAGAAAATATCATAAATCACTCACTATTCTAAAAATACTAATCAACAAAACACAATCAATTAGAGATCACAAAAAATAAACCATGTTTACGTGTCTAGTGCTGTCCATGTCTTATATGAATAATTTCTCTTCAAATTAAAATTATATTACTTCCCATCAAACAAAAAAAATATAAAAAAACATAGCAAATAATGAACAGATGGCGTAGGAGCATGTGAGAATTGATGGAAAACGAATTTATTTTTTTGACGTGATGGAAAATGATTTAAGATGTCCCCCGTGACAAGTTAACCCAAAGAATGTACCACTAATACCTTTGATTCATTCACGAGAGCCCCACGAAAACACACCTAAAATGATAATGTGAATGACTTGAGCAAAGCTTTTTTTGCTTTCTATAGTTTAATTTTGAGAAAAAGTAGTGTACATTGGCTTTCGATAGTTATTACCCATGATGGGTTATTACCAATAATGTGATCACTTCAACGATGTAGCAATAATCATTGGTAGGAAGTTAGCACAGCTTGATTTAGACGTTACAAGTCACATAACTACATAAGCTGCATATTCTAAGAAGGTATATATTATATAGTTTCTTGCATTGTTTAACTCTTGCGAAAACATTGGTATCTTTTAACTCGATTATTTTTTATATATTGAGCTACGAATTTTATGTGGAAATATCAATACAATGAATATTCTATGGATTTTTTTTTTGGCATGCCTAGTTTTTAGAAACGGATTTAGCGATATATAAACACCGGATTTCTGAGTATCAGTGATTTTTATGTCGAGGTTTTTGTCACCACCTAGGGACGAAAAGATCTGCCGCTTAAATTTTCTAAAAACATTTTCTTAAACATGTTTCACCACTTCTTACCGACGTATCACGTATGTACACTGACATATGCAAATTGGTTGCAAAAATAACGATGGATTGGATTGAACGACAATCTATCTCGTCGTTAGTACGTACCGACTATTATACAAAATATTATTTTTGTCAATAAATAGTTATGTATTTTAATACTCTTACTGTTATGAAATAAGTGATGTTTTTGTAGAGATTTTTTATTCTCACATAAGTGATATTTTTAGTTTTCAATACAAAATATAATATGTTTTTTTTTGTTTTTGACTATTTATATTCTGCTCATTTCTTGTTATTAGTTAGATTGTATTTAAATAGATAATAAATAATATTTTTAGTATTGAAAAAAAAATTAATAAATTCTTAATTTGTGTGTAACAACTTTAAACATCACTTATATCAATATAATTTATCGATATACAAATTATTATGTACCCAAGATTAGCTATCAATGAAAATTAGTCGATTAATTGACAGCCGAAAATTTGTGGATTCCCTAATAAATATATATGGATTTTTTTTCTAATATATTAATAGATTTTTTCCTAGTAAATTAATGGATTTTTTATTATTTCGAACCCATATAAAGCTAAGAGTATCTCCACCCAAGAATCTCTTCACACTACTCACTACTGTATTTATGTATATATATATACATATAAGTATATACGTGTGTATATATAAACCCAATCCCATCACAAAGCCTCTTCAAAAAAAAAAAACCCCCACATTTCTTTTCTTTGAAAGATGGGTTTCAAACTCATCTCTCTTTTGCTTCTTCTTTCACTTCTCATACTCACAATCTTGTCCGGAGCCAACCACTACCAGGCCTTGGCTTCCGTCAAGAAACCGCATGTGAACCACCGCAATAGAACGGTGCTGACTGCCGCCGGAGGAGGAGGAAAAGCGGCGTTGAAAGTGAAGAAGCAAACGACTGGTTGTAACTTGTTTCAAGGGAAATGGGTTTTCGATGCTTCTAAGCCTTTCTACGATTCCTCCACGTGTCCTTTTATCGACGGTGAGTTTGACTGTCTCAAATTCGGTCGACCGGACAAACAGTTCCTCAAGTACTCTTGGCAACCTGACGCATGCACAATCCCAAGGTATGTAATCACATACATACATTATAAGCATATAATGATGATGTTAATGTTGGTTATGTATGAAAATTGTAATGAAGGTTCGATGGAGAAGCATTTCTGAAGAAATGGAGAGGGAAACGAGTGATGTTCGTGGGTGACTCACTGAGTCTTAACATGTGGGAATCGTTAGGATGTATGATACATGCGTCGGTTCCAGACACCAAGATCACTTTTCTCAAACGTACCCCACTCTCCTCTCTCACTTTCCAGGTCCCTCTTTCTCACTCTCTCTCGTCTTCTTTTTTTTTTTCCTTATTATAACTTAAAAATGTGTCTTTGGAGGACTTGTCATATTCTAATAATTCATCATCACGAGGAGGACTTGTCATATTCTGGAATCGAGTTAGTCACGGGCTATATATACTATACAGTATATTTATTTTAAAAAGAAGTATTGTCAAATTTTTCCTTCGAATTTAAATGTAAAAGCTGTTTTGTGCAAATGCTTGACATCCAAGGTATCATGATGTTTTTTTTTTTTTTTTGAGAAATCCAAGGTATTATGATGTTGTCTGCCAAATGCCCTTTCTTTTTCGTTATTTATTAAATTGAGAAAAGTTAGTATATACGTCATCTAAAACTATGAATGAATGACTAATATAGGTAAAATAAGACGTATATAAATTTTACAAACAACTAACTGATTTTTTGCCTATATCATATTTTATACAAAAAGAGATGTTTTTATGGAGTGGTATTCTTCCACTTTTAAAATTCTTTGTTAGTATTCTTCATTTTTTAAATATGTTAATTATCTTAATGAAAACATATATAATTTGTATACATACTTTATGTTTGTTTTTGTTTTTGGCAACGTTGTGTATACTCCCGATCTAAAATTATAACAAGCTCTTTTCCATTTTTGTGCTAAATTATAACTAGTTCTATCTTAAAACACTCAATGTGTCATTAACAGCCGATATGGAAAAAGATGTGCACCTCCAGTTTTGTTCTCTCCCGTACATCATCTTGCCTGTTTGTTTTAATTGTTGACTTAGGTTTTTTTGGCAATTTCTCTCTTTTGGTCGTTTACAAAACAAAGAAAAATAATAATATATAACAATAAATAATTTGAAAGAAACAAAAGGAAGAGAACATAGCAGAGAAAGGAAGTAGGGGACCTGACACTCTGACAGCTAATGACAACCAATAAACCACTCCAACTTGTTTTCTTCAACTTCTGGTTTTCAATCATCTAAAAACATTTCTACATAACTAATTTTTGTTATATTAATTATTTAAAATCTTAAGATACTTGTTTTTAATAGAATTCATTTATACTTCTCATATATAATAAAGATATTATAATTTTCTCAATCTTTTTTGAACGGTGAAAAACAGGAATATGGAGTCACATTATACCTATACCGAACACCATACCTAGTGGATATCTCCAAAGAAAGTGTAGGACGTGTGCTTAACCTTGGAGCCATCGAAGATGGTGCTGATGCGTGGAAAGACATGGACCTTCTCGTCTTTAATTCCTGGCACTGGTGGGTTCACAAAGGAGCACAATCTCAAGGGTTCGTACCAAGTATCTTACACTTAAAGCTATATATATATATATATATTTGTGTGTGTGTGTGTGTTTGTAATTTGGGATTAAGACATGCTTTGGTAACCAAATTCATCTTCTCTTCTTCTGTTTTTGTTGGTGTTGTTTTCTCAGGTGGGATTTTATAAGAAATGGATCTTCATTGATTAGAGACATGGACCGTCTTGATGCTTTCAACAAAGGACTCACCACTTGGGCTCAATGGGTTGATCAAAATGTTAATACTTCACAAACACGAGTTTTCTTCCAAGGCATTTCTCCCACTCACTATGTGTAAGTTCATCACACATAATATATATACATACATGTGGTTGAACATCGCACTTCTTAGGTAAAATATATATATTTTCTTGGTTCTTTGGGAAATTTAACAGAGGAAAGGAATGGAATGAGCCGAGGAAAACCTGCGACGGGCAGATGGTACCGTTGAGCGGATCAACATACCCAGGTGGTTCACTTCCTGCAGCAAGCGTTGTGTCCCACGTGTTGAGCTCGATGAAAACATTCGTTTACTTACTAGATATCACAACTCTGTCTCAACTAAGAAAAGATGCTCATCCATCTTCTTATGGAGGCGATGGAGGATTAGATTGCAGTCACTGGTGCCTTCCTGGATTGCCGGATACTTGGAACCAGCTTCTCTATGCAGCTATTTCGATGTGAAGAATTTAAATCAATACATACTTGCCATGTATATTACATTCTTGGAAGTCCAAAGGAAAAAAGAAACGACTGACATTTTACTTGGAGATAGATGCTAGAAGATTACAAACAAGAAGACGTTAAAGTTGTAAAGTGTTTTATATTTTCTTTATTTTGCGGGGTTGAAACTATATATTATCTAATCATCTTTAGTTGTAATTGCAACAAGAATGTGATCTAAGAGTAACAATATATACCATTGCTTTTTTACTTTATTTTGGAGTAAAACAGATGTGTTGATTCATATTGACATGGATTAGATCAACTAGATAACAGCATTTCACAAACTCATGAACCAACTTCTGCCTGTTAGCCGCAAATACAAAACAAAAATATCATTTAAACACTTTAAAAGTTGTAATATTACATATCAATGCATTAATTATTTAAATCAGGTTTTCAACAAATAACGTAATTCTCAATTAATTTACTGATGGTTTCAAAAAGTACCTGTACTATGAACAAAACAATCAAGAAACTTCTAACAAAGGAGACAAGACACATCAAGATGAAGACAAAATTCACACACACAGAAAACAACAAAATAAAATAAAGTAAACAGTATCTATAAAAAGACACGACAATCTGTTCGTATCTCCCCATGTTTCCTTCCTCTCTTTACACCAATAGAACCCATCTTATCCATAGCGTCTCCAAACGCCTTTAGAAACCTCTGCTTATCTTTACTCATCTCAAGCGTAATGGGCTTCGTCCTCGGGTCAAGAAACAGGGCTTGATCCGACCCGAGAAGGCCCAGCTTAGTTCCTAGTCCTCTGAAATATCCGTTGTCGAACACAAACGGAGTTGTGGCGTCGAGTGGAAGAGAGACGCCGGAGCTTCCACCTGTAAATGGGCAAGACATACGAAGCTCCTTGATTAATCTCGGGTCGAGATTCGGGTCGGGTCGTTTTGTGCCTTTGAAGTCGTAGAGACGACCAATGAAGCTTTTGCAGTGGGCGAAACCGATTGTGTGGGACCCGGAAAGAACGACGAGATCCTCTACGGTTAGTCCTTTGGACGCGAAGAGCTTGATGAGCTGATCGACGGTGGAGTTTGATCGAGGTATGTTTGGAGGGACGTTCGTTGCCGTTGATCTTTTACCGTCCCACCTACCTTTTTTTACTTGATAGTAGGGCCCACCTGCCTAATTTCGGAGTCAACACAAAGCATATTTGTCAATGACACGTAGATTCATACACCATTAACGATCTTAATCATTTTCAAAATCAAAGTTACTAAAAATCAAGTATAATTAAGTTGAACCAAAGCCAAAAACTATATCCAAAACCGGTTTAGTTGAAACGGTCCTAGAACCATTTGGGCATGTAAGAATCGGTCCTAGAACCAGAGGAAACGGTTTAGCTAGTATCGAATTATATGAATATAGGAAGTATTAAAAGTATTGGGATTATTAATTACCAGGTGGATGAAATCTCGAGTAGCGATGGCGAGAATATCAGAACAAGAGACACGAGAAGGGCAATGAGACTCAACCAATGCCTTTGCCTTGATGATACTCTCAAAGCCTTCTTTTCTTAAATCCTTATTCTCTTCCGCTTCTCTTTCTGCTAGTGTCTTGCTTCCTTTCTCTGTTTCTATCAATATCGACCCATCACAACCCTTCAAATTTCCAATTTTTAACTCACTTTAGTTATGTTAATCGATCAACAAGTTTATTTGTTTGCATGCATGTGATGTGTAGTAATATAGTATTATGATAATACTATTATCAAACAAACACACAGACAGACCAAGCCAAAGTACTTTTTAAGTTTGTTACTAAAATGAACAGAATATTGGCGTCTTTTGCTAAAATGCGCTACGTTGGAACTTGCCTATTGTAGGTGTTTTTGACTTTGCAATCATTATTGCGGCATAATGAGATGATGCATTGAAATTCGACCATGCCGGTTAGTAATGCTAAAAATGCTTGTTGCGATAAATGGTTTGTGCTATCGTGCGCTTGAGGACGTAAGAAAGATAATACAAATTTTGGTAAAAAGAAAATTGACCTCAACGAAGCAATCGTGGAAGAAGAGGCGAATAGTGGCTGGAGCGGAGATGGGTACTTCTTTGAACCGCTGAGAAGTGACGGAACCGACGAGATTTTCGAGCTGAGGACATTTCTTAGAGTAGTAATCGCTGGAGAGCTCTCTTTGCTGGCGCTGCCGCAGTGCCGGAGGTGGAGAGATTGTGTGTTTCGCCGGAAATATCGGAATGTGTGATACTGAAAAGAGGAAAAGGAATATTAAGGAGGAAGTAAGAGATAAGACATGCATGGTGGGGTTGGTCTTTGTGGGATACTGTCAGTCTATACAAACTTATATAAATAGTTTACAGTTTTTTGTTTTGCATAATAGTTTACGGTTTTTTTTTTAAATTTAGTTTACAGGTTTTGTACCGACAGTTCAGTTAACAGAAGTACAGAACCAAGTCAAAGGTGACAATAATGACAAACAATTTGATTTATATTTATAAACAAACATAAATATTTTCTATGAGAGACTGCTACTAAAAAAAAGGGGAGTGATAGTAAGTTTGAATAAACAGTATTAATTATATTTGTTCGAAAAGCATAGTCGAATTGAATAGAACAAATAGAAATTAATTTGTGTGTAGATATATGAATTTAAGAACACATTTTATGTTAATCTAATTCTAAACCATTACTCAAATTACATGAGATGAGCTGTTTTATTTGGTGTCAACTTAGTTTACATACTTTCCAAACCACTTTAGTTCCCAAACAAAAATTAAGATATGAATAACGGATTGATATACAAAATTAATTATCATCACATTTGCAGAAATCATCACGGGACAACAACTAGTATTTACATATTTGTTTTAGTCTATCATATTTAGCATTTCAAATTACATACATTTTCTAAGAGAATTATGGTCCATTACATAAAATTGTAATCCTCTTAAATTTGGCTAATTAATGCTCACAGGAACACATCATTACGCATCCTACTGAGAAGATCTGTAAAGTCAATAAGCCATGATTGCTTCCACTGCAAATAAGTGCGTTAATATATGCAGAAGAAGTGAAATCGTAATCCGTGTGAATACACAATACACATATAGAGTAAACTCCTGATACCATAGTTCACAAATTTCCTAATGCTACTAACCTAAAATTTAAATTAGTGTTTTCAACCTGGTTTTGTCTGAAAATCAGACCGCCATCCATACAAAATCTACTTCTGTAATAATAAAAAAGTCAATACCTGAATTTTATTAAGGTTCGTAACTGTTAAGAGACTGGACTTGAGATTAATAGGGTCACATGAACATGTTAGAAGATTCCAAACACTCACGGGCGGACGAAACAAACACAGTGTGGCAAAGATTCTGCTTTGACTCAATAACATTGTGTATATCACTTTTTGTTTTCTAATCGATGCCTACTATATAGATCTGAAACTCTGCAAAATCAGAGAGAAAAATGATTTTAATTAATATTACTTTCAAAAAATAATGTTATATATTTTTAGTTTATTTTACCTTTTATTTGCATGGCCAGTGCATGGGTATATTGGTCCTAATTTTTTGAGATAATTGTGGCCCTCTAATCTTTTCATTTATGGTGGCATAAGGCCACTAGATTATATGACGAGGCCACTCTAGATTATATGACACTCCATCTAGTTTTGTTAATGAGTTTACATTTTGAAGTCAGTTTCGACCAGCCCATTATTTTTGGCCAGCTTTAATTTTGGTCATAGCTAAATTAATAGAATCCGGTCTGACCGGTCGAACTAAGTTAACCTCACGAAGTCAAGAACCGACGACACATCCGGTTAGGGTTCTAAAACAATGGTAACGACTAACGAGTGAATTGAGATTCCAGCCAGCGTGGACTTTGCTTTCTTTGTGGATAGATCTATACAATGTGTTCGACAAAATTCATCTGAGAGCTCCTGAGAAATTGCTGATCATTTCTTTGATTTTTAACCGTATTCCTACCATGAAACTGAGAAGAATCCTCGGTTCTCTTTCGAGTCTCGCTACTGAGAAGCTCTCTTCTTCATCTTATTTCTCCCGTTGCCCATCTAGACAAATTTTCACTGCGTGTTCATCTTCTTCGCAACGAAACGCCGGAAATAAGCTCTCAGAAGCGTTACCGGGGAATCAGGTCAAATGGGCTTCGCTTGGTTCAGTCAGAAACTCGAGATTCGCATCTGGGTTCACACCGTTGCAGCCGAAACCGTTGGATTCGATCATGGATTTGGAAAGAGCCAAGACTAAATCGCCGGAGGAACTCACTTCGGTCTGGGACGATGTAATTTAAACTCCTTGTGCTCTGAAAATCCCGTCTTTGATGCGTTGCGTCTCTCAATTGCGTTTTTCTGTTTTGTTGCTGATGATTCATTTTGTCAGTATCACTTGGGACGAGGTCATATTGGGATAACGATGAAAGCTCAACTTTATCGATTGTTGGAGCAACGAGCATCCGAGTGGTATTAATATTCATTAGCCTTGTTCTTGTTCTCCCTTTGTGTGTGTTCTTCTTGATTTGATTTGATCTTTTTCTATTTGATTTTGCAATTGCAGCCGATACTTTGTCATTCCATTGTGGAGAGGAAATGGTTACATTACAATGTTTGCTCAAGGTTTGTTGTAGCTTTATGAAATCATAGTGAGATTAACAATGCTCGATATGGTTTTACTCAAAGGACATTCTTTTACTTAGGCTGATTAGTGAGGAGAGATGTTATCAAACTACTAATCTCAATAGCAGTTTTGTGAGGCTGAATCTTGCTAGATGTAGCATTTGATTTTTGAACTTCACTACAATTTCGTGAGGGGATGTATTTCGTTGTAAAACTAAGAGCTCCTCGGTTTACGATCTTATATAAATCGTCAATCTTGTTTATGGCAGTTGAAGCGCCTCACATGATTTTCACTGGTCTTGAAGACTACAAAGCAAGGGGAACTCAAGCGGCTCCTTACTTGACTAGCACCTTCTATACTGAGCTTTCAGAGACAAAGGATTTGGTGCTTATCCGAGGCGATGTTGTGTTCACAAGCAAACTCACAGACGAGGAAGCTAAATGGATCATGGAGACAGCTCAGTCGTTTTACTTGAACGACTCTCGGTACAAGCTGCTCGAGCGGTTCAATAAACATACTCATGACTTTGAGTTCAAGGATGTGTTACAAGCTCTGGATATGCCTATTCTGTGATTTCCTAAATCAGGGAAAAAAACTCCTCTTATTTTTTAGTTTTTGAGACACCTTTGTATTAGAGTTGCTTTTGTATGGTGATTACTGATTAGACTACTTCATCACCAAACTAGTTTTGGTTGGATACGTATATTTAAGCCCTTACGGATCTTGTGGGATTTTGGCTCTTAAATAAATAATACTGGGTAATGGAGGTGTTAAATTCTTAAAATGTGATGTTCTTCATGTGTTTCTCCACAAAATAAACATCAGGGGTCAAGTTGGAAGAAACGATAAATTCCGGTGGCGTTTTACAAGTCTAACATAAATTATTGAAACGACAACGTTTTTTATGATTGGGCCAACATAAATCTCTTCTTTGTTGGCTCTTCTTCTCCAAGCTAACAAAGAAAGTCGTCACTCTTCGGGAACAACACATCCCGAAACTCTCATCTTTCTACACTCTTCCAAAACCACCATGTACTACGCTCTTTTCTTCTTCATTTTTCTCCCGCCTTTTCCCTATTATGTCTACAGAGACTTGATTACATGTGTATAGCTTCTGATTTCCTCATTTCATACTGTGTATATACTCATCTGCTTCGGTTTTTTCTCGCTCTCAGCTTCCTCCTCATCATCCGCAATGTCAGAGAACCAGTCAGAAGAAGTCCAGCAAATCGAGAAGCTCTACGAGTTCAGTGAGCGCCTCAATGCGTCCAAGGACAAGTCTCAGGTTCGCCTCAATTTTTCAACTAGGGTTTTTCCCTTTTCTTCTTTTTTTTTCTCCCTGGGATTTGAAAATCGAGCATTCCCTGTTTCTTCTCCAGGTTATGAAAATCGTTTCTGTGTTTGTTTATAGCCCAAATTCGTCCTCTTTGTTATCTGGGTCTTAGTTTGCTATATGCCAATTTTCCGAAATTTGATAAATTTACCTGTTTGCAGAATGTTGAGGATTATGAGGGGATTATCAAGATGTCCAAGACGAGTATGAAGGCAAAGCAGCTTGCGTCGCAGCTAATCCCTCGCTACTTCAAGTTCTTCCCTAGTCTCTCCACTGAAGCTTTCGATGCGCATATGGACTGTATCGATGATGGAGATCTTGGGGTCTGTACCCTTGTCTTCTTACATATGCCATCTATCCCCAAACCTATAGATGAACTCATAATCTCATATTAGTTTACTGTGCTCAAAGTTAGCATCTTGATGGATTTACACTAGGAATGTAGTTCTAGTTGACGTATATTGTCGTTATTTTAACTTGTTTTTAGTAGATACGTATTTGAGATGAAGCAGGGCTTAGAGTTTCTGATTTTACAGAGAATAGATTTTTATTCATGCACAAATGTCAGTTTTGTGTTTTGTGGAACTATCCTTAGGTCTGAGGTAAGCATGTGTTTGTGTTTATGTGTAGGTACGGGTTCAAGCCATCCGTGGGCTCCCACTATTCTGCAAGGATACACCAGATATTATATCTAAGATTGTTGATGTTCTTGTGCAACTTCTGAATACTGGTAGCTCTTGAGATTTTGGTTACTACACCTATTGATACCTATTTGCGTCTTTCTCATCTCACATAAAGGTATCATGATCTGTAGAGGAACCTGTGGAGCGTGATGCTGTGCATAAGGCTCTGATGTCATTGTTACGGCAGGATCCAAAAGGTAGTCTTATGTCTTTACAGTTGTTCTGTATCAAAAAGCTGATATTGATTTTTCTTGAAACGTATAAAGCTAGCATAAGAAAATTGGTAAATGTGATTTCTCAATCGCATGGGAGATAATTGGTTACTCTCTAGTGTACTCGGTTGACTAGGCATAGGTTCAAGACTTAGAATGAATAAATTAGTTGCTATGGGTGAGTTGTTGTGTGGTAAATCATCTTAGATTTACAATATCACTATTGACTCATGATATCTGTGTACCCTAGTATTTTCATATCTTTCTCTAATTATTACCCTCTTTGGCTACAGCATCGTCGACTGCGTTGTTTACCCATGCGGGGGTTACTCCAACTACTGATGATCAAATTCGCGAAAAGGTCTTGAATTTCATCAGAGATAAGGTCAGAGTTGCTTCTACATCTTGCTATTTTCAAGGATCTCGGAACGGCGTTGCGTGACTTATACTATTGGTATTTATATCCATGGGGGCTTTCCTTGTATATATATACCAGTAGATTGGTTTTGCATTGTGTCGTACTATATCTTGCTTCAGTTTCTAAGAGGGGGTACTAAATGCTCTGATAGGGGACTGGTGCTGATAGTGCATATTTAGTCACGTTTCCTCTTATTTTACATTGTTTATGATCGAGAGAGATGAAAAAATATGATAGTGCTATAGATATATATTACCAAATATAATATAATAGAACCTGAAAGTGTTCAGGCAGATTTGATGGGCATGGGCGTGATAGTATCAGAAATGACAATCCTTGGAGAGGTTAAAAATACCGTAGCCTATATTCATTCTGTTAATTCTATATATAGGTGTTTCCTATTAAAGGAGAACTCTTAAAGCCTCAAGAGGAAATGGAAAGACATATAACAGATTTAATTAAACAGGTAAGACCATAATCTTTTGTGTGCAGTTCTTTTTATTGCTTCCATCTGCCCTCTTCTTCTTTGCCATTTATTCTGACTTAATTTGGATTTTTCCAGAGCCTAGAAGATGTAACTGGAGGAGAATTTAAAATGTTTATGGATTTTCTGACAAGTTTGAGTATATTTGGAGGGAAAGCTCCTCCAGAAAGAATGCAAGAACTTGTAGAAATTATCGAAGGACAGGCGGATTTGAATGCACAATTTGATGTACGTTTATTGTATTGCACCGTACAATTTTATTCAAGTTTGTTGTGTTGCAATATCATGAAGATGAACTGAAATTTCTTGATTGCATAGAATGATAGTCCTTGTGCTGTGGTATTACTGACTAGTGACTGCAAATATTGTTTTCACAGGTTTCGGATACAGACCATATTGACAGGTTTATATCATGCCTGCAATTGGCTCTTCCCTTTTTTGCGGTATGGACTCGGAATTGGTGCTGTTAGTAGCTTGATAGAGTCTACACTATGAATTTTGCTGTGTATTTTGCTAATTTTGTCCTCTTTTGATCAGAGAGGTGCTCCAAGCAGCAGGTTTCTCAACTATTTAAATAAACACATAGTACCTGTTTTTGACAAGGTATCCTAGAATTTCTTTTCCTAATTATTCAATATGTGTTTCGGTGTATTTGTATCACTCCATGATCCCTATGTGCTTTGTTAGGCATTTGTTATCTCTCTTAGACAAGATTAAGAATAGTATATGACACTCGGGGTATGAAGTAAATTGTACTTAAGGAGCTTTCTTGGCCAACATAATATGTGACAAATCCTTTTTTTATGTGTGTGACTAGCTTCCAGAAGAGAGGAAGCTTGATTTGCTCAAAGCTCTTGCTGATATTTCTCCATACACAACCGCTCAGGAGGCCAGGCAGATGCTTCCTTCAATAGTTCAACTTTTAAAGGTACCACTTGAAGTGCCAATTTTCATCTGCCTACAGATTTCAGTGTGTCATGATTCCTTGATAAATCGTTTGTGGACATGTTGCTTATATTTATGATGTCTTTGTTGTATATTCTACTACAGTCTCGCAAATGAATGTAAAAGCATTACATGCAGCTTATAAAGATTGATACACTTTTTGTTCGTAGAAATACATGCCTGCTAGGAAGACTGGAGAGGAAATGAACTTCACATACGTGGAGTGTTTGTTGTACGCGTTTCATCACCTAGCACACAAGGTTGCCAACAATTTTATTTGTGGTTAATACTGTCCTCTTTCCTTCTTCCTTATTTTGCTTAACTGGATAAGTTGAACGTATATAGGTTCCGAATGCAACAAACAGCTTGTGTGGGTATAAGATTGTGACTGGTCAGCCATCAGACAGGCTGGGGGAGGACTTTTCGGAGTTGAACAAGGAGTTCACTGAGAGGTATTGTTAGTTCTGACATCCAAATTAGTGCGACTTGAAACTTAAAGATACTGTCGTTGAAAAGTTGATGTACTTGATGGTTTGTGGAATCTTTATTTTTTTGGGAGAAAATTGTTGTGCTAATTATACCAGGTAAGTGGTAACTAAAATCATCTACGCATGATGTCAGACTTTCTGTTTAGAGAAAAGAAAATTGGTAATCTAGATTAAGAAGAGGTACGAAGACTTGTTTGTATTTTTTGTTGATATTATAAAGTTTTTGTTTTTGTGATTTGTGCAGATTGACCACTGTTGAAGATCTAACCAAGGCAACAATGAAGAAGTTAACTCAGGGAATGTCTGAGCACAACAAAGCCATGTCGGCTGCTAAGACAGATGAAGAGAAGGCAAGCGTTGTGAGTACATTAACCTGTAACACCCTTCTTTTTTCCCAGTGCTATTTGCTTTTACGGCTCATACAATGAGTACATTGTATCTTCGTGATGTATTTTTTAAATATATATTTTTATTTGCAGAAAACAAAGAAGCAGAATACTACAACTGGACTTAGGACCTGTAATAACATATTGGCTATGACGAAGGTGAACATCTCAACATCTTGTCTCTTCGTTTGTTTTCTATTGTTCAGAAGAGGCAAATTAAGCTTGGGGACAAATTGTTATATGAAACAGCCATTGCATGCAAAAGTGCCTTCATTTATTGGAGATACTAATATCAACCTTTCTTGGAAAGAAGCCACAAAGCCCTTAGCCTCAGCAACAACAACAATCGGGTTTGTGGCAAACTTGACTCAATCCACAATCTTTCTGCTGTCTTATATCTGTTTGTAATTTGTGTTGCCTTTGCTATGATATCATACAGAGGAAAACGGCCTGCTAGTAGCAACAACGGAAGTGGTAACAATGTTGCAGCAAAGAAGGGACGTGTCTCGGGTGCTATGCATAGCCAGCTTGTGAACAAGGCTTTCGAGGGAATTTCAGCATACGGCGGAGGTAGAGGTGGAAACCGAAGTTGGGGAAGACGCGGAGGTGGTCGCGGAAGAGGACAAGGCAGAGGTCACTGGTAATAATAAGCTTCCATGAGAGGATTCAATGACTATGTTCCTGCATTTGTCAGTAGGAGTTTTGATTTGGTAATTGCTAGAGGTTTGGGATTTATCATATCAGAACAAAATCGTATGTGTCTTTCTTTATGGAGAATACTATTCAAGTATTAATGACCTTAGTTATATAATCTTGAGTTCCATCCAAGATTACAATTCCATGGCACGTTGGTTTACTCTCTTTGTAGCTTTTATCTTTAGTCTCTTTCATGCAAGATTACTTCCAAGTATCTTTCTTCGACTTTTTTGTTTGAATGGTAAAATGATGGCCGCAACTAATGCTTTACAATCAACTAATGCTTTATAAAAGATTAGAAACTTGATAATAGGTTTAAACGCTTATCAAAAGTCATTAAAAACAATTTGAAATTTCACTCGAAAGATTCAATAGCCTAATGACCGTCCCCTGCAAACAATTTTTAATATTGTTATTATATATGCAAGTTGATCCGGCAGCCGTATCTTAGTATCCTTAATAAATTCATTTTTTTTAATGTGATCTAATAACAACTTGGACTCTACGCTTAACATAAATCCAATATATTAGAAGTTGAATGAAGTGCACAATAGTATTTAAATTTAGGCATGACGGGGTCAAATTAGTTCAGCTCCGGATTCCAAGGTTTCGATGAATAAGTCACATCGTAATTACCAACAGAAATGATAAAATAGGTAGAGGACAGAGAGTTAAACCAGCTAATCCTCGTGTATTGTTGGAGGTGAAAACCGCACCCCGGTTTTCTTCGGTACAAACCGAGATCGGCATAATATAAGCCCGGTTTATGAAAGAATGTACCGAGAAAAATGGGCCGAGTGAAATATCGGGCCGAACACAGCCCATTAGGCCGAGGTCAGTGAGAAGCCTCTCGAAGGAATGAAGGGTTTCCTTGAGCTCGGTCGAAATAGGAAGGTTTCCTAACAGAAAAAGGAAACCTTAGAGAAAAAAAGAAAGGAACCGAGAGAAAAGGAAAGTACTCTTGGTCCCATATCGTCTAAGGCGTGCTTGAAAACCGACTTAGAGGATATATATAAATGGAGACGAATCGACACCAGAGAGGAGGAGATATTCAAAAGAGGACTTAGAGACTGAGAACTCGTTCTGCTAAATTCTTAGTTTCGTTAAGTCTTAGTTCGTTATTACTTACCTGAATAACCGAACTCAGTTGTATTTATCTGATTTGATTTAATAAAAACCGAGCTTCCGATTTAAAAGTACTGTTATGTCCCTTGTCGATATTCACATATCAACATGTATGTACACTGTTCATGATCCACGTAAATCTTGTCCGTATTTACAATAACTCACCAGCCAGACTTGGCGAGTGGTAAGATAAGATACTTAAAAAGGATACTCGATAATGTCAGAAATTGCACAATTTATTGTTAAAACAGTAAATCAAATATCTTGATGAGGATAATTTTGATGATCTCATACCAAAAAAAAAAATATGTTGATGAAAGTCTTGTGATAAGAAAAGATGTCATAAGACCAGAAGAAATAAATACTAATACCTTCTCAATAAAAATAATAAAGAATTATGAAGACAACTCCTTGGATGCTTTTTTGTTGAAGCGAGTAGAGGAATCTTGAAGATTCAAACTCAAGAACAAAATAAAGAAAAAGACTCAAACTCACGTGCTCTTGGCCATTGGTGCATGGGAAAGATGAACCACGTGCATGAAGAAATGTGAGCTTGCAACTAAACACTATTTAATGTTTTATTTAACCAATCAATATTCAATATATGTTCTTTAAGAGGTTTTTTACTTTTTTTCTATTATAATTGATATTTTTTCTATTATAACTTAATAATAAAATAATGAAATGTCGATTTTTTTTTGGTTTTTACCAAAATGAAATGTCGAAATTTCACAAATATTGTATATGTATTTATTACCTTTATTCTATAGAAACAATAATTTATCAAGTCGCCGCGATATGAAATATTAAAATCGTGTTTGGCTGTTTGCCGATCTCAAGTATATATATAAGCAACAAAACTTTAGTAAGAGTAGCTGCCATTTATTTGATCTCGTTGTTCACTTCTCTTTTCTTCTCTTTTCTTCTCTTTTCTTCTCTTCAACCTCAGTCGCTTAATAAAACCCAAAGTAGAAAACTTCATTTGGTCAAAGAAAAACAAAAAAGAGTAGAAAACTTCCACTAACTCTTTTAGTCATCTTTCGTTTTCATAAAAAATGAGAATGTTTGCAGCTCCTATGCAAACATTCTCATTTAAGAGGAGACCCATCAATCCACATTGCCCATTTACTCTGCTCTTCTTCTTTCTCTCTGTATCTTTGATCATCTCTGGTGTGAGCTCTCGTTTCCTGAGTCCTATCCCTCGGAATACGTCGATCTTGATCTCTGATGGCATCCATGGTGCCTCAGATTACGAGTTTCTCACTCTCGATCCTCCAAAGAACGTCTCCAAGGCAGCTTGCCTTCATGTCTACGGGTTTCTTCCATGCGCAGACAATATTGGAGGTTATGTCTTCCAAGTTTTCTCCTTTGGGTGTCTCTTGATCATCGGTGACTATTTCTTGTCTGAAGGAAGATCAAAACTCTTTGTAATCTTCGAGGTCGGTTTCTATGGCGGTATTGTCTTCCCTCTTCTTACAATGTTCCCAAGATTTGCCCTTATGCTGTGTAAGGCTCCTCTCTTTCTTTGGTTTCCACTAAGAAACCATCTTAAAACTTTTATAGTATTAATTATATATTGATTACTTTATTTATTACCAATTCGTTTTAAGTCAGAAACCTCTAAACATACTTTTTGATTTTGAATCTTAGCGCCCGGACTATCAGCGACCCACGATGGTGCTCTCTTGATTGTGAGTAACAATATTGGAGTTACTGTAGGACACACAGTTTTTGCTCTGACAATGCAATGGGGAGCTTGTGTTGTCTTTGGCTTGACTGGTCCTAATTCAGACCAGTCAATCCGAAGAGGAGCTGTCCAAAGAACAACCTCTGTAAGATCAGATTCTTTTGTTCCAATCTGTTACTGTAAGATTAATAACCAAATTTTATATCAATGAATATAATCTGTAAATTTATATGTATAGGATACGAAGAGTCCAAGAAGGGGATTTTACAGGATGAAGATACTTAAAAGTGTTGTTGGTATGTTTAAGAATACTGCAGATTCCTTCTCTTGTCTTTTGTGTGAAGTTTGTTCTGAATATCGTGGTTTATCTCTCTGCAGAAGCAAGCGTAGATGCAGATCCTAAGAACAAGAAAGCTGCAGGAATTATGCTCCTGACTCTAGCTCCGTTTCTCATGGTTACATTGCCTGATTTATTTGATGTACAATCTTGGAGTGACACAATTATGTTGATCACACTCATAGTCTCCTGTTCATCAACCTTAATCTACTTTGTATACTCGGTATGAGCTCTCTTAAAGTAAAGTTATATTCTTAATTAAAACTGTTTTGCTTTGTTGCTTTACCGATGAATCTTGTTTTTGTGGAAACTCGCAGTATTTTGATACGGCAGACCAAAAGAAGAGCTTAGATCACGCCAAGTTTGAGCTCATGTCGGAAGTTCATAAGCATTTGCAGAGCTTTTCGCCTCGAAGCCTTATAAGAGATGGACAACTGAGCAAAGAGAGCTTGAAAAGGTTCTATTCTGTTCTGTTCTGTTCTTGTCAAGAAACAATATCATTTTGCTCTGTTTTTTTTTTATCTTACATTGCAAGTTTATTGCTTTTTTTTTTTGTAGTTTGTTCGATAGAATCGATAGGAACAAAGATGGGAAGATTCAAATCTCGGAGCTTAAAGACTTAACCGTAGAGTTTGGAGTTTTTGGAAGAATGAAATGTGACATCAATGAGTTTGCAAACACTTTACTTGCAGATTTCGACAAAGACAAAGATGGCGAATTAGACGAGAACGAATTCGAAGAAGGGGTTATGAAATTACTGAATCAATACAAATTCGATAGCCAAGAAACTCCAAGACACAACAACACATACATATACAGAACAGCATCCGATTCCGTGCATGTCAAGAATCAGTCGCAGGGGGAGGAAGCTGGAGTTTTAAAGCTGGAAATGCCAAAGCAAACTCTTGTTGCTAAACTACTCTCCATGAGAACGTTAAGAGCTGTGATTAAAGTCGTTGGTGGGATGCTTATCGTCCTGTTTCTTGCTAAACCATTTATGATAAACATTGGACTCTTATCGGTTTCTGCTGGAGTTCCTTCTTTCTACTCCGTATTCGCAGTGATCCCTTTGGTTAGAAACTTAAAGAACACTCTATCTGCACATTTCTGTCGAAAGAAAGACAAAGCAAGAATCGCATCCGAGAAATTCTCAGAGGTTAGTTAGTTTTGGCTTTGCCACGCTTCTTTTTGCTATATTACATTGATGAGAAGCTTAAATGTTGAGAGCTTTTTTTAATTTTTGGTTTCTGCAGATCTACAGGGATGTTACAATGAACAATCTCATGGGAATGTCGATCATTTTGGCGATTGTATACACGAGAGGACTGAAATGGGATTACTCAACAGAAGCTCTTCTTGTTGTGGTTGTTGGTCTTGCAATAGGCTTACCTGCTTATTTGAGATCGACTTATCCTTTCTGGATCTGTGTAATGGCCTTTGCTATGTATATCTTTTCTCTAGTCCTTATTTATCTCCATTTTCATCTTCGAGGCCAAAGCTAAAGCTTTCATCTTTTTAGCTTTTTGATCAGACTGAGAGTTTATCAATTTTAAAGTCCTTTTTTTCTATTTTCATGTTGTACATCAGAGCTTAATAAAGGCCAATGTTGTTTTCATTAAACTCTGTCTGTTTCATATGTTGATGCTAGTCTTCATGCAAATGAACTATGATTAAGTTTACATTCCTTCACATCAGTAGCAGAGGTTTTCACCTATAAACCAAGATTTTAAGAAGCCATAGGTTTAATCTACTCTGTTTCTCTAGTGTAAATCAGTAGTGTTTTTTCTTGTTCTGTTTCATTATCACTCCCCATACTACTGTTAGCAACACTGAACTCAAATTTTATGCCAAGACTTTTCAGTTCTACAAACAAACTTTCTTCTAGTCACTCTTGATTCTTCTTCAGCAGATCGATAAAGCACAAACTAAACTGAGTTGCGGGAAAGTAAAATTAATATATATCCAAAGTTACCTAAGACAGAGATAATCTAGTGATCTTTTTCTTGCTAAAATTTTCTATAACTTAAGGCTGAGATCGATTCCATGATCACCTGCTGATTCATATCGATCACAGGCTCCTTGTTGTCGGTCACCATTGCTCCGATCATCAGATGGTATGAAGCTATAGAAAGGCTTCTTACTTCTCCATTGCATTTTCTCATCAAAGTCTTTTTGTTGTTGTTGTTGTTCATACTAAAACCAAGATGACATTATGAAACAGAGTAAGCATTAATTAACTTCATCGAATTATGGCATATATAGCAAAAGACTTGATAATAGGAAGATATCTGATTTACCTGTACGCTAAGCGGGATAAACCTAGGGTAATCACGTCGAATGGAGGTAGGTGAATCAATGGCGATGGGGTTGCAAATTGTTGTACCGAAATCTTGAACCGGACTTTTCAATCTCATATCCAGCGACCGGTTTTGTTTAGAATCCCTTAACAGTTTCAAAGTAACACATCAAGATTAGGTTTTGGTACATCAAGAAAATGAGTGAAGCCAAAAGAAAAGAAAAAAAGAGGGAAACCTTGAGATTGTTATGGCTGGTCCAACGCTAGCTTTCGTGGTGTATGTGAGAAAAGGCCATGGCCTCTTGGTACTGACCATCTATGGAAAATTTTGAAGAAGAAAAAAAAAACAAACTTTAGAAAACGTATACGAGTTTGTGTCTAACCTAGTGGAAATAATCAAAAACAAAGCCTACCCTTTTTTCTTCCTCGAGAAACTTATAGACATTATCGACGCAAGATCTTTGGTTTGAAGGGGGCTCTATGAACTGGTAAAATCCTCCTGCTCCTGGAGATGGATTTGGGAGATGCATCTGCAGAATCATGAAATCAAAAGATTTTTGTGTGTCATTACATAATTACTTTTAAAAAAAAAAAGATTAATCATTTACTCTTTTTCTCTCTGTTTTACCGTCTGATGATGCTGCTTCCTCTGAAAAACCGGCGCCGGAGGAATGAGATCCTTAGGGAAAGATCCGTTGGCGAAATAAGAAGACATCGGCGAAGCAAAGTTTGGAGGCATCATCACCAAATCACAGCCGCCGTTAACACTCGCCGTCCCCGGTGGCCGGAAAACAGGGTTAGTGGTGTAAAAGGAACTTGCCGGCGGAGGAGGAGCAAAGAGAGTGTGATCAATGATTGGTATTGACAGAGAAGAAGAAGAAGAAGAATGTGGAATTGGAAGAGAAGAAGATTTGTTCTCTTCTTGTAGACGGATCTTCTCTAGTTCAGCGACACCTGGTCCTCTTCGTCGGACTTTATCTTTCTTCTGTTTTTTCGGACAAGAACCAAAGTAGCAATCATCTTGTAACTCTCCTCCTCCATAGCTTCCACTGCTTGTGTTACTACACATTTTCCCTCCGGCTTGTTTGAGATTTCCTCTGTCTTTTTTTTCAGGAGAAAGAGATAAAATTTGGGTTCAAATGGGAGAGAGATTGAAGGGAAAGTAAATCTGAGATGAAATCGGCTCTTCTTGCGTAAGTGAGAAAAATCGTGAGAATTTAAAGAAAATTCAAAGGTTCCATGTTTTTAGCTCTCTTAACAGATCTCTCTCTTCTTTCGAATGAACCACCTGGAGATAGAGAATCTACATCGGTTTCCGTGATTTTCTCTCGGAAAAAAATATTGTGATTCTCTTCCACCTACAAAATTTTATAATATTGTTTAGTTTATAATCATTTTTTATGTTCCGCTTTCATGGAAAAGTGCAAAATTTACTTGATAACCCTTATAGTTAATAAAATTTCACAAATTGAAATCTTTATTTCTCAATTCAATAGGCCTTTAGGCTTATATATTTTGTTTTGTTAATTTATATTAAGAGTAAGGACTGGTATCAAAATTTTATAAGTAGAAAAAGATTTTTCTAATTCAAGAAGCTGGCGAGAATCAGAGAACGTTAATGATTAATCGGAAAATTTGGGGAATATTCATTATTATGGAAATTAAAACTTATATGGTCCCCATAAACAAAAGCAGCACAAAACTAAAAACCCCACTTGTCCTATACTCTTTATTTCTGTTAAGAGTGTGTTAGAGTGCTTATAAGTTATATAACCATTAATAAGTTTATTTATTGGGGAATTTTTTTTCCGAACAACCTATATGCATTATGCAACACGTTTTCTCATAAAAAGTTTTTCTTTTGTTATAATTTTTTTCTTTGTATGGTTTTAAATGCTAGTTTTTTCTATTTTGTAAATGAGATACTCATTATGGCATATGGTCCCATACAAAATCACCGGTCAGAAAAAAATAGGGACTATTAATTTTATGTGTAATTTTCACATTTTCAGTTGTATCTAATTAGGTTAACATCACAATATAATGACGCATCATGCATATCCTTTGCATCATCTGTATCAAATTATTTATAATTGACCTCCTACTTGTAAATGGCCAAGACCCTACGATTCAACCTAAATCACGTGCTCGATATTTACAGAATCTATAACTTAATTATAGTATATTGTATTGACATTGATTTTTTGATTCGATTCGACTATAATATTATATACGGGACAAAAAAAAATATTATATACGGGACATTACATGCACTGTTCTCCCTATGTTTTGATAGACAGCTTACGAACGCTGTGCTACATAAAAGATTTGAGTTTGATAATCCTGAAATCTAAATCAATTGAGTAGCAAATCATCTGTAATTTAGGTGTTGTCTCGCACGTTGGAAGATCAAGAATGGTAATTGGGAGGGAAATGATCACATAAAAATGTATGATTTTGTTGCGATGGCTAGATCTGCAGCATCAGCAGATCCATATTTATGAATTCGCCCCATAATATGTCAAACATTATTACAACCTTATGATGAATCTAAAATCATTTGGCGTTTATAAAAAAAAAATTAAATTCTTCGGTTTTTTATGATCTAAACAGCTGGGATAAAATAATTAAATTCAAACATATTCTTGCATGCTTACATCAGTGTGTTTAAGAAAGCACTAGGCGCTAGGCGGACGATGATACAACGTCTAGTGCTTAAAACACTTAGTCGGAATCTAGGCAATTTTAAGCGTTTTAGACGTTTACAAATAAATAAATTTATTATATATTTTATAGAGAGCAATATATAAAATTACATAGTTTGTTTATAAATAATAAAGTTTACATATTATATATCTTAAATATATATTCAAAATTTAAATTATACATAAAAAACAAACAAAAATTTATAAATATTATATATAAAATACTTAAAAAATAACTGTCACTGAACGCCTAATGCTTAGGCGGGCGGTTTGTCAATGCCTAACGCCTAGACGGTGTCTAGACGGCTATCTAAACCAACTTTTAGAACACTGGTTTACATACAAAATTACTATTTTCTAATGTATATATTGGAACATAGATTGTCGGTCTTTGATGGTTATATATACATAATAGATAATACATTAAACATCTCCTATAAACATTTAAAGCGTCTTGTTGTTAGGAAACAAAACCCTTAAAAAAACTTCTTTTGTAAATTCTTTTAATCTTGTAACAAAGTTTGATGTATTCAGTAAAAAAAAAAAAAATCTGAACTGATGTCTGATTTGATGCAAAACCAAAGCCAAAATTCCTTTTAAAATGTACATAGCATTTTCATATTCATCTAATTTTCTGAAAGATTATTGAGTTCCACTCAATCACTCATTCTCATCGACATATACAAATTCCAAATGACACTTGTTCACCTTTCTCTCTTTTCTATACAAAAACCTACAGTACAAGACAAGCCCACATGCCTGATACATGTGTGAGAGTTGATATGCTTCCAGTTTCCTATTGTTGCTTCAAGTTTGGATCTCAAAGCTCCAAACCGTATAGAACGGAGGACTTCATTAATTAATTCTTCTACTACTTGAGTCCTTCTGATTTACAAGGAGTATATGCTTTTGTATTGACTTTAAAGAGATAAACTTCCCAAGAGAGTAGTCACTTAGGATAAACAATAATGTTTAGTTGCATAGATTTTTGAAAGATTTGACTATATGCAATACTATAAGTATAAGGTGAACATCATTGTACTTTTCCAGGTAGAGTATATAGATGATATTGATGGATTATGGATAAAGTATATAAATTAAAGACCAAACGGACACTGTTTAATAATAACAAGCTTGATCGATAATCAAAACTCAAAAGTGACCATATATAAGTTTGAGAAGAGAACTGGTGTGTTTTAAAATTAACACTGTTCATCCTTCTCAAAGTTGACATAATAAATGAAAATACTATGTAAAGAAACATTCTTTTTGGCTTTTGGTATAATAACCATAAAACCCACAAAGAAAAAAAAAACTAACGTGGTCTAGTCTTCCATCTGAGATAGCAGTATTATTATATATACCGAACGTAACAATTAGCCGTAATTAACTTCTCGATCTAAAATTAAATTAACTTCTCAAGGAGTATGACCAAAAGCTGCGCATGTTAAGTTATATCATTTGTACATTTCAGATCAACCAGAAAAAAAAAACATATAAATTGACATAAATCAGCTATACTATACTTTTTAAGACGTCATCGCCAGTGCTAGCCTTCGGCTTCGGCTCAGCAATTCCACGACACACAGGACAAGTTGTGTGCGATTCAAGCCACCTACGTATACATTCTTCATCAAACATGTGCATACAATTTGGTAAAACCTTAATCACAACATTCTTGGGGATTAACCCTAAGCAAACCGGACACTCTATCTCCTGATCGTTGCTCTCGGGATCGTTGTTATCCGTTTTGTAAGAAAAGGTCGGAAAAGCGGCAATCACGGAAGCGCTAAGCCCTTGGCACGGTGGCTCTCTTCTGTGGTGGTGGTGGTCGTCATCGGCCTCCGGTGATACATCAACAAGCCTACGGCGTTTGAGCAAACAGATTACGAGAAGGATGAATATAACGGAGATTGTTAAAAGAGACGTTACGGCGGCGAACCAAAGGATGATTGAGTTTAACGAAGGGTCGTTGAAACTCATCTCTTTGGTCTATAAAATACACAAAAAATGGTTCTCAAAAGTTGATAATGCTACAAGAACAATAGCATATATATACCCTTTATATATATATATATAGATCAGTGAGAGTTGACATTCTCTTTGAATATATTTGGATTAAGAGTTGAAATTAAATAGATCACCACTAATGAACTTGATAACATTATCTTATTATCAGTTGAATTAAAGAATATGGTTGATTTGAATTGGTACACCGCAAATGGGATTAGTTCATTACTTTTATTTGCTGCTTGTGAGAATCTGTGATTTTTTTGTATATAGAATAAATGATAAAACTCAGAAGTTGTAGATAAAAAAAAAAGCTAAATGGATAAGGATACGTACGAGAAGTCATGTTCATTGGATTTGGATTAACTATTTATATGTCTGAAAAGACATAAGGATTAAAGAAAATCAATAATAGCTGCAGGGGTCGCAATGTTATACGAGTGTATACAGAGAATATAAATTTCTTACAACCTGTGAGTGACTCTTGGATTTTCATCTTTAAAAAAATGTAATAAAAAATGTAAAATGTAAGGGTGAAATGCATTTGATATCTATGTAAAGAGCTGTGAATTTTTTTTATGTTAAAGCCTTAAAGGATTTGCTAAAGTAACCTAGAAAATATTAGATATCATCGAAGTTTGGAGGTTTATGATTTAGTGTTTAACAAGTTAGGGTTCAAGTTTTAAACAATACATAAACCAAACCAATAAATTTTGTAAATAAAACAACACTTTACCTTAAATAAAAATGAAGTCAAAAGATGTTTCTCTTTTTGTTTACTTTAGAAAATCATAACCAATTTCAAAAAATTGAAAAAAATCATCAACGATCCCAAAAAAAAAATCTTCAACTCTGTCCAAACGGGCTGGTATGGGCCGAGTATAAAAACCTGTATCAACAACCATATGACCAGTTGACCACAATGACCTAATTCTCAATCTACCTTTCCCATTCACTGTCTGATTATTTTATTTAGAATTCGAACAACATTCATTAGAATTAGGTACAAACCACACAGATCATGTAGTGGCTGTGAGCTGCAGAGTATCCACATAAATTTTATCTTGATTATTGGGACATTTCCATAATTTTCTTTTTAAAAGACTCATTTAATTAATTTTGTTTCCTGTCTGTTGTAGATGTATCAAAAATAAGTGTATATATGGTAGTTGCAAATTTGCAATCAATTGATTTTGGAAACTTCGGACCCCTCTCAGCCCAAGTCAAATGAGTCTGCTAAGTATTGCTTTTTCGTTAATCATTTTGCTGGTAATCAGATCAACAACTTCGACAAAATACCAAATAGTATAATATATACTAATTTTAGCCTTTTAGTTCGATGGTTGGAAAGAACATTTGTATCCGGACAAACGAGTCGTATCACCTTCGGTTCGGAGCTTCTTGTATCGATTCTATATAAAACTCCTAAGAGGTTCACCAGAAAAGGGTTTATCAGAATATTATAATATCGTTTTTTTGATTTTAGGTTTTTTTTTTAATTCGAAAATTATAATTTTTAACCAATCAGAATGCTTCATTTTGGGATGATACCGTTTTTTCAGGTTCGTCTGTCTCTTTAATATTAAGATCTTTTGCCTCAAAAGCTGTGCCATGAATCTCTTGATCCCCATATGTACATCTAAGTATCCAAATATGTCACAAAACTAAATTGAAAAGTATAATGAAAATAGCAAAATTAATTACAGTCTATTATTCACGTATAAAAAAAAAACAGTTGAAATTGAAAAAATACAAAGTACAAATTATGTGATTTAGTAATTACTAGTATATTATGCAATGTAAACTTACTCAGACGTTTAAGCCGTCATAGTTGATTGTTAAAATGATACAGCATTAGATCATTTAATGGAAAAAGACACCTTAAACGAAAGTGGTTAAGTGTTCAAAGTCTCCACGTTTATATCCGGTAATTAATATTTCACTGGTTTTCAACTTCTAAATTTAGACGAGTATACACGAGTCACGAAAATCCGAATTTAGTGTTATGAACGTATGACATCTTACACCAAATATATATACTCAATGGTAACTCTTCGTGGCAATACGGGTTTTGGCAATGTTCAAAAAAAGAAAAATATGGTTTTGGCTTTTGGTAACTTTAAATAGACGGTAAGACAACGTGATAAAAAGAGTCCAACCTGACAAATCTTAAATATATTTTTGTATATTTTTCTATAACTTTAAAAGAAAATGTTTGGTGTGACAGTGATTAATTATTTAATATTTTGATTTAACAACAATCACTGATTCCGCCTATTACAATTCTCATATAAAAATGTGATTCCAGCCTAATAATATTTCCACGAGTCACGACGCCGTAATGATTTCCCTTTTATAGTCTCTTTACTTCTTGCTTACTACAGGCACCGAGAAAAAAAAAACCCTTTAATCATTCAGTCACCAATTCTCCGTTCTGTTTGTTTTTTTTTTACTCTCTCTTTTTCAGTTTTCGTCTTCGTTCGTCTTCTTCAAGGTCACCGCCAAAACCATTTTTCAGCTTCTTCACGAGCTTCTTTTTAGGTCTGCCGCTGTAACTTCGGCTTGAACTCAGATTTTTTTTTTTTGTATTTATATTTAGTTCCTTCCTTAGTTGAAAAACTGGAATGTTCGTTGGTGGTTTCAGTGGTTGTAGATTGGATCTGGAGAATGTAGTCAATTTTATGTTTTTGGTTTGGGACTTCTGACTTTTCCGATTAATCTGTGGGTTTATCATTTTCTTCAGTTTAATGTTAATTCTTGCACGATTTTTTTTTGTTTTGACATCTTTTGCTCATTTTTAGTGTTGGGTTATAGTAAATTTTCAACCTTTTTCGAAATTTTTTTTCCTCTCATAGCTTTGGTTTGTTCCACTTATAAGGATACGTGGTTGTTCTTTACTTGATTAGTTGATTTTGGTTGTATGAGTAGTGAGTACAAGAACATTATACAATAGTTGGAGTAAAATTGAATTTTGTTTTATGACGATTAGAGAGGTATATGTTAGGTCCAATTTTAGTAACTGAACTGGTGTTTACTAAACGAGATTTGGTTCGCTTGGTCAAAAGAATAGTTGATGCATCTTGTCCGTGCCATGATTATATGATGTTAATGTTCTTTATATTGTACTAGTAACTAAAAAAATGCAGCTAATAGTCTTTGATAAAACCTTCACAATTAGCTACTTTTAACCAGAATATTCTGCTCCAATCTCAGGGTTAAAGGAGCATCTGCATACATACAAGCTTGTTTTGGTGAGACTATTGACAAACTCTGAGATGGGTTCTGGGAATTTTTTTAAGGCAATAGTTGGGTCAAAGAGAGGGAAACAAAAGAGTGGCAAGAGCGAGAAGGTATGTTTCACGTTGGTGTGAGACTGATCATCAATGCATTTCTGCAGAAACAAATGAAGGCAGCTGAATTATGGTTTATATTAGTGTTCACTTGGCTCTTCTTTTTGACAGGGATTTTCTACTGCTACAAAATCAAAAGCTTCCAAGAAGAAAAGTACTCATTCTTCATCACTAGTCACTCGTAGCGAGGACTGGGCTGCAACTCGAATTCAGGCTGCTTTCAAAGCCTATAAGGTGCAGTGAGTTGCGATCTCCAAACATATTTGCATGATTTTACATTTACACTGGAAACTTTAGGGATCTCTCGTGTTGTGGCTTGCCTTGTTTTGTTTTATAGTTATCAAAGTACTTGGTTTTGTTAACTTTTTCTCACAGGCTAGAAAAATCTTAAGGCGTCTACAAGGAATTGCAAGAGCAAGGTTGTTAACTGAAAAACATTCAGTGAAGAAGCAAGCGGTGGTAACGTTAAGGTATCTTCACTCATGGAGTAACATACAGTCGCAGATAAAGGCTCGCCGAGTTTGCATGGTCACGGAAAGTCGACTGTTGCATAAACGATTAGAGAATCAACAGAAGCTTGAGGCAAAGCTTCACGATATTGAGGTAAGACTCTTTCATTGTCCCTTATACAACAGAATGAGGAATTCCAGTTGTATCTTGCTTCAAAAAAATTTCCCCTCAAAACTCTATTGAGCTGTTTGCTCAGTCTAAGTTTGATCATCCGTAGAAGAAAAGTTAAAAGTGATACAATTGCAGGTCGAATGGAATGGTGGGTCAGAGACAAAAGAGGAAATATTGGAGAGGATACATCAAAGGGAAGAAGCGACGATCAAGCGGGAAAGAGCCTTGGCATATGCTTTCTCTCATCAGGTATATAAAAACCTTTCCTTTACTTGTTTTGCCACTACTCATGATGTGAAGAAATAATAATCCTCTGTCATGAACAGTGGAAAGCCGATGGTAAGACTCAGTGGCTAGGGGGTTATGAGCTGGGCAACACTAATTGGGGTTGGAGCTGGAAAGAGCGTTGGATTGCTGCTAGGCCTTGGGAAGTAAGATATTCAGTGACTCCTAAGAAACCAAAGAGCTCAAAGACAGTTTGTTGCAAGGGTGAGACTAAATCAAATTCACCGGGAAAGAGAGTAGTGTCATCATTATCAGCCAAAGCTCCGTTCCCTGGAGCTAGAAACGCAGTGAAGCCACGGAGATTGTCATTTCCCGGCGCCTGAAGTGTGAAGTTAAAAACTTGGTCTGCGTATACAAAGAGTATACACGTACATGATCCCTATAAAAAAGAATGTCATTTGTAAGATTTGAAAGGTTTTATTTATTTGGTCAAGTGGTCTGTTGTGATGTAAATACATGCATTTGTTATGTAGGCGATGATGGTGATTCTTCTTGGTTTGTTTAATACATACATGCATTTGTTCGTCTCTCACAGTAAATCCCAACCAAGTGGCAAAAAGAATGAAATCCCAAGCTTACACCAATTACAAATTTACTAGGGTTTACTATATACATACATATTGATCGGTTAGTGGATCAAATAATTTTATTTTCGAATAATTTTGTTTCTCTGAAGTGTAATGTAAAAAGCTTCACTTTGTGACAAAAAAAAAAAGCTTCACTTTAATGTCATTGCTCTCTCTGCCTCTCAACATTGGCTTCGTGAGTAAATTCTCTGTAATTTCATGAAATCGGCAGCATCAGCCGCTCCGCCGAGGGCGAAAAGCTTCACACTTGGATCCTCCAGGCTCTTCGCCTTGGCGCAGCAGCTGCGTGTATACAAGCCGCAGTTTTCTCCACCGTTGGAGGCGGCGAAAGAGATGCGTGCGTACCATGAGAACACTACGAAATTGATCTCCCACGTTGGGTCTCAGGAATCTATGGCTCCGGTGAAGAAAGCGGCAGTCTTGGTTTGTCTCTTCGAAGGAGACGACGGTGATTTGCGTGTGATCCTCACTAAGAGGTCTTCCGGATTGTCTACTCACTCGGGTTTGTAATTTGCTTTTCGAATTTGGTTTGCTGAGTATCATGGATAAT